ATAAAAGAGTCTAATAATTATTAAAATAATTAATAATTATCTGTAGAAAAAGTTAAAAGTCTTTCAAATGCCAAATTTACTGGAACAAGATATTCTTTAGTAGTTAGATTAGGACAATAATCTAGAATTGATTAGAAAATCTAAACAGGATATTATGTTTTTCTTAATTAATTTAACATTTCATCAAACCAATTTAAATTATGTTCTTAATAATATTAATTTAATTATCCAAATAAGGATTCTATTTTAGAACTATATGTAAAAAGAGTATGTAATTTATCTTATTCTTACATAAATTGTTTAAGTGTTAATCTTGATTATCCACCTTTAATCAATAAAGTATACAGAAAAAAAGTAAAATCTTCTTATTAAATAGGTAGATAATATATGCCATGACATTAAATTAAGAATTATGATGCAATTTTTTAATAATTGGTTTAAATTTTGGGAACATTATAAGTACCAAGAAAACTTAAATCATTAAGTTTATTTTATTTAGAAAGTGTTCCTAATTCAAGAGGTTCAAAATTTTAAAATAATGTTCCATTAGGTAAAACTTCATCTAGAAATTAGGGTTTATGTTTAATTATTAAATTCAAGAAATGAATATAATTGTATATGATGTGATTTTAAAACAATTTAATTATTTATTATAGATCGCAAGTTTCAGATGAAATACAATTTAAAAAAGATAGATTATCTAAATTTTCAGTTTCATAACATTATATTAAATTTAATTTTCCTCTTAATTTATTTGACTTTTTCATTCCAACTAATACATTATATATTTCAATTAATTGATTTTTATTAATGCTTTTTTATTTCCATAATTTTTTAACTGTTTCTTTAATAAACTTTTAATCATTAATTTTAACTAAATAATCAGGTATCTCTTAAGGTGGTATTTAATTTTCTTCTAACATCATTTTCAATTTTAAAGATTTAGTAATTATTTAAATTTTAAGTAAGACACCTGTAACTTTAATAGTAAAATCTATTGTATTTTTAACAAATTATTCATCTATTGAAATATCTCTTAATATAAAGATTTCAGATCCATCTAAATAACATTATCCATGTAATGTTTCTTCATATTCAATTCCATTTTAATTAATCATTTATAATTTTTCATTATTATATAATAGAAAATAGCCATTAATATATGATAATTATCCTTCTAGATAAAGTACATCATTATAGAATGGAACCTATTTATCTTAATGTATTAAAATATTTAAACACTATTCCTTATTTATTTATTATATACAATAAGTTTCTTCTGATATTTTGATACATCTTATTTTAGAGTATTTAATTAAAGGTTCAATTTTTATTCCAATTGGTATTAATTGATTCTAATTTATTGCACAATTCATTTCTTCTATATAATATGAATTTTAAGTAATTAATTTATTAGGTTAACCATTTAAAGTTCCTTCATGATAATTAATATAATTTTCTTCATTTAACTAAATTCTATGAGTAGCATTTTTTCTAATTCTTAAAGTAATAAAGTTCTCTGATATCACTCTAATGATGTCTAATGAATTTCTTAGAACAATATGACATCCTTTTTTGTGAAATGAACAATCTTCTATCTCTTCATCAAAACACGTAATGTCCTAAATCCAAGTTTTTCCAATCACTTTCCCATTTCTAAATGAAATTGATTTGTCTCTATAGATATCTAATTTAGGATTGATATTCTTAAATAATAATCCCTTATATTATTAAATGCTCTTTTTGAATGTTATTTTGATTTCTTATTTATGATAATGAAATTGCATTTTTATTTATGTAATATTATTCATTAAATAAGACAAAATAATGTAATAATCAATACTTTTTATTTTTACATTAAGATTATAATAGTTAATCTATCATCATTATTATTCCAAAATATCCTTATATAATATAATATATTATCATTTTTCATAAATAATTATAAAATCTTGTTGTATTTTAAAAATGTTGAAAACATAAAATGTAAATATAAAAATGAATTATAAAGTAATACCATTAATATTTTCATATAATCAATTAAAATAAACTTAAGAAATAATATATAACATTTAATTTATTATCTAAATTATTTTTAACATCGTTAATGAAGAAGCTTAGTCAGTAGATGAAAAAGATTGCTGGTAGAAATAGTTTTTAAGAATCTCCATAAAGACAAGAAAAGAAAAATATTAAATCAAGTCTTGGAACAGTAAAAACAGAAAGACCTGTAGAAAAAGGAAAAGCAAAATTACTTGATTATTTTAAGAGGGAACGAAATTCCTTAGCATAAGCTGTTAATACAATGAGATCTAAATTAAAAGGTAGCAAAAGTATTGATAATGTGTTTTTGCAAACATTAAAAAGTGATCGAGTAAAAACTTCATAACCCAATGTAATTAATATGATTATTAAAATTTTATAGATAGCAGAATTAAGAGTTCATACTGATGAAGGTAATAATTCTAAAAGACCAACTTTGAAAAACAAGAATCTTTCATTAGCTACAGTGTCCTTAGAAGTAATCATATATATAATTAATATTATTTTAGAAAAAAGAATTTTTCAAGCATCCTTTAACAACTAAAACATCATATAATTAAACACCTACAGGATAAAGTAAACCATAATTAAAAAAATAAAAATAGAAAGATTAATACTTATTCGATATGGTAAAAATATATTTAATATATATAAGTTGAAAAATGCTTAAATGATATAAAACTAATATCAAAAATACTTTAATTAAAAATTAAATAAACAATCTATTCTTTCAGATACTTCCACTAATCATAGATAATCAATTGAAGATATCTTAAATTATTAAAAAGGTCATAAAGTATCTTCATAAATAATCTAATAAAAACCTATTAAAAAAACAGATAATGAATCTAAATCTATGAATTAAGGACATTCAAAAACTGAATAAACTCCATAACCAAAACAAATAACCAAAACAAAAAATGATGAAATATTAGATTATGATCCAAAATAGAAACTTTAAATAATTTTATACTATAAAAACTCAAAGTATTATTATATCTTATTTTTTAAATAGATATTATTACTTATTTGATTTTGCAAATTAATCAACATGCAATCTATATAATTATTTAATCCAATAAATAGCAAGTATTGAAAAAAACCATTTACAATAAAATGGATCTACTGATGATGATTAAATTCAAGCTGGTAAGATTTCCTGAATATTTTAGAGATAAAAACTATTTGTTAATTTTGCACAATTCAAAAAAAAGTTCCATTTGATTATTACTTATCACTTCCTGATTTGAGTTTGTCTGTATTTTAGGGTATTACACTATCTTTAGAACCTTTATATTCATAACCATAAACTACAAAAAAGGTTGGCTTAAAAGATTTTCAATTAATAAAATGCATAGGTGTTGGAGGATTTTCAAGAGTATATTTAGTTAGAAAGAAAGATAATGGAATTTATTATGCTTTGAAATTGATTGATAAAAAATTTATTATTGATAATAAGAAAGAAATAATAGTATAAAATGAAAGGGATATCATGATTAAAATGGACAATTAATATATTATACCACTTCATTATGCATTTGAATCAAAATTTTATATTGCATTTGTTTTAGAATATTGTGCAGGAGGTGAATTATTTTATCATTTAAGAAAATTGAAAAAATTAAATGAATAAGATGCTAAATATTATTTTGTTGAAATATGTATAGGAATGGCTTATCTACATTCTTAAAATATTGTTTATAGAGATATAAAACCAGAAAATATTTTATTAGATTTGTAAGGTCATTTAATGTTAAGTGATTTTGGACTCTCTAAACCTGATATGGCAGCAGAAGATTTTGCTTATTCATTTTGTGGTTCTCCTGAATATATGGCTCCTGAAATGCTTATGAAAACAGGTCACAATTATTTAGTTGATTGTTATTGTTTAGGAGCATTATTATATGAATTAGTTTCAGGTTTACCTCCTTTTTATTCTCATAATACCCAAGAAATTTATAGTTCAATTTTAACAGAAAATGTTTAATTTCCTGATTATGTTTAAATTTCAAATTAACTAAAAGATTTGATTATTGCTCTTCTTTAAAAGGATCCTACAGAAAGATTAGGATAAAAAGAAGGTGTTATTGAAATTCTAACTCATCCATGGTTTAGTGATGTAGATTTTGAGAAGGTTGTTAATTGTAAATTACCTACTCCTTATAAACCAGAACCTTTAAAATATAATTTTGATGAAGAGGAGTTCAATAAAGGTGATGCTGAATTCAGGAAATAATTTGCCATAAATATGTTGAATGAATTTCAAGTAATTATTATATCAAATATTTATTTAGAATGTTGACACAGCAAAATATCAATTATCAAATTTTTATTATTAAAAAGTTAAACAAGATGAATATATAAATAGAACTAATATAGTGAATATTAATAAGTTAAATTCTGAATTTTTATAAAAAGAACCATTATCTCCATCAAGATAAATATTAAATAAAACTAAAGTAATATATTTATATAATATATATATTATAGCATTCTCCTTATGAAAGTAAAAAGTCATTAAAATCAAATACAAAAAGTGAATGTAATGATTATTTCAAGAAGCATAATCTTTTGACTAAGTCTTCTTAAATAATGTAAGAATCTCTAAAATTTGGTCATGGTTATTCAAAAACATAATAACAATCTCAAATTTCGAATTAAGAATTAAAAGTAACTTAAATCTTAATATATTTAAGAAATTGAAACTTATGTTTGATTAATCAAAATAATTATTAAGTTCAGACAGATTAACTACAATCCCTGATTAAAATTAAAAGAATTAAATTGAAAGGATTAAGACGGAGCAATTTGGTAATTTGCCATCTCCTAAAACAACCACTCATAGTACTTTGAACAAATTAACTAAATATCAAAAGTTATTTGGATCAGAAAAGAGAAAAAAATGATATCAATTTAAATATCTTAATTTAAATTGTGTTTATGAAATACAATATTTTCTAGGATGTACTATTATTATGCAATTTAATGTATTGATGATGAAATCATTTCTTCTTCTATTCAATTTTCTTAATGTAAAATTCTAATTCCTTTCCTTCCAAGATATAGCCATCTGCTCTTCCTGATTATCCTGGTCTTGATGTAATTCTGACTAACAATCTTTGATTGGCAAATTATTCTTAGACGAATTAATCAATAACATTTTCCTTAATTCTTTTCTCTTACTTTGAACTTAATTTCTTAGGTTAATCTCCTGTTGTTTCCTATTATTATAATAATAATTAATTACCTTCTTTTTCTTTGATCCCAATTCAACATTGTATTTCTTAGCATACCATTATTTAAATGGAGTAGCATCAACTTAGACAATTACACCTCTTGTTAAAGTTTTGGTTCTGACCAATTCATTATTGGATGGATGATAAACCACCTCAACAATTTTAGCTTTTTTAGCAACACCTTGGCTTCCCCAAGAGAAATTGCCTTCTGATAAACGAAGTGCTCTAAATTTGAAATTTCCTCCTCTCACTCTTAATCTTCTTACTCTCTTTTCTCCAGATACTAATTTAGTCATTGCAGCTTATCTTCCTTTCTCAAAGGCTCTTTTCTTCTTATGGATTGGCATACGACCTCCTGTAAGTCTTCTTTTGTGTCTGCTATCTCTTGAAATTCCCATAATTTATGCTTTCTTAAATAAAAAAAGATTTTATTTAATTTTAAAATGTGCTTATATCAATCTTAATATATTTTTATGTTTCTATATTCTAGACTAATATTTGATAATTGAGTTTAATATAACTCAAAACTCTATAATTAAAATGTGAATTAATTGAAAATGCCATCAAAATAACACAGAATATTTAATTGTAGAATTTTATATAAAGATAATAAATAAATAACATTTCAAAAGAAAATATAAAATAATATATATAAAAAATAAAATTAATTTTGATATACAAACAAAGAAAAAATGTAGGAATAAGGAATTTTGGAATGTTAAATTATTATGATTAGATGAATTTCTAAAAATTATATAAAATATATAAATTTATTATAATCAATTAGTATAATGGGTTCCTAACCTTAGAANAAATTAAAAGAATTAAATTGAAAGGATTAAGACGGAGCAATTTGGTAATTTGCCATCTCCTAAAACAACCACTCATAGTACTTTGAACAAATTAACTAAATATCAAAAGTTATTTGGATCAGAAAAGAGAAAAAAATGATATCAATTTAAATATCTTAATTTAAATTGTGTTTATGAAATACAATATTTTCTAGGATGTACTATTATTATGCAATTTAATGTATTGATGATGAAATCATTTCTTCTTCTATTCAATTTTCTTAATGTAAAATTCTAATTCCTTTCCTTCCAAGATATAGCCATCTGCTCTTCCTGATTATCCTGGTCTTGATGTAATTCTGACTAACAATCTTTGATTGGCAAATTATTCTTAGACGAATTAATCAATAACATTTTCCTTAATTCTTTTCTCTTACTTTGAACTTAATTTCTTAGGTTAATCTCCTGTTGTTTCCTATTATTATAATAATAATTAATTACCTTCTTTTTCTTTGATCCCAATTCAACATTGTATTTCTTAGCATACCATTATTTAAATGGAGTAGCATCAACTTAGACAATTACACCTCTTGTTAAAGTTTTGGTTCTGACCAATTCATTATTGGATGGATGATAAACCACCTCAACAATTTTAGCTTTTTTAGCAACACCTTGGCTTCCCCAAGAGAAATTGCCTTCTGATAAACGAAGTGCTCTAAATTTGAAATTTCCTCCTCTCACTCTTAATCTTCTTACTCTCTTTTCTCCAGATACTAATTTAGTCATTGCAGCTTATCTTCCTTTCTCAAAGGCTCTTTTCTTCTTATGGATTGGCATACGACCTCCTGTAAGTCTTCTTTTGTGTCTGCTATCTCTTGAAATTCCCATAATTTATGCTTTCTTAAATAAAAAAAGATTTTATTTAATTTTAAAATGTGCTTATATCAATCTTAATATATTTTTATGTTTCTATATTCTAGACTAATATTTGATAATTGAGTTTAATATAACTCAAAACTCTATAATTAAAATGTGAATTAATTGAAAATGCCATCAAAATAACACAGAATATTTAATTGTAGAATTTTATATAAAGATAATAAATAAATAACATTTCAAAAGAAAATATAAAATAATATATATAAAAAATAAAATTAATTTTGATATACAAACAAAGAAAAAATGTAGGAATAAGGAATTTTGGAATGTTAAATTATTATGATTAGATGAATTTCTAAAAATTATATAAAATATATAAATTTATTATAATCAATTAGTATAATGGGTTCCTAACCTTAGAAGTCTAGAAATTACATTGCCAATAGGTACTAATAATAAAGAATACAGAATAACTAAATGCAATAACAAATACAAATGTAATATCCTTAACCTAATTAATAAATGAACATTCCATTGCAATATTCTTAAACATTCTAATACAATCATTCATCTACATACTTATATAACTAATCAATGATTTAATAAGCCCCAGCATCACATGTAATTAGAAATTAATTTATTTAATAGAGATAATCAAATGTAAACTCTTAACCTTAAGTTCTCAAAAATGATTTTTGTATAGAAAAGGCAAAAATTGTAGGAAATGAAAATTCAAAAATAGAATTTATTTTGTTTGCATTAACTCCTTGCAAAATTTAAGTAGATTTTTTAATATAATTAGATATATGTATAATGTTAAGAGATATTTAATCCTGTTAATAACATCTTTTAAGAAATAAGGGATTATTAATTTTATGATGAATTTTAAATAAATGAACCTTAAACTATGAATGTTTAATTTTCTAGTAAAATAACAATTCCTAGAAGCTGTTTAAAATAGAAAAAATCTAGTTTTGGTTAAGTTTATTAGAAACTTATAATAATAATATAAAATAAAATAATGATGATGATATATTATTATGATTATGAAGATGATTAATTAAAATTAGTTAAATAAAAGTTTTAACATAATAATAAAGGAGCATTTGATGTTTAAGAAATTTATGGAATAAATGATTCTAATTTAGTTGGATCTATGAAACATGATTAAAATGATGGAGAATGTATAATTTGTTTAAGTGAAACAATTGATACAATTATAATGCCTTGTAGACATATGTGTTTATGTGGTAATTGTGCAAAATAGATAATGGATAAAAAAATACAATTAAAAAATGAATCTGTAGAAAGATAATAACATGCTCCCGATTTTAATCTCTGTCCTCAATGTAGAATGGGTAATTATTATATATATATTATTTATAGAAATTGATTCCTTTATTAAATTACAAAAAATTTCTTGATTAAATATCATATCCTATATTTAAATAAGGAATAGTCATTTATGAATATAAATTTTGAAATTCTTTCTATTAGAATTTGAATTCTTAATTACTCTATCTTCTTAATAAGAATTGTTATAATTATTGTAATTTCTCTTTAAATTAAAGAAATTATTTATTAGTTTAAATTATGTTATTCAATAATTATTATTTATATAATAATGAATCAATTAAGAAATCAAAGAGGAACAGAAACAGATGAAGTATACATTGATCCAGAAAGAGGAATAGCCATTAATGCTAGATAAATGACAACAGAATAACATTTCAAATATTATAAATCATCTTTTAGCACATTAAGACCTGATTTGACTGAATATGAATATGAAGCATTTGCTAAGAGATTAAGAGTGGGTATTATATAAATTTATAAATAGGTGAATCATTTTTAAATCATATGAGAGTATTTCTTAATCATGAATCAGGTAGAGTAACTAATCTCTATTCTATTAGTGCAAGATTTGATAAAATGCTTGTAATTTGTTCTTTTAATTTTAGAACTATTAAAATCAATATTTTCATCTTAGAACACCTTTCATTCTTGGACATAGATCAAATGCAAATAGAAATTGGGCTGATGCTTCTAAAGTTGTAAATTATGTTGAGAAATAATTACTAAAAATTACAAAATATGGTAATTTTATATATTAAAATTATAAGGATTGGATTATCCAAATTATTATGCTCCATAAAATGAGAATGAACTTAAATAAAGAGAAGATGAAATCTATGAGCGCTTTATTAAAGAAATGAGAAAACCTCCAGTTGTTGCAGCTTAATGAATTATAAGTATAAATCATAATAAGATATATTTATAATTATTATTTTACATATATTTCTTATAATTATATACCTATTCTAAACTAACAGATTGATTATATTAATAATCTAATAAAATATGTTTATGTAATTATTTGTGCATCTGAAGATATTCTTTTTAATTAAAATTCAATTAAAAATAAATTATGAAATAATTCATTATCATTATCATTGTTATTTATATTATTAATATCTTAAACCTTTTAATTCATATGAGCTAACCAATATCTCATTAATAATACCAAGATTTAAATTCTAGCACCTAGAGCTCTGAAGGTGAAGATTATATTCCAAAAAGAATTGTTTCTAAGTCAAATACAAGGAAAATCCACAAAATACCTATCGAATAATAGAAACAATTATTTAGATAAGTATTTTAAGAAGGAAAATAGATAAAGGAGGTAATTTATATCATTCTAATTTTTAGGTTGCCAAAACCTTAGATCTCAATTATTCTAGTGCTAAATCTCTCATTCATTATTACAAAAGCAACAAACGCTCTGTTCCTGTTGCTATACTTGATGTACTAAATACAAAAAAAACAACTGGATATAGGGTTTCTAAAACAATACCCTAAACTAATAAGAATCTAAAAATAGAAGTAAGGGAAAATAATGAACTCATTCATTCTTATTGCTTCTATGAACATCTAGCAACCATCAGTTGATTATTATATATAACCTTATTCATTTCAAGATCTTTATTTTTTCTTTTTAATAACAATATTTCAAGGATAGTTTTAAATAACATATAACATCATTATAATCATTTTTTTTATTTCTATATTGTTCTATATCTTGAGTTATCAAAATCCTATGATAATTCATTAAAATATTCTTGTTTCATAGAAATATTTGATGCTAATTATCCTTATTAAATCTAGAATAACAAATTTAATTTGAATATATTTAATTCTTTATTTTATAGAAATATTTATATTAGAATAAATTATAAAAAATCTAATTATTATTTTCTATAATTCTTTAATACTAATATGTCAAATTTACAAGGTAGAAGGTAAAATATAAATTATTTTACTAGATTTCTAAGTTGTTTTTGCAAAAGATTTTAATACATCTTTTAAATGTTTCTATTATTTACATTATCTAATACATCTGAAACATCTTGGAATTTATAAAATTATTTTATTTCTTGAAAACTTGCTCCCTTTTCACCTTTAGTTCTCAAAAATTCAATTAAATTTAACTTTAAAGTTTATTTATCATAAACTTCTGCAGGTTTTTTCTCTTTCACTTATTATGGTTATATAATATCTAAATTATAATAATTTAAATTACCTAAATGAGATAATAAGAGTTAATCATAAATTTAATCTTTCCAATATTCCTTTTCACTTTAACTTTCACTTTCACTTTGCTCTATTTCTGAACTAGAAGAATAATTTTTGTTTTCTGAACTATTAGAGTAATTTTAGTTATCTCTACAATAAAAGTAAAAAAATTATTTACAAATTTCGAACATCTTTTTTATTATTTTCAATTTTAGCTTTTGTTTTGTATGGTAAAATACCTGTGTATTAAATATCTCGTGGTTCATTATAAGGAGGTGATGGTATTAATAAGTTGCATTTATTCATAGGTTATTTTAATTCACTTATATTCATTCTAATTGATTATTTTTCATCTTCTAAAATTAAGTAATATTCATTGTTTTTTATTTCTAAACTAGCCTACAATTTCTCTTAATATTTATCTTATTTTTCTAATTTTTTTGTCCATTTCAAGAATTAATGTCTCCATTCAGTTGGTAATTCAATTTCAGCCAAACAGGTTTCTTAATCAAAAAATGACTTATTTTAGTTTTACATTTAAATAAATAATAGATGAGAATATATACACTTATTTTAATTTGCTTAATAAATATTGGATATTCTCTATCTATTTAGATAAATCATAACCCAACATGCTTTTATGTATAATCTACTGAAAATAATTGTTAATTGATAGTGAATTTTCAAGTTTCAGGAATGGATGAGAATAAAACTGAAATTATCATTAAATCTGAAAATAATGATTAATTGCTATAAAAAGTAAATGGAAAAGAAGGGTCTTTAAAATAAACATTAAAAGAAATAGGAACATATTTTATTTGTTTTAAAAGTTTGAATAGAAGCTTTAAAACTGTTAGCTTTGATTTTGATGTAGATGGAGATGATAAAGAGTATGCTTAATCAGAATAATTTAATTAAATGTCTAAAGAATTATCTAGAACAAATAGAAACTTTTAATCTATTTATAGAAATCAAAATTGGATTACTGATAGAGAAAACTCTCATAAGATTAGTAAAATTTTTAAATATTATTTTAATTAGTTTTAGAAAATACTTAAAAATCAATTTATTGGTGTTCAATTACAAAAATAGGAGTTTTAATATTAATTACAATATTACAAACTATATTTGTGTACAAATTTTTTAAAGGAATAGATGTTAATTCACAAACCTGTTGAAATTATAATTAGTTGTTCATTTATTATTATGTAATTATTTCATAGTTAAAACATATAAAATATTATTGATAATATATGAATTATAGATGTGATAATATAATATTTGTATTTAAATAATTTAGTTAATAAATTATTTATTAATCTTTCCATATAATAAGTTAATGGATTTGGAGAACCAACTTTTGATTCTAAAAGATTGTTCTATTTAATCAAAAGATTTATTGATAATGATTTCACTTTTATCATATTATATCTTCAATTCTTACTATTAGTGCATCCAATATTTTATTCTACTTATTTCAATTTGACATCTATATCAACACTCTAGTAATGCCTTTGCGAAAACATTTATTCTTGAATATTTAACCTTCATTTGATTTCACTTTTTTTAATTAAATAAATTCAATTATGTAAAATTTTATATCTTACTTTATATGCCGTAAAAATCTTGAATAATTGTTATGTTTAAAGAAATTCTATTAAATATCTTTTTCCAATACAATTTAATTATAATATCTCAATGCAGTTCCTTTATAAGTCCAATTAATAATATTTGTATTCTTTTGATCTTAAAATATGATAATGCATATCATAATTCCAACATTTGATATGTTTTTAGAAGGAAGGAATAGATGTATTTGTATTCATTATAATCTTTAATAGATAATATTTATAAACAATTATTATTAATTAGAAAAATTTATATGTGATTTATGCTATAAATTTCATTATTAATATTTTATCTTATTCTTTTATTTTTTTTTTTATTCCTTGAAAGAATAGAAAATAATTTATAATAGTATAATAAATTTAGTTATAATATTTATCAAAAATAATTCACAAATTACACTACAATTTCAAACTTTTGCCATATTTTTACATACTTAATATATTTTAAGAAAATTGTTGGCTTTTCGAGGATCTTTTGGAAGTTTATTATTTAATTCATTTGTTTCAAAATAATCAAAATATTTGTATAATTAAGTTTAACTTTTTATTTTAAAGCAAAATTAACTTATTTCATTCAAACATTTTTGATGTAAATGAAAATACTATTTTAAATTATCACATTAAGGATAATTTTTAATCATTTTTAAATAGTTTATTATTTCTACATCATTTTAATAGTTTATTTTTAAAGATTCACAATTTAACCAACATATTTCTGATATTGTATTTAAAATTTCATCTTCAACTAATTAGGTATGTTGTGGTTTAATTCCAAATATTATTGCATATTTCTAAATTATTGTTGATTTTTCTATTATTTTTTAGGATTATCTCATTTATTCCCAACTTTCAAATGAAATTTTTCTTAATTCTAAAATTGATATTTATTTTAATAGTAATTATACTATATATTAAATAAATTGTATTAATCCATTATCATATGAATTTTCATGGCTTAAATGTGTATTCAGATTGTAATATTAAGCTAAATCTTCATATTTAGGTTATCTTTATAAAAATGAATAGTAATTTCCTATTTCAATGGCTTAATTTAATGATTAAAAATACTTAATTTTATTTTACTCTGAATAATCATTTAAAAGCATATTAAATAAGTGCTTATAAATTACAGATTAAGTAAAATTAATAATTAGGTGTTTTTATTATTAAAATTAATTTTCTTCAAATTCATCTTAACATTAAAAAAACATTTCTTTTCTTAATTTATCTTTTGCCATTTCTTTTGGAATAAAAAATTATATCAAATTTCTTAAAAATTATCCATAGAATAATTTTGTATAAAAATAATCATTTTCATCTAAATATCTTCTTATATTACCATTTATATCATCAAAATCTATTTTTTAATAATTTAAATTTAAAGAATCAAAGAATTTACCTATACCAGTCTATCCTTCATCATTTAATTAAAAAGATCCTAAATTTTATATTTTTGGCAATATAAACTCATTATAAATTTCTTCTGGTGTAATATTATTTTTCCTAAACAAACAAAACACATTTAATAATTAATACTATGAAGTTTTAAATTCTTAATTTTAAATTGATTATTTATAGATGTCTTATTCAATAAACACTTATTCACAAACTTCGAATATTTCTTATATCATTTCTTATTGCCATTATGAATTATTATTCACTTTTATTAAATATTTCAGAGTACTTTAAATTAATTTAATATATGAATTTTCGTCATAAAATTCATGATTTTATGTAATTAAGTATGACATTTTTTCCCTAAATAATTCGCATTTCAATAATTCTTCATTTTTTTCTTCTTTTTTTAATAATGGTAATATACAATTTGGCCTGTCTCTTGTCAAATTTTTTTTATCTAATTATATAGTTGTCAAATCTATAATCTTTTCTACTTGAGAAATCGAATTAACCTTAATTTTCAATATATTTAACTGTTGTTTAAATGTAATTTATAACCCATAACCTACAATTGGGAATAGATTAATCATTTAATTTTAATCATTGCATTTTTTCAAATTTTCTCGAAAGTCAGGGTTCTTTAATTAATCGACCCAATTTTCTAAAGTTATACAGGATGGGACCTATTAACTCTATTTAAGTGTTATTTATAAAAAAATTTAATTCATAAATCCATTTGTTTGTTTAAGCGTATTTGAATAACTCAAATTCTATTAAAGGTATAAATTATATTTATAGATTAGAAATTTAATCTATATTAAACATTCTTTCATTTTTTTAAGGGTTTAAATTCAAATAATGTAATTATGTATTCTGGATAACATTTGTTTATTATATACTTGTTTATTTTTAATTATTTGATGCTCATCAGAAGTTATTGAATTTCACCTTAATATCAATTTATATTATACTTGATTTTAGATGTTATTTATACATTAATGTCTTCTAAATCTGATTCAGTTTATGAATATATAATCATTTTATGATTCTTGCAGAAGTAATTTAGTTTTTAGTATTTTATTATAAATTCAAATAAAATAAAATTTAAACATCTATTAATAAATTTTTCTTATTAGTAATTGATACATATTTTATAGGCTATATAGAATTCTAGAGAGTAATGTAATTCTCATATTCCTTTAAATCCAAAAATTATGAGATTCTTGTTCTTTAAAATATAATTAATTGATTAGGATGAAATATTTATATTATAAATAAGTATGAAAATATTGAAATTAGGATTGATTTGTAATTTTTGTGACATAAAAAAAATTATGTTTTAATATATTTTATTTAATATTGTGTCAATGACTATCGTGATGAATGTTTACTATATAGAATGCTGTTTCAATACTTGAAACCAAGAAGGCTCTGTCCTTGATTTCAATTCCAAATTCTTTTTCAAGAGCATCATGAATATGAATACATGTAGCTACATCTACATATCCTGCAGCATCATTCCAATTTGTATTAAATGTAATTGGGGTTGATTCCCACTAAAAAGTTTAATGAATTAATTATATACTCTTTCAGGATCGATTTTTCTTAATCTTTCTCCAACCACTTTAATTATTCTCTTGGCTGTCACAGCTGGCTAAATTTAATGTTATTTGAATACATTATTATAAACAGATCCATTAGGAAAATGATATGAATAAAGAGGAACTTGAGTTTACATAGTCTTTGCAAATGTAGATACTAATTTATTCATATTATTTTAAATTATTATTTATTGTATTAATATACTCATTGTTTCTTAGCTTATTATTTTTTTGCTTATGGTTTCTTAGTTTCCTTTTCTTTTGTTTATTCCTTCTATTATTCCTTAGGTTATTATTTCTTTTATTCCTTCTTTTCATCTTTGACTTCAACTTCAGCATCTTCCTTTAATTTCTTGATTCTCAACATACCTTATTTTGCAGATAATCCAGCAGGAGTACTACAATTATAATTAATATTACTTGACTTCCCAAGCACCACCAGCAATTTATAAACCAGTTTATGTGCATCTCCAAATACCAATAGCTTATCTTTTAAGTGAATGCTATATTATTAGATGAAATTTATACGGCTCCAGTAAATGTATTGAAATATCTTTAGTGCTATGAAATTTCGAACTTCTTTATAATCTTTCTTAAAGATGCACCATATCTTGTACCATATTTTCCTGTAATTCCAACCTTCTTAGTCTTTTTGGTCATTTCAAATAATAATTAAAATCTTTAATTTATTTTTAAATTATTATCCAATCCACTTATTCCCATATCATTCTAATCTATTCATATCCTTATACTTCAATTTCAATCTTTCTATCTTAATAAATCAACTATTACAATTATATATTATAATTTTTATCATTCTATTCCAATATTTCCCTTTAAAAGGAATTATTTAACTCTTAAATCTCTTTTAATTAATTATAAATGAAACACTAAAAAAAATAGAAACAAGAGTATTAATTATTTAATGTCGAAAAAGTCGTTGGCAAGAGATATGATCCTGAAACTAATGAATTATAATATTGTATCAAATGGGAAGGCTATCCTGATGAAGAAAATACTTGGGAACCTGTAGAAAACCTATAAAATGTTCTATCCTTCATTTAAGAATATGAAGCTACTCAAAATAATACAAGAAAAAAGCAAAAAATACAATTGGATGATAAAAAACTCAAATAATTGCTCCTCATCAAACTAAATCAATTTCTAGAATAAATGGCCCCTAAATATGAATTATAAGAAATCAACCTAAGTGATTTTGACAGCTCTGAAGAAATAAAAGAATAATAACAGTAATAAGAAACATAACCAAAAACTACACAAGAGCCATATGAACCAAAATCTCATATATTACAACAAGGCTTTCATTGGTGTCCTTAAAATTATGAATCTAATATAGATTATTGAAAATATCATGCCAAAATTTTGTGCTTATATGACTATTTTAATTAAATTCTTCCTAACTATTTTTATAAATAGATAATGAATCTAAAGTCTAGCATTAATTATTATTTCTTAAATCAACTATTTTTTATATTGTTCCTAGATTTATTTTTTATTCAATCATTCTTATAAAATTATTTTAATTAATATATTTACTAATTAATTCTATTAAACTTTCTTAGTTAAAATATTAAAAAAATGTGAGCATTAATAAACATTAGATTTAATACCTATTTAAACATAAAAATTATTATTTTAAACAGAATTCTTAAATTCTTCAAAAATTATTAATACTTAAATTATGAATATAGTATAGTCAAATTTATTAAAAACGTATTTATCAATATATTAAAAACATTTATTGATATATAATAAGATGTAATTGTTTTTTAATTAAAATAACCCTTAATTCTTTTTTTGGTGATTAATTTATATTTTTGATGTATGATATGAGAATCAAGTTTAAAATTAATAAACACTTATAATAATTGAATCATAAAATTATTAATTTCTTTATGTAAACAATAATTATAAGTTTTCAATAAAGAATTTAAAATCTATTAATGATGAAATAAGAAATAACTATATTATACTTTAACAAGTTTAAATAAAGAACTTAGATGATTTTATAAACTGAATCTAGATGACTATAATAATTGCTAATTGATTAATTTTTAGTTAGTATAAATATTATATTTCCCGGAAATATATGAAATAAACAAATAAAAAAGAGCTGTATCTTGATAGTAATTTTATAAAATTTGATTTGATCATGAATATTAATTTATATTCTCTTAATTTATTTGAAAATCATATTTTAATTTATGATTTTAACATAATAAAATTATGATGGATACAAAGAATATGATATTAATAGAAAATTGAGAGATGAGGAAAAGTAGACTAGAATGATGAAATAAGAGATTATGAAATAATAACTAATTGAATAGCAATAATTATAAGAATAAAGAAAAAAGGAGTTACAGCTATAAAAATAAAAGGAAGATGAAGAATAGATTCAATTAATTCGTAAAAAGTAAGGAGAAGAAAAGTTTCAATAAATATAGAATAGAGAAGCAACAAAATAAAATCTATAGCATTAGAATTATCTTATTTAGAATCATCAGAAACTATTAATTGATGAAAAAGTAAATATTATTTTATTATAATAGAAACAAGAAACATTAAAGATAGAGAATGATATTATCAATAATGCAATAAATGGATTATCTTTGGAGGAACAAATGAGAAGATAGAAAAGAGAAATGTAAAAATAAATTGTTGAATAATAAATGAAAGAATTACAATAAAGAAAAGAAAAAGAGAAAAAAGATAAAGAATTTGAATAATTAATATATAAAGAATAAACTTAAAATGAATCACATAGAATATAAAAATAAGAAGACTCATACAGAAATGTAACTTAAATCTACAATATTAAATAGTATTACCAGAAATTATCAGAAAGATAAAATATATTGTAAGATATCTATCGATAAAAGGTTGATAACCCAAAAATATAGCTTGATTATATTATTGATTAATAAGTGAAGGATAGGTAAAATAAAGAAGAGAATGAATACTTAACTAAAAGATAATTGTAGTAAAAGTAAAAGGAAATGTACTAAAATGGATTGGCAAATTAAATATAAGAGAAAAATGAAAAAAAGAAATTAGAAGATAATATAAAAGAACAGAGGAAATTAGAAATATTACAAGCTTCTATATAATATGAAGAATAATAAAGATAAGATAGATTAAAAAAGAGAGAAGTTTAGTAATAATATCACACATAGTTATCTACTTTAGTATATTATCAAAATGATTAATAATAGAGTTAATCTTAGAGTTATGGTAGTGGAATCATGAATACTGAGATATCTTAATCAAATATCTATAATCCATTAACAAATCCCATTTCTAGTCAGATTTAAAATCCATATATACTTCGATAAATTTAACACAACAATTCAAGTCTCCAATAATCCCCATCAATGAATTAATCGAAGTTAGCATCTTTTGGTAAAAGCAGTTTAATAAATTGATATATATATATTATATAAATATAATAATTATTGTTATTTGCTTTAAATAATTAATTCCAAGATAGTTACAAATTAAATAAAGCAAATTGTATAATATTTGGTTTTACAAAGCAAAATTAATATTAATGCTTATAATTTATATAATAATTCTATAATGTTAAAATATATAGAAATTTTATCTTTTCTAACAATTTTATTTCATAATTATATTATCTCTTATTTCTTAACATATTCTTAATTCTAATTACTTTGAAACTTTTTATTATTATATTTATATTCTATTTAATGTGTTAAAGAAAATAAATAAAAAAATAAATATTATAGAAATAATGTAAGATTCAAAGCAATAAAGTGGAGATCTTTAAAAATAATAAAATAGTGGAGATTTTAAAAAATAATAAAATAGTGGAGATCTTTCAAAATAATAAAATAGTGGAGAAGTAGAATTTATAGGTCAAAATTCAGAAAAATAGTTAATTACACGTTCTTAATAAAACTCCAAATAAAACAGCGAGAATTTTCCTTAAAATAAGCATGTATCTGATTAATCAAAAAGTTATAAACTAATGGATCTGGAAGTATCTATCAAGTCAAAGCAATAGCTTTAGGAGGAAGATGAAACAGCACTAAAAAATTTCATAAAAAATTATTAATATCATTCAAATTACACAATAGGAGCAGTATTCAATAATTTCATTTATATAGTTCCTTTCAAATTTAAATACTCATCTATAATCTAATGAGAAAATTTAAGATTATAATGTAGTAATATAAACTAATCATCTAAATGATTTTGAACCAGATACAAATACTTAGCTAAAGGATCTTACGAAATCTAAAATTAAATAGTATTTTGCAAATGTAAGAATTTTATAGAATTTAGAAAGATAATGTGTTTGAAAGCCCTAAAATTAAAGAATTCTTAAAATAATAATTTGAAGATATTTTCCCTAATAAGAAAGTTGCTTAAATGGATTTCATCAGTTTAACAATTAATTTGGTGCTCTTTGAAGAAGGACATAATGCATGATTCATTATAATAAAAATCATAAAATATATTTAATTATTAATTATTATTATATTAGATATATGTAATAACGATATTAAGTATAAGTAAATGAGTTATAAATAATAATTAAAATAATAACCATTAATTGAGGGAATATTGGATATATTTGTTAGAAAATCTGCTATAAACAATAATATATAGTAAATAATATCAATAACAGAACCAATAAGTAACAGATGATCTAATATTGAAGAATAGTAGACATAGATATAAGAAAATTAATTGAAAAATATATTAGTATTGGTGATTCATTTTGGTGTAGCATTATTAATTATTGGATTATCAACACATTTTAATTTAAGTGAATAGAGATATCATAAATACCATTTATTATTTAGTTTTTGGTTTTACTACAAATTTTACATAAAAAATCTGCAAACACTACCTGAATCAATTCTACTCAAATTTCGAACAATTATTGCAATCTTTAAAATATTCAATTAATTAACATAAGGCTAGAGAAGATAATTCTGATAAGGATGAAGCTAATCCACTATCAGTAGGAAATTAATTATTTGATTCAACTCTTTATCCCATATTAGATAATATCCAGAATCACTTATCCCAATAGTTTATCTGATAAAGAATTCTTGTACTTATTATATGCAAATCATTTTGATTAGATTAGTTAATTCCGGTTTATATATTGAATAATTTTTTAATCTTCTTACTCTTAGTAAAGTCTTTGTAAATTATTAACAATTAAATCTTAGATTAAATATTAAGGTTGTTGTAGTGAATAAATCCTGTTAATTTAGTGTCATATCAATATTTGTTTTATTGATTTTCAAAAATATTTAATAAGACCTATAATTAATGAAGATGTGAGAATTAGTCTCTTATTTAATTATGTAAACATAAATTTAATAATTAATTAATTTATATCAAGCATAAGGATTAAATCCTTAGTTTGTTCTTGCAGATCTAAATATTCCTCTAATCTGAACTGAATACTTTCTGTAGAATAAATAAATCCCAATAAGCAAGCCTATTTCGACATATATATAGTAATTCTATACTATATCTGATAAATTTCTAATTTATAAGGTATTTTATTTTGCTTCTGGATTTTTAATGAAAATTTTAGAATCAGTCAAATCAAAATAGAATTCTTTATTATTCATAAAAGGTTGGCCTAACAAAATAGTTTTTTAAAATTTAGGTTCATAATTCCTTGTATGATCAAAAAAAGGTAAACAATATAAATCTTATTAAGGATTAAGTAAATAATCTTTTGCATTCAATTTATATTGATATCCATTTTAAAAATTGAAACTAAACTCAGGAAATGTTTCATAAAAATTGGAAATATACCCATAACGAATTCTATCATAATAATAACATTAATATCCATCATAGTTAAGTTCTTAAGGACAACCTCTAATATCTTATTAACATTTAGCAAATGATTTTTGAAAAGATTATAGTGTTTCTGAATCCATATTAATTAATGTGCTTCCTGTATCTACAATAATCTGATAGTTTTCAAATTAATTTGGTTAAAAAACTACATTGTTTTCATCATCCTATAATTATTGATAAATTTACTGTGACAGTTGCTAAATCTATTTAATAATATTTAGAATGCTTATCAAAAGGTATAGTAATTTCATCATAGTTTGGATAATCTTGACCAATTGTTAGTTTACCATTTTCATTTTTTAATAATATTGAAAATATCTTATGTTGGCTTTTAAATTAAAATTTTTTATATAAGACATCAATAAAACTGTTTTAATTTCCCATTCCTAAAAGTTAAGATCCACTATCTAAAATGCATTCAAAATCAAATTTAATATTATTTTCTCCAATCTTAATTATATCTGATACATTAATTGTTCTAATCGATTCTCCATCATAAGTAGTCAATAACTTTTGACATTATAAGTCTTCTACTTCATTACATTTTTCCAAAGTCATTGATTTCTATATTTAAATTAAAATTATTACATTATTGCACATTAATGAAGTTAAAGGAGCACCTGTGTCGACAATGAGTTAATATTGAATTTATGGAGTACCAATCTCTAACTCTATATAATACTCTGTCTGATATTAATTTCTTATGAGATCAAATATTAATTAAGAACTTGCAATAGAAAATAATAAAATAATCATTGAATATGTGGATTAATCAATTATTAATTTGTTTTCCTTAATTTAATCTTAAATAAAATGTAATAAATGATGAATGTAAAGATGAACAATGAAATTCCTGTAAGAAATTTTGGGATTTCCAATTTTTTTATCAAAGGTATTGATATCGATATCGTAGGAGCATCAAGACTAGTTTCTAAAGAACAATTTTAATAATTGACAATTAGTTTCTCTCTTCCAAAAATAAACTCTTTATTTCTCATAAATGGTTAGCCTAGGATAATTTGTCCAACTTTTTAAAATGATAAATAATATTACTTCCTCTTTTTACAGGAAAACAATAAGTCTTATTATCATGTGTAACTAAATAATCTTATGGAAACCAAATAAACTCTGAACTTTCATTAAATAAAAAGCTTATCTTAGGAAACTTTTCATAAAATTTATCTATATTATTATAATCATTATCATAACATATTAATCCATCTATATCATTTCTTTAAGGACAGAAAAATCCTTAACATAAAAATTATTTTATTAATTAGAGATATAAGTTTTTAGGAAAGACAACATATGTATTAGTGAAATCTATTTCTGCATCTGTTTCATAAATATTTGGAAATAAGAAATTTTATTTAATTTCTAATGAGATTAATTTCAATCTATTTTATTAACAATTAGATTCCTAATTGCATATAGATTTCATCTAATCAATTTAAATAATTTAGTCATCCTTTTAAAAATTACCAATTTTCATATAACCCCCATTTTAAGCCAAACATAATTTAAGTTACTATTAGCTATTAAATTTTTGTATTATTCCACCAAGGCCTAAATAATTGTTAATTTCTTAAAAGTAAGTATACATTTATCCACAAAAATTTTAAATTATTAAATCTCCTATCTTCATGTGACAAGAAGTATCATTACAAATGTAATTAACATCATCAATTTATCCTATCATTTTTCTCTCTAAAGGGATTGCTCCAATTAATATAAATCTTTAAGCTTAGAAATGATGAAATTTTGATTAATTATTTTCACATCCTAATAATAATTCTATTGCACCATCAAAATTCTAATCTAAAATCCATCTTTTATTGTTCAATTCTACATAATAATAATTTTAAGAGAAATTTCCATAAATTGGCATTGAACTCACTATCTATACTAATAATAAAGAGAGCATTTATTATTAAACTTTTAATTTATATAATAAAAAAACATCTCTTAAAATTCAGAGAAAAATGATTTATGAAATATTATATATCATAACTATTCATTTAAAATAATCTCCTAAGTTATAAATTATATATTAATTTAGAAAATGTGATTCTAAAATGGCTATATGGGCTTTCCTTCCTAAAAAGGTATCGAAATCTCTATTAAAAATATTAAATAATATCATTTACCCATCATAGAACTTATAATCAATACTAATTCTTAAGACTTCATTTTAATGCAATTATCTTAAAATATTTGTTGCCATTTCATTATGCTTTTATTCATTTTCAATTCCTTATACTTTCATTAATAAACTACTTTCACTATTTACATAATGATCCTATTAAGAACCAAATAAAATAATATGTTTAAATTTATTCATTCCAGGAAATTAGGATAGCTTTAATAATGTATCATCATAACAATTTAATTAAGATAAACTTTGAGATTTCTTTAGTTTCTAAAAAAACCACATCCCAAATTTAATTAAAGGTCTTTGATTTGTCACATTACCTAAATGAGGCGTTCCTAATGTTAAGAAAGTATGAAACTCAAAATCCAAATAAGGTAATGCTGCTCTTATAATTAATCCTCCTAATGAATGTCCAATAAATGATATGACTAGTTTATCTGTATAAGACCATGTTGCAATATAGTTTTTAATTTCATCACTAAGATACTTTCCCATTTATAATATATCTCCTTCTGTGTTTTATTGATTACATAATGATACTAATAACATATGCTATGGAAATCTCAAACACATATAATTCTCCAATAATCTCATATCATATGAATGTCCTTAATAACCATGAACTAAAACTATAAGATGCAATTTAGATCTAGACAATTAGAATGTTTATCTTGTAACATAATGTTTTTCAACAATCATTAATTTATCTTTTATTTCATCTATTATTTTTAAATCAGCTATTTTAGATGGACCTTAAAGTAACAATTTTTAATATTCTAATCTTTTACTTTATAAATCTGCCTACTCTTGACTTTATTTTTATTATTAAGGTATCATTGTATATTAATGATCTACTACAGGAATAACTTCTTTTTAAGTAAATGCAGAGTATCTACTTTAAAAATTTGTTAATGATTCTTTCTTCAATTACCTAAGTAATTTTTAATGTCCTAATTTTAATCCAATAATTATTTTATGCCATAATTGATTTATTGTACTTTGTAATACTTTAAATTCGTTAGCCATAACTTTGCTAATTAATTATGTATTTTATTCATTTTTTAATAATGAATCTGCACTAGATAATGGTAAAACTTAAAAGCTTTTGGTTTATCTCAAATGATATTGCATGCCTCCACTGCTGCTTGGTCTTTCCATCTCTAACTCCATATTATAATAAAATGTCTGCATATTTCGATAAGATGTCTTAAGAGGTTCCAACACTTTATTATACAATTATCTCATATTTATATGTTAATGTTGATCTACTGCCATCTTATCCTCACTTTATACTTATTATAGTTAAATATCAAAACTAGTCAATGAACAAAGTACCTAATCTTTTATATATTCAAAAATACCATTATATTCAATAAACTAAAGTGATCTTCTCCTAATATCACAGGAACATATTCATATATCCCATTAGATGAGTTTTCAATTTTAAATTTTGCCATTGATATACTTTAAAATGAAACAATTTTCTAAGCTAAATCATAATACATCAATTCAATCTCCATGAAACATGGTTGCTCCTTCAAATTATGTGGAATTGCACCACTGAACCTACATCCATTTTTTATCTCAAATTTTTCCTTTCCAATTTATATAATTTAATACTTCCTCTGTCCATTATCTCAATAAGAAAGCATCACTCATATAAAAATTATCAATTATGTGTTATGGCAAGTATTGTTATTCATTTCTCTTAAATAACAGGGTTTCTTTCGGAGTGAGAGGAATCTTCAAATTTTGGGACTGCAATACTCAAAATCACTTACACTCTATATATATAAGTTAATCCTTATTTGATACATTCCCTCATCTAATAAAAAGATCCCAATAGTTTTAAGGGAATCCACAAAAACGATAAATTCAATTATTGCTTTAGCTTTCATTTTTATTATTTAATTTGTTATCTTACACACTAATCAATCAATACTTAAATTATTAATAAGAAAATGATATAAATAATGATCATCAAATATAAATAAACATTTATCTTATTTATTTTGTCTAACGTACTAAGAGAATATGTAAATTTTTAGTTAAAAAAATTGTATGTTATAAAAAATCATGTAATAGATCAGTTAATTTTTTTAATATCCATTTAAAACAATTTTATTATCATAAATTTATTATTCTGCTGCTGAAGAATTCATTTTTCTCATTTCAATTATATCAAAATGATGTTTAAAATAAATGGACAAATTAAGGTTTACTTTAATATTTCTAATAAAAACCCTATTAAATGAGTAAAATAAACAGAACTATAACACACTTCTCAAGGATTAGAAATAGTTCTTTCTAACATAATAATAAAAGATTTTGATTAAAAATGTGTGATAAAACTAATAGAAAAGAGATGTTAATAATGCAAGTAGTTATTTTTAGAATGCTCTAATATTAAGAGGATTTGAAAAAATTTGATAAGATTATACAATAACCAATATAAGCCTATTAAATAACAGATGAATGAAAGAGTATTAAGATAAAAAAAATAATATTTCTAATTATTAATATAATTTAATGCTTTTTGTTATTTTTCTCAGTTTGCTTTATTGTAAACAAGTAAGCTAAAAGACATACTATTTTATTATTCAACTTTTTTTGGCTAATAAAGTCTTAACTCTTTTTAGATAATTTTAAGCTCTTTATTCTTAAGTATTTTGTAAACAATCCTAACTTTATAGAAGGACAGAAAGGTATGCCAAACCAATTATTTCATAAAATTATAGTTACTCTATATATTCTTTGATACAAATCTATCCAAATAAAATTTATTTTACTTTTTTATCATTGAATTTGAAGCATTTTTAATTTTCTATAATTTATTACAATAAAAAATATGTGCAAGTTAAGGCTGCTTTACTAAGCTTATTTTAATTAATTAATATTACTTGTTTGAATTTGTATGAAGTTTATTTTCTAAAAGTTTAATGAAATTATTTATTTGCTTTAATCTAATTTGCTATTCTGTACTCACAGTATAAGCAATTATATAAAGGTTTAGTGAAGGATAAAATTTAGCAGTTATGAATAATTTATGATATTTTATTAGAAATTGAAAAATGATGTTATTGATTTTCTAATTTATACATTAAATAATTAATAATATGAGATTAGGAACACTTTTGAGGCTCTTCAATTAATAAGATGAATAATAAGTTGGATTTATATCGCTAGAGCAGGTAGATAAAATTTTAAATAATATTTATGAATGCAATAAAGAATGTAAAGAATTTTCAATTACTTTTAGACTAGATTTACTTCGATAATCTTTTGCTCAAAGGTTGTAAGGAGTTTTCAATTGAAGATATTATTATGATCATAACAGAAATAGATTATTATGAAGAATTAAGATAATCTGTAATGTAACAATAGCAAGAATAAAATTTAAATTAAATGTAAAGTGAAATGCTGATAGCTTAAATAGAAGTTAATTAAAGAGATAGAAGAAGAATTGACTATTTAAATAATCCTTACATAAATAATTTAATTACAATGCTCAAAGATTATTATAAAATATGTTGTAAGAATGGAGATGTAAAGGAAATGCATAGAATAGAAAACAGAATATAGGAAATTAAAGTAAAACAACAAAAACGCTGGAAAAACTATATTAACTAATTACAAAAATATTAGGAAACTTTGATTTAAAAAACAGCATTTGAACATTAATATCATTAATAAAAAAAATGGAATGAGTTTGTTATAGATTTCTAGAATAGTAGATTTTATAAATTTAATATGCTTTTAGTAAAAAATATATATATAATATAAGGAACAACAAAAAAAAACTATTTAAGAGATGAGCAAATAATTTTAAGAAGAGCTTTAACCAAAAGTTTTTAAGGTTTCAAAAAAAGTTCTAGATATGAGATCTAAATAAAAATAACTTTTAAAATTAAAGGAATTTTCATAAGCAGAAAAAGTGAAAGAAGAAGCAGATTTACTTGAATACCTTGAAAAGAAATAATAAGAAATGATTGTAATAAAAACTTAATTGTTATATAGTTAAAAACTTAAGTGAAAAGGAAATTGAAAGTCTTAAAAAAAAGATAATCATGTCAGATATCAGCATTTATGTAAAAAGTAGCAAGTGAATAAGCAACTCATCTTTTGCAAAAATAAGCTAATGAGAATAAATGGGTTAATATAAATAAACATTGTGTTTAAGACATTAATGAAAGATTTAATAAAGATAGAATCATAACATTAGCTTCAAGAAGATCATTTGATGCTTGCAGACTTAGAACAAAAAGTGCTAATCCATAAGCTGCTAGAACTAACATATCTCATCAACTGACTTCACAATATGAATGAATATATTCATTATTTTACTTATTATTCTTGTGTGATTTCATGATAGAATTTTAATAATATTATTCTTCAATTAATTTATAAAAATATAACTAGAAATGAATTAAAATTTCATTTTTATTATTTTGTTTGTCTTTCAACTCTAATTCTTGATACTTCTAAATATTTTTGTTAAGCAAATTTCTTTCTAACTGCTTGAAGATTTGATTTGTCTGAAGATTAAAGAATCAAACACATTTCCTTTGCACAAAATCTTAGTTCCTGTTCATTGTATCCTGTTGTACTTTACATCTCTTCATTCCAAGATTAAGGAGTCTTTCTATGAAAATATAGGTTTGATACCTTATTTTATGTACTAGATATATAGCAGCAGAGGTTAAGAAAGATGGCTTATAATTCATAAATTTGATATCAACTATTGAAAGTTCCAATAAATATTGGGCTAAAAATAAATTTTTTGTATCTAATCCAGCAATTCTTCCAAATCTTTATAAAAAACAATAGCTTGATGGTTGAGTAATTGAAAAATCAAGAGCTTATAAAATTTAACCTTCCATATCTAAAACATCATATTTTGTATAAGCATTATCAGTAATATAAACAAAGTCTTTTAAATCTGGTGGGTAAATTTCTTCATATTTACAAGCTATAAATAATGAAGCTACTCCTACTAATTATAATTGCTATCTAGTTGTTTTTTAAATATTCAAAAATCTATCAATTAAATATGATGTAACATATAGGGTTTCATCCCTTAATTTAAATTTAAGGTGAACGTCTACTAACCAATCAACTAAAATAGATCTCATTCTTGCATTTAAGTCTGGTTATTGTTGTTCATTCATATAATTATTACTAACTAAGTATTTCTATTCTTAACTTAATAAATATTAAAAAATTTCTTAATTGTATAATGGCGTAAATTATGGATCCTTTATAATTTATTAATCAAATTGGCATAATTAATTAATATTAGTCTCTTCTTCCATCTAATTTTCCTTTTCTCCACACCATAAATTAAGTTTTAAATATCTTGGTTGTACTGTTAAATGCTTTGGTTTATTTCTATCAATGTTTTCCTTTTAAAATTCACCTGAAGAATTGGCTAATTCCTTACCAAAGATCCTATACTGTTCTTGAATCATTTTAATTATACGTTAAAAATTATAATAATCTGTTAAAATATTATAAATCAAATAATTTATAATATTTTTCTGAATATTCACTATCATATAATATTATTTAAGTTTCATTTTGTATTTGAATATTTATTGTAAAATGTAAGTACAATTTTAACGTAAACCTTTCAACAATTAAATATCTAAAAAGTTTCCTTATTAATTTTAGGAATATTATATAAAAGACTCTTTTATTATGCATAGCACAGAAAGAATATTAGAAATTTAGTTTAAGTAATTATTAGTAATGGATGACTGAGTTCTATAAAAATAATTTTTTTCCATAAATTATCAAAAAATCTGGCCCATAATTTTTTTTTTTATGGTAGAGATATGTCATCTTAAAATAATCCAAAGAATGAATTTCATGTATGATAAAATCTATACAAAAAATTTCTTTTTTAGCCGTAGAATAATTAAATATACCGCTTATTGTGACTTAATTTTCACTACATATCAAGCAAGTAAAAATAATAACTCTTACAAAACTAATCAATGCATGAATTATTCATAGACAATACCATTAAACATCTATAGTAAATCTTATTCAAAACAATTAACATTAAACCATAATACTTTTACAAAAGCATTTTAAATAATAATTGATTTGGAAGGCTGGCATACAATTTTTACTAATTTTGAAAAAATTATTAAATTTTTTATCTTAATACTCGATTTAAGATTCTTCGTATACTATGACACTCATATTCCCATCCTCCATTATGGTTTCCTGGTTGTCCTTTTCAGACTTTAATCAGATTTAAAATTCTTAATTGTTCATCTATAAATTAAATTTTGCAGGTAGCCTAATTTAAAATTCAAAGGCTTCAGCTGCTGAACTCATAGTTTTTTTTTATGAATAAAATTTTTTCCAAATAATCAAACATTATCACAAAACCCAAATGTATCATTAATATCAACCCCCTTTTATCGCCACATTTTTACATGATTTTATCTCATTTTATTCATAAATTCAGTTCAATTTAAATCAATATATTTAGATATGGTTATTTGAATGACTGCTTTATAAAAAAATTACCAATATATTATATACTTTCTATTACTGATATTTAATAAGTAATTTCTAATTTAATGGCTCTTATTGCCGATCATAATCAATGATATCTATCAGGAACTAATTTAAAATTTCTGAAATAAAACAATTTCGTGAAAGATCTCTCAATTTCATATTAACCGTATTTTAACCTACATCGTTAATTGTCTTGCTAATTAATTTAGAAATGTTTTCAAATTCTCAATCGACTTTTTAACTTGGATAACACAATTCATTCTCCTCTAAGAATAATTAAAAAAATTAATACATATTATAGACATTCTAGTAATACTCTTGAGGTTTATCAATTCTTCTATTAGCATTCTCTTTTCACTCTTCAATTTCAATCCTTGATTCAAAAGTCAGATCTTTGGATTCTCAAATCTCTTAGGCTGTTTTTGAAATTCATTTTAGGAGAATGTTTCATAAATGCTACTTTATCAAATAAAAATAAATCTGTTATACTTACAACTATTACTTTTTTATTACTGTCTGATCTCTATCTAAATTTTTTTGATCTAAACATTTCATTTTATAATGCAACCAGATCACTAAAAAAGCTTTGTACTAGCAAATAGGAATGTTAAAATTAGATTTACATATTCTTTTAGTTTAGGCTCGTATTTATTTTTTTGCATAAATTTTTTATTACTTCTACAAGCCCTTTTAAATATTTCTTTCCAATTAGTATATAGATAATATTCTTCAATATTATTGAGGTGATATTCAGATAAAAAAAGAGATGAATTTAGCGATACATGCCTTTATTAAAGGATATTTTTAATTTTTTTGGTCGAAAATGACATCTCTGATAACTTCAAGACTTTTTGTAATACCAATAAAATTTTGGATGTTTATAAAATAAAATATTTAGACATGAAAAAATGAAAATAGCCATAAAAAATTACAGATATATATCATTTCATTTAAACTAAATTAAAATTTTTCCTATTAGTATTTTGAATTGTTAAACAGTATCATTTACTATTTGATAAAAAAGTGATCAACTAAATTTATTTGAAAAAAATAATTTCATTATTTAAGAGCGTTTAAAACAAATCTTTTGATCTTTATTTTATAAAGATTAAAATCAGTTTTAATACTAACTAACAAAAATTTTCATATTAAAATTTTACATAAATATTATTTCAATTTAAAAATCGAATTTTTCATTTTAATATAGATTCAAATAATTCTTTTGATAAATTTACCTAAGAGGCTACCATAGCCAAATCATATAAAATTCGATTTCTAAACTCAGATGCCCTTGCTTAATTGTAAGAATATTTTAAATCTCCTTAAAAAGTGTGTAATAATGATAATAAGATAAAGATACCGCAATCATATCTAATATAATATAAATTTTTACCCATTATATTATTTATTCCATTTAGTCTCAAATCGAAAAATGTTGCGGTTAAAATCTAAGCTTTTTAAAATTATATATATGCCTTCTCTCACATCTTCTTCGACCTATTCATAGTAAGAGTCGAAATAATAAATTATTTTGTCTCTTAAATTAACAACAACACTTATCCAATGTGCTTGACTTAGATTAATAGGAAAATATAAAAAATCTTAATTTTTTAAATCTTCTTTAGAGGATAATCCATTCATTTAGGCTACTTAATTTAGTAAGTCAGGTAATTTGTTAATCTAAAATTTTTATTTTTTTACAGGTTCTTCAATACTCATATTAATTATTTTAAATGTAAATGTTTTTTATGGAGGTTATGCATTAATTTGATTTTAAGGTTATACAAATGTTTGTTAAACCGGTTATTATTAAGTTTATTGTATGTGTTGTTAATTAAAATTTTGATTATTTAGCGTTTCATTCTAATAAATATTTGAATTGTTAAAATCATGTTATTTTGAATCTTGGATTTATAATTTTTAAGATGCTTAATTAAAATTAGTTTGTATTTTAATATCATCATTATATTATGAAACAGTGCCTTAAATAATTGAAGAATGTTTGTTTTCATCAGTTTATTACTTAATTTCATCAATTTATTATGAATCGGTGCCTTTAATGATTAAAGAATGTTAGTTTTCATCATTTTATTTCTTAATTTCATCAATTTATTATGAATCGGTGCCTTTAATGATTAAAGAATGTTTGTTTTCATCAGTTTATTACTTAATTTCATCAATTTATTATGAATCGGTGCCTTTAATGATTAAAGAATGTTAGTTTTCATCATTTTATTTCTTAATTTCATCAATTTATTATGAATCGGTGCCTTTAATGATTAAAGAATGTTTGTTTTCATCAGTTTATTACTTAATTTCATCAATTTATTATGAATCGGTGCCTTTAATGATTAAAGAATGTTAGTTTTCATCATTTTATTTCTTAATTTCATCAATTTATTATGAATCGGTGCCTTTAATGATTAAAGAATGTTTGTTTTCATCAGTTTATTACTTAATTTCATCAATTTATTATGAATCGGTGCCTTTAATGATTAAAGAATGTTAGTTTTCATCATTTTATTTCTTAATTTCATCAATTTATTATGAATCGGTGCCTTTAATGATTAAAGAATGTTTGTTTTCATCAGTTTATTACTTAATTTCATCAATTTATTATGAATCGGTGCCTTTAATGATTAAAGAATGTTAGTTTTCATCATTTTATTTCTTAATTTCATCAATTTATTATGAATCGGTGCCTTTAATGATTAAAGAATGTTTGTTTTCATCAGTTTATTACTTAATTTCATCAATTTATTATGAATCGGTGCCTTTAATGATTAAAGAATGTTAGTTTTCATCATTTTATTTCTTAATTTCATCAATTTATTATGAATCGGTGCCTTTAATGATTAAAGAATGTTTGTTTTCATCAGTTTATTACTTAATTTCATCAATTTATTATGAATCGGTGCCTTTAATGATTAAAGAATGTTAGTTTTCATCATTTTATTTCTTAATTTCATCAATTTATTATGAATCGGTGCCTTTAATGATTAAAGAATGTTTGTTTTCATCAGTTTATTACTTAATTTCATCAATTTATTATGAATCGGTGCCTTTAATGATTAAAGAATGTTAGTTTTCATCATTTTATTTCTTAATTTCATCAATTTATTATGAATCGGTGCCTTTAATGATTAAAGAATGTTTGTTTTCATCAGTTTATTACTTAATTTCATCAATTTATTATGAATCGGTGCCTTTAATGATTAAAGAATGTTAGTTTTCATCATTTTATTTCTTAATTTCATCAATTTATTATGAATCGGTGCCTTTAATGATTAAAGAATGTTTGTTTTCATCAGTTTATTACTTAATTTCATCAATTTATTATGAATCGGTGCCTTTAATGATTAAAGAATGTTAGTTTTCATCATTTTATTTCTTAATTTCATCAATTTATTATGAATCGGTGCCTTTAATGATTAAAGAATGTTTGTTTTCATCAGTTTATTACTTAATTTCATCAATTTATTATGAATCGGTGCCTTTAATGATTAAAGAATGTTAGTTTTCATCATTTTATTTCTTAATTTCATCAATTTATTATGAATCGGTGCCTTTAATGATTAAAGAATGTTAGTTTTCATCAGTTTATTTCTTAATTTCATCAATTTATTATGAATCGGTGCCTTTAATGATTAAAGAATGTTAGTTTTCATCAGTTTATTTCTTAATTTCATCATTTGATTATGAATCGGTGCCTTTAATGATTAAAGAATGTTTGTTTTCATCAGTTTATTACTTAATTTCATCATTTGATTATGAATCGGTGCCTTTAATGATTGAAAAATGTTTGTTTTCATCAGTTTATTACTTAATTTCATCATTTGATTATGAATCGGTGCCTTTAATGATTAAAGAATGTTTGTTTTCATCAGTTTATTACTTAATTTCATCATTTGATTATGAATCGGTGCCTTTAATGATTGAAGAATGTTAGTTTTCATCATTTTATTTCTTAATTTCATCAATTTATTATGAATCGGTGCCTTTTATGATTGAAGAATTTTTGTTTTCATCAGTTTAATTCTTAATTTCATCAGTCTATTATGAATCGATGCCTTAAATAATTGAAGAATTATTATTTCCATTAGTTTCTTGATTATTATTTAATTTTAATTTTTATTATATAATTTCACGATTTTCATCATGTTTATTATTTTCAATCATATCATTTTATTTAGAATAAAAGTCCTAATTTTATATTTAATAATAATCTTAATTTCTATTTACCTGATATTAATTAAAGTTAGATATTTAAGTATTCCAAGAAAAATTGGGATTAATATTGAATGACAAACTTTCCGTTGATTGTGTCCAAAATTCAGCAAAAAAATGGCAAAATCCTGCTGCTAACTAAAAATGCAAGTAAATTTTACTTTCACATCTTTATAGACATCCTTGAATATATTCATATAAAATTGTATTTATTGGCTCTCCAAAAAATCAAGTTATTGTATAACCCTTAAAAACCTATAATCGACTGTCACTCCATAGTTTCTTTAATTAAAATTTTTGCCTTTTGACACAAATTGATATGTTTCAATATATTAATATCCCTTATTTTTTATTTGTTCTTTCCAATCTCTAATTTAGTTTTCTTTAGTTTTTGCTATTTAATCTTCATCAGACTTCATTTCTGAACTCATCTTTTCTTATAGAACAAAAAATTTTATCTTATTTTATTTTCTATTAATTTAGATATTTCCAATTAGCTTTATAATGATGGAAAATATTTCAAAATGAACTTAATAAAAATAAAATAATTTATATTTTGAAACTAATATGATAGTACAAATATGATATGATTTAAGATATCCCAAAAATTAAGTATATTAATTGATCAATCCTTATCATAGTAATTAAAAATTTTTTTTGTAAAAATTAACCATAACTTTGACAATAGAAGTAATTCAAGCAGCTTTTTCTTAATTTTTATTTTACATTTAATAGAAAAATGATTTATTAATAATAAATAATCAAAAATAATAGTTCTGAATTTATAAATGTCTTTTCTTTAACTCTTTCATCATACTATAATCAAATTATATGTCTATTTGGAATTGGAATAATTTATGTTGATTTGCTCTAAGAAATTTATGCATTTAGAAGAGAATTATTTTTTTGGTAGGAACTAACAAGCACCTATATCATAAAAACAATTTTTCAAATATCTAAAAATTTTTGATTCCTTTTCCAACCGTCCTACATTCGCATTGATCTTGAGAAATTCAAGGAATAGTGGGGTTTTTATAAAATTCTTCATAATTATTATCAAAATGATATAATTAATTAATTCATTAGTAAAAAGTAAATATATAAAATAATCTCCCAACTTAATTACTAATAGCGAAAATAGCTGTAAAAAATAGAATAGGTGATTATTTTACATTTTTTGATGTTGATTAGATAAGATATTGTGTACTTATTACATAAATCTATAATTTCAAAAAATTTATTTTAAGAACTTAAAATTTCTTTTTTATATATATTTTATTAATATTAATGCAAATAAACTGCTTTTAGTTTGATTATTTTTAAGATTTTGTGCTTTTATATTTTATAAGTTAAAATAAATATTGAAAATTATTATAATAGAATTTAGTTATCAATATACTTAGATAATGAATGGATAACTAAAGTGAACATTTGAATTCTTAACTTTAATTATGAGCACATTTTTAATTAATTATACTTGTTAATTTTTTACTTGCATTGTAACTAAAAATTAGGAATTGCTTTGAACTGAAAGTGATTAAGGATTAACTATTATTTCACAATTATTTTTATTTAAAATTTCTAATTCTAAAGGTAAGCCAATGCGACTATTGTTTCGAAATTAAATTTTGCAATCCAATTTCTTACCTAATTTAAGGGCCATTTATATTATTGGCACTTTATAAAAATCTATTAATGAATTTATTTAAATTACTATTCATCAATCTTTTTGAACATTCAATTAAAGGCAGTAATACCTAACTTTGTATATTAGTGTTAATTTAGCCTTAGATTTTTTATTGATTCGAATTTATAGCAGTTATTATAATTGTTCCAAATAATCCTTTTTAATCTTTTATATTTGGAACTTTCAAAGCTACTTTCATATTAAATTGTTTTTATGCAGGACAAGCAAGCATAAAACGATCTTTGTAATCATATCCATTAAGCTTTCTAGCCGAGTAGACATATTCATCTAAATCATCAAATTCTGTGTTATTGCATACAACTTAAATTCCAATAATAATTGTTTCATTTGAGATATTTTAGAATTAAATATCATCTTCACAGATATTTCCAGGTAAAACGAGACCAAAATTCACTGACTATTTGTTCACATTGATTATATTTTTTAATTCGCTATATTCCTATAATTTATTGATGAATCTTACATTTTTCAATTGTCTATAAATATCATTATTCGATTTTTAGAGAAACTATTACTTTTACAACCCAAATTGTTCTTATCTATTTTCCTTATTAGATGGTGATAAAGGTTAGATAAGTAGTTTTTATTTATGCATTTCTTCATGTNATCATAAAAACAATTTTTCAAATATCTAAAAATTTTTGATTCCTTTTCCAACCGTCCTACATTCGCATTGATCTTGAGAAATTCAAGGAATAGTGGGGTTTTTATAAAATTCTTCATAATTATTATCAAAATGATATAATTAATTAATTCATTAGTAAAAAGTAAATATATAAAATAATCTCCCAACTTAATTACTAATAGCGAAAATAGCTGTAAAAAATAGAATAGGTGATTATTTTACATTTTTTGATGTTGATTAGATAAGATATTGTGTACTTATTACATAAATCTATAATTTCAAAAAATTTATTTTAAGAACTTAAAATTTCTTTTTTATATATATTTTATTAATATTAATGCAAATAAACTGCTTTTAGTTTGATTATTTTTAAGATTTTGTGCTTTTATATTTTATAAGTTAAAATAAATATTGAAAATTATTATAATAGAATTTAGTTATCAATATACTTAGATAATGAATGGATAACTAAAGTGAACATTTGAATTCTTAACTTTAATTATGAGCACATTTTTAATTAATTATACTTGTTAATTTTTTACTTGCATTGTAACTAAAAATTAGGAATTGCTTTGAACTGAAAGTGATTAAGGATTAACTATTATTTCACAATTATTTTTATTTAAAATTTCTAATTCTAAAGGTAAGCCAATGCGACTATTGTTTCGAAATTAAATTTTGCAATCCAATTTCTTACCTAATTTAAGGGCCATTTATATTATTGGCACTTTATAAAAATCTATTAATGAATTTATTTAAATTACTATTCATCAATCTTTTTGAACATTCAATTAAAGGCAGTAATACCTAACTTTGTATATTAGTGTTAATTTAGCCTTAGATTTTTTATTGATTCGAATTTATAGCAGTTATTATAATTGTTCCAAATAATCCTTTTTAATCTTTTATATTTGGAACTTTCAAAGCTACTTTCATATTAAATTGTTTTTATGCAGGACAAGCAAGCATAAAACGATCTTTGTAATCATATCCATTAAGCTTTCTAGCCGAGTAGACATATTCATCTAAATCATCAAATTCTGTGTTATTGCATACAACTTAAATTCCAATAATAATTGTTTCATTTGAGATATTTTAGAATTAAATATCATCTTCACAGATATTTCCAGGTAAAACGAGACCAAAATTCACTGACTATTTGTTCACATTGATTATATTTTTTAATTCGCTATATTCCTATAATTTATTGATGAATCTTACATTTTTCAATTGTCTATAAATATCATTATTCGATTTTTAGAGAAACTATTACTTTTACAACCCAAATTGTTCTTATCTATTTTCCTTATTAGATGGTGATAAAGGTTAGATAAGTAGTTTTTATTTATGCATTTCTTCATGTTATTCAAAATGTAATTACTACTATTCATTCAAAATATTTTGGCTCTCTGTTAATTAATTCATAGTTTAACTAAATTATTTATATTTAATGTTTTCAGTTAAATTCATTATAATATATTATAATTTATATGTATATCCATAAATTATATGGTGGAGAGAACTGAAATGGAAAATTTATGAATTCAACAAAACATTACTTATAGATTTCTTAGTAAATAATATAAATTAAGTTAATAAGTCTATTTTTTTATTGTTAATCAAATATTTTTATTAGTTTAGTTATTAATATACTAGGAGAATTAAGTTCAACTGATATATATATTTTTTTTAATTTTATAAAATTAAATTATATAATTCTCATCATTTTTATGTCTCTTAGGGAATTTTAAATATCTATAAGGCAATTATTTCAAATTCTAGAGCATTTGCTAAATGCATCTCGTAGTTACCTATTTAATAATTACTTGTATTAAAGCCGCTATTTAATTAGGATTTACACTATTTAAATGTTGATTTAATATTTAAATCGTTATTTCCAAAATTTAAAAGTTCGCTATTATCATTAGCGGCCTAATTTATATTTAAAGATGTCGCACCCTATTTTATCGGGTATATTTCTTTCTTACTTAAAGAAAACAAAAAACTTCTTTAGTTTACTAGTGGAGTAGCTCGATTCATAGGTTGAGGCAAAGGTGGATTAGTAGTTCGAAGATTTCCTGAAGAATTATCTGAAGCTATATATGCTCCAAATCTTTAAGAATTAGAGGATTTAAAAATAAATAACAAGTCTGATTTACCTTCACCTTTAAGTTTCTCTAACATTATCTTATAATTAAGCCCTTCATGAATGCTTGAATAGATTGGGGTAATTTTTTCAACATTTGAAGTTTCCGAATAAACTTTTTAGTTAATAGTTGTTAAGACATCTGTTATAAAGTCATTTGACAATTCTGATTAAGTAAATAAATTTTGAGAGAATGTTGTTTTCATTTCTTTGATTATTTTTTAAATACTCTCCATTCCTTAGTCAATTTTATAATAATGAAAACTTTAATTATGATAATTTTTACCAATTTTTCTAAGTAAATTCATTGACCTTCTTTTTAAACTTCTCAAATTGAGTTTATAATCTTTCCTATTATTTATCCTATTCTTTAGCATGCAATTTTTTAACATATTCATTAAGTTAATCATTTATTTACTTTTAATCCCTAGGTGAGGGATTAGGTCCTTTCTAAGCATACTTATATAATTCTTTTTTTAAGTCTTCAAAATTAAAAATCTATTATAAAATTTCTTTTTACTTCTCGAAAATCTGATATCTCTATTTTTTCCTTTATTTGATAATACTCATCATAAGATTTTAGAACTTCTTTTTTACATTCTTCAATTTGGTAAACAATCTCTTTTTTTAATGTTGCAAATTTCTATTATCAATAAATAAAATTACAAATTCTATGTCATCTTTAGTAACATCTAAATTTAAATAATGATAAAGATTAGAAAATTCTTGGCAAAGGTTCCCCTAAAATTGTGTATTTTTTAAGACGTTGAGGCTGTCACTTAAAATCTAAAGATTAGATAATATTTTTTCTATTACTTCCTTAAGGATAGCAACATCCTATCGAAAATGTGAATAAGGACCATTTATACACTTAATACATTGTAATCTTGATTTTACCACATCACTTTCTGGTGTTAAGCTTATATATTCCACCTTTTAATCACGATGACCATATTCTTAACAATAGATTTTAATCTTTTTTTATTTTTTAGTAGGTAGCTACTAATAAGGTAAATGAAGATTTTCATTATATGCTTATACTTATTCCATTTTTTTTAATTTAATTAATGACTTTTATGAAATAAAAAATAAGACAGCCTAAGTTTAATAGAATTACAAAAAATAATTATTGACAATAAATACTAATTTCATATAAATACTATTACATAATCTTTTTATTATAATATTAATTCTATTGATGTCTTATAATAGAATTACAGAACAAAAATATTACAATAATTTCTAAGTGATATTTTTTTAATCAAAATAAAAATTTTAAGAATAACTAAAAATGATTGACTTTTGGAAGGGTATTATAAATTGATAATATTTTTAATTTAAATAGAAATATTATATATATAAATAAGGAAGTGGAGAAAAAATAAATTAAGTATAATTAAATTGACATTTTTATATAATTGTAAAAATAAAAAAGAACTTTATAAATATAGTATTAGAAGCAATAAGAAAATATGATTTAAATATTGAATTTAATGTATAGTAGATTTTCAAAAGTTCTCAATATCATTGCTAACGAATAAATGTTAAAAGAGAAAATAAATTATAGCTTATGTGGAATTCATAAGAAAATATAGGGATGAGATATAAATCCTAGTATAAATAATATATGTCTAAGTTATTAATTGAAATAAAATCAAATGAGGATATATATTAGTAATGCAAGAATTCTAGATGAAATTTATAAATAATATAATAGTTAAATGATTTTTGAGACAGTATAAGAAAAATATAAATAAATTAAACAATATAAAGCTTTTTGTTTTGTTTTAAAAGGTTTATTTTATAAAAATAATTAATATGATAAAAATATTAATAATTTGTTTTTTATATTATGCTATAATTGATACAACAATAAATCTAAGAACACACTTAAGCAAAAGAAAAAAAGATTGGTATTGATGTTTCTTATTATTAATATAGTTTAATATTTAGACTAAAATTAATTTTCTTTATATGAAGATCTCCTTATATTAGAAAAAATGTTAAACGAAAAATTAACCTATTAACACTTTGAGTAATTATCAGAAAAGTGTCATAAAAAGACACCTGATGAATTAAAACTTAGATATATTAATTGTATAAAGAAATTAACAGAAGATGATTTAAAATAAATAATTGAATTTATTAAAAATAATGGTTTGGAGGGAACCTTAATTTATGATAAAAATGAAATAAAAATTTGTAAAATAAATGAAGAAATCAAAAAGAAAAAGGATTCAATATAAAATAAAAAGGAAATCAAACAATTAGGTGAACCTTTACTAAAGAAAAAAAGGCGAATTTAACCAGAAGTATAACCATAACCTTAAAATTATTATTAACTAACTGATTTATAAAAGTATATTCTATATTGTTCTGCTCCTGTATATTAAGAATAAAGATTTCCTACTAATCCTAATTATCAATAGTCCTAAAGATTAAGATAAGAATAATTTTAAAATTCTTTACATGATTTAAGCTTATGGTATGATATACCATTTGAGAAAATGATCTCTCTACTGAAAGCTTGTTCAGGAAGCTTTAATAATTTAAAATAATTCTTGGAGGATAAAAACTACTTTATTTATTGGAAACCTGAAGAAGATTAAAAATTAAAGTCATAAGAGGAAATATAATCATTATATTTAACAAAAGGAGTTACAGAAGTGGAGAGAAGAAAAAAATGGTTGCAATTAGAATGATATGAATGAAATAAATTTGATTTTAAATTATGACATAAATTGACATTCTATTTAAAAAAAGTTTAAATAAAGTTTATTGTTTATAATCAACAAATTCTAAATTTATCTCCACAATTGTAACATTCAAAGAATTTAGTTGTTGGTTCATCTGATGCTCGAGTTTATTTCTCATCAACAAGATAAACTTTTTTTTGTCCACATCCTTTGCAAGTTTTTCCTTCAATTCCTTCCATTTCTCTTTTGCTTAAATCCTTATAAAAACCAATTTATTCTGCTTCCATTTTCTCTTTAATAATTCTAGCTTATTCTTATTTAGTTTCATCATCAACCCAATCAGCAGCCCTGTTTTCTTAATTATATTAATACCTTAATTATGCTGCAGATATAGGATCAAAAGCCTTTGTAAAAATCCTATAGGTTAGGGAACCATTTTTATCTTTCTTTAAAAAGCCCGCTAAAATTCTCAAATCTTATTCATATGCTTTCCTAGAACTTGGTTCTTATCCTCTTTTATGATATATGGTTTTTTCCATAATTTCTACACATTCTTTAATAGTCTAATAATCTGAATCATTTAAATCATTGTCCTTTTTGAAAGTCAAAATATTTGAAATAAACATTTTGCTTATTCCATTTAAATATTTGAGTCTATCAACATATGCTGGATATGGTATTCGATAATTATTAAAAAGATCTATATCAGGTAATGATTTGCTGCTTTAATTGCTCTATACACTATTTTGCTTTTAGACTTTGATTTCGTTAATGGCTTACTTTTATTGTTCTTAGCATGTTCTTTCAATAGTTTTAGCTTAAGAAAGTCTTTTAAAGCGATCTTGTAAAGCTGAAGCTTTAGCTTTAATCGTTATAACTATAGGATCATATTCATCATCTATGGTTGTAAGAGTATGTAGAGTTTTTTATATTTTTGATTTATTGACATTATCCCAATCAAGTGGAGATTATTCTAACTATTTCAATATACAAATAGTTTCTGTTGGAAACTTTTTCCAATCTAAAAGTTTCTTTCTCAAATCATACAATTCTTAATAATCCATAAATAATTCAATTTATTATATAATATTATTCTTTTTAATTTATAAAAATCTTCAAACTATGGATGATATTTTAATAAAATAATAAGAGAATTACTATTAAAAATAAATTAGATAAAATTCGATATAGTAACAAGAAATGAATTTCAAAATATAAATAATTAATAATTCATCTATTTTTTCCTTTGATAGTGTTCCAAATAGAACCTAAATTGTCTTTGATATCACCAAAATTTTTAGAAATATTTTAAAATCCATTCATAACCTATTGTCCTTTTTATTTAAAATCTTGCTAAACATATTTAATTTAAATACAATCTTTTCTTTCATGGATTCTTCAAACTCTCTTTATCGAACAAATGCTTCATAGGCTTCTTTTTCCTATTGTGAATAAAAGGTTTTTCTTTTATTTTCATTATAATATCTTTGGGCAAACTCCTAATATTATTGATCTCTTGCTCTAGCATACATTTCTTCCTATCTGATTCTCTCTTCATACTCTTACTGAGCCCGCATTCTTTCATATTATCTATACTATTATTATTAATTAAGGTGTTCTTATGCTCTTCTTATGGCTTCATCAAATTGATTTCTAGCATTTGAATTTTAACTAATATATAAAACCAATAAGTATACTAATAATTCTAACTTTATCTATTCTAAGATGTAGATTAATATTTTCTAGAGTCTTAATACTATTGTTATTAATAGGTTGAACTATAATTATTTTAAGATTATGGTGTTCTAGCAGCATCATATTCTTTTTTTGTGTTTTCATCAGATAAGACCTGAGAATAAAGTGTTCATTACTTCATAAGCTTCATTAACTTCTTTAAATTTATCTTCTTTGCCTTGATTAACATCTGGGTGAAATTTCTTAGCTAATGCATAATATGCTTTTTTAATTGTTGGTTGATCATTAGTTTTAGATATATTAAGAATAGCATAATAATCTTTGAGTTAGTTGAATTTAGCTATTCCATATAAGGATTTATAGGATAACATATGAAAAATAAAATAAAATTAAAATTGTCATTATTATTAATTATAAACACTTCTAACAATAAGTTCATTATACATCTCTGGTAGTAAATCTTTATTCTTATAGACATAATCATAGAGTAAATCTTTTTCATAAAGTTAACATTCAGCTTTGGTAACATGATTATATAAAAATGTTTTATCTCCTTCTCTTCTGAATTTCATTATAAAATATAACTAAACATTAGCCTTACCAGTTTCATTGGCATTTAAACCATAATAATGTCCAGTTATTTCTTCTCCAATTTAAAATCCAATCTATCCATAATGATTTTTGAAATCAATTTCAGTCGAGACAACTCCAAATTATGGAAATTAATTTATAGATGCCAAGAAATCTGCCATATTACAAAGATCATCTTTTTTTTTAAGACATTTCTTTTTTTATTCAAATGCTGATAATCTAATAAGTCTTTTAGATTAGGGACGACAAGCAATATCAGTTGATCTTTAAGATTCCATTTTAATAGTTGATTTATCTAATTTCTTAACCCTTTTATTTTATTTGTTAAGTTAAATACCAGGTTCTCCTTTTTAAGGATAAATATATTCTTATTATTTAATTTCATTCAATACTTCATCTCTTCTCTACATATAATCTAATATACATAAGGCTCCTAAATGTTCAAATATATTATCCTTCATTTTATCATTAATATAGGATGAAACAAGTTATTTCTCATCTTTATTTAAAGTCTAAATAACCTTTCTAATTTAATTAAAATAAGCAGGTGACTTGATCTATTCAACTGATTTTTCTTTTCTTAAATTTCTTTATCTAGTCTATACTTTTTATTATTATTCTTCTTTATGAGATTATGACTTTTCACTTAAAATTTCTTCATTTTGTTTTTCTTAATCTAGAAGTTATTGACTTTCTTAAGATTTCTATTAGACATGATTTATTTCATCAGTTTCAATTTATTCCTATTTTACAAATTAAGACTTCTTTGGTTAAGTTTAATTAGATTTATCTCCTGAAGTTGGAGATTTCTTTCTTGATTATGAAGATTTGGCCTTAGATTTAGATTTCTTTCTTCTTTTACCAAAATCAGAGTCTTTAGAATCAGAATGTGACTCATGATCTTCTTTTCTTTAAATGTATTTTCTACCAGATCGAGTGACCTTTTTTGTAGCATCTTTAGATGTAGATATTGATTTAATATTATCTTAATTAATTGTATCCTTGAGAGTTGTATTCAATTTATCTGTATTAGCTTAATCTATTTGTTCATCTTCTTCTTGAGGGTCTGGTATGACTTTAATTTTTTCAAGTGTATTTTATTTTTAATGCACTCTATATCCTTCTACCTATCCTTCATATATGAACTAATAAAAGAGAAAGTAATCTGCATGTCTTTAATATCTACGAACTGAAGATATGTTATGAACTCCTAGATTCTCAATAGGCTCCCAAGTTCTTTAAGATTTTGGATAATTTTTCCACTTGACACAGTATTGCATTTTGTTATCCAGTATTTAAGAGCCGAATATATATTGTATCTCATATAACTCAGAATTGTCCATTAATATAAATAATGAATAGCTTAAGTAATATTTGAAAGGATTGTCAAATAATGGCTTGTTTTTTTTTGATTATTTTTATGTGTTAACAGCTCATTTAAACCATATCAAATTATTAATAGAACTCTTGATAACTTTCTATATAGTCATTATTAATCATTGCTATCGAAAAGACAAACACTTTAACTTTTAGGATAGAATTTTATTTTACCAAATCAAACAATGATTATTTTATTATTAATCTTAATACCTACACTATTATCAGATAATATTTAACTAGCAAGAGTATAGTATTGTGGTTGTGGAGTTGCTCTTATTTAATCCTTATGCATCTAATTAGATGATTGTAGATGGCAAAATTTCAAATGTGTTAACATCACAGGTGTCCCATAAACTATTGTTGTCACACCCAATAATACAAATAATAATGATAATTCTACTGATGGTAATTCCACAACTGGCAATAAAACAAACTCTACATAAGATGAATATGATTTTACTGATCCTGATTTTGATTATGATTCTGTAGTTGTAACACATAAACAATATGATATACCTGATATCATTGAAGAGGAAGTTAATACAGATGAAGGAGGAAATACTGATGAAGGAGGAAATACAGATGAAGGTATATTATCAATCTTTATAATTTATAATAGGAACTGATCCAGGAACAGGAACAGATACTGGAACAGGCACAGGTACTGATACAGGCACAGGAACAGATACTGGAACAGGTACAGATACTGGTACAGGCACAGGAACAGATACTGGTACAGGCACAGGAACAGGAACAGATTCTGGTACAGGCACTGACACAGGAACTGACACAGGCACTGACACAGGAACAGATACTGGAACTGATACAGGAACTGATACAGGAACAGATACAGGAACAGATACAGGAACTGATACAGGGACTGATACAGGAACAGACACAGATACTGATACAGGTACTGATACAGGCACTGACACAGGAACTGATACAGGAACAGATACTGGAAATAATAACACGAATACAAATACAACATAAACATTTACTTAATCTACATCCATCACATATACCAAGACATATATTAATAAAACATTTAATGATAAAGTAACGTGTAGTTAATAAAGTGATGAAGCTGGATGTAATAGTAAAAGATGGCCTGATTAAATATTTTGTATATGGAAAAACAGTACATGTATTTCAGGATCTTGCAATGATTTAGATTTAATAGAATGTGAAAAAACATTCTTTTGTGTTAATTTTGGTTATTGTTAATCTTGCGTAAGAATATAATAATATTTTAGAAAGCAATAGAGGAATATGCATAAACACTTTTGGTCTAGATATTAATATTAGCATTTCTAATATCCTGAATATTTATCATTTAATGATATCAAATTAATCATATTCTAATTCATCTATAATTTTATCGTTTTTAAATTCTGTCTTCTTTATGATGCTTTTAGGACTTCCTGTATGTTTCAACCATTCCTTCATCTCATTAGTTCTTCTCCCTTATGCTATTCCTATGACTGTGCCTTTTTTTGTGTTTTGCACCCAACCAACTAAATCTAACTCTTAAGCTTTGAGTTAAGTATATTTTCTGAAATAGACTCCTTAGACTTTACCAAAAACTTCAAATTCAAAGGAATACAATTGATTTGCACATTCTTATTGTTCTGATGAACATGCTAAAACAAATGCTGAGCTTAATAATATATATATTATTTAAATCATTATTCAATCTAATCTCTAAATCGCCATGTTGCTGCAGTACCAGCACTAAAGCCTCTTAATGTTTTAGCTTTAAATAAGGCAAATCCTACTCCGTAACCAATAACTGCAAATAATGCCCCTTAAATAAATCCTTTTGTTATCTTTTAATCTTTTTCAATAAATTCCTTTGTTGTTTTGAATGGTGACCATAAAGCACTGCCCTCTTTAGACATTTTGATTATATAAATATTAAATATTATCTTAATAATTATATAATATACAATCATCCAACCTTAAAATATATTTTATCATTAATGTGCAACTAGATAGGAACAGAATTCTATATAAGAAATGATTGATTTTAATCTGTTGACCACTAAGGAGAGAAATGAAAACCACTTTTCTGGATGTTTTCTAAAAATTAATACACAAAAATACCCCAAGATGCTTCTCTATGTGTATAATCTCTCAGAATGTAATCCCATTCAAATTAATGATATATACGAGTATCAAGTATTCTTATAAGAACATCATCAACTCTTAGATAATTTCTAATTAAACCAAAAAAACAATCTGCCATAACTCTGAATCTGAATTCACAAGTAACTAATCCATTATCTCCTAATTCATCCTCATATAAGGTAATGAAGGATGCCCATTTAATGGGATTTTCCTTTCTTATTTTACATATATACTTAAGTCAAATTGTTTAATGGTATTTCTTCTTCTGTATATTCAGAATAAAATTATAAAGATTTATTTTAAAAGATATGAGTAAGATAATCTAATTCAGTTTTGATTACATTTTCATTTAATTGATTTTCAAAAATAGATTTACCTTTAATTCCTTCAATAGTTTTGAATCTTTGGAATTAATATTTAATTTGATCTCCATCTACAATAGTACCTTTATATGGAGAGCAATAGAAAGTATCAGAGATTTTATTTAAAATTTTAATATCTTCATTTTATTTTTATTTCCAAATATTTGAATGTTTAAGTTGTGCTTATTCAGGTACAACAGATATGTAATTAATTTTATTAGTTCTAAATTAATTTTTGATGTCTAAATAATTTTGTTATCTTTATTAATAGTTGCATAGATAAAGTGAATCTTTAGGATTAACAAAGAAACCAAAATTGAATTATTTATTATAAATTAAAGCACAATTATTCCCATTAGTAATATCTGGTATACCTTGAAGTGTCAATGCATCTTAAAGCATATCTAAATCAGATGTATTATACATTCCTGCTTTTGTGAATATGAAATTCCATCCATTTTATTCATATTCTTCTACTTTTACATCTGTATAGGTTTTATTAGAAATAATATCCATATTTTTAAATAAATATAGGAGAATTAGTTATAATAAAAAAGTAATAATTATAATAAGTTAAATATTTCTCCAATATAAAAAATATGAATATAAGTTATTTAAACATCATTTTTAAGTAAGTTCTTTTACTTTCTATTTAACATATGAATCAATCTTGTAATCTAATTACTATATAATTATTTCTAATTTTTCAATAAAACATATCCTTTAGTCTTAAATACTTAAACATCTAATTAATCAATTTCTTTTTGCTTATTTTTAAAATCATTCAATTTTATTTTCATTAATCTATTATTATTAATTTAAACATTAACTAATTAATTAGACAAATTTCTTATATCAATTATATGAAAAAAATATTTCTCTATTTTTTAATAATAGTTTCTTGTTGTTTATTATATTTCCCTTTTATTTATTAAATGATGGATTGTAATGGACTAGTCTCTTTTAATTAATATAGACTTTACCTAATTGATGCTAATTGATTTCAGGATTGGTCAATAAACTATTTTAAATTTCAACTCTATTCAATATTTCCATTATTGGATCAACTTCTTTTTATTCTTTCTCAATAGGTTGATCTCTAAAAATAACAATAGATTCACTAGTACCTTATTAAAAATTATCAATATCCTGATTCATTTCTTATGTATTTGTTTCTGTCTCATTAAGTATTTGTTCATTATAAAAATTAGTATTAATACTAGCTAATAAAGCTTAAACATCAATATCATTATTTTCTTCTTCTTAACTCAAATAATATGTTAGATTATAAAAATATCATTTTTGTTTAGCATCACTATTTTTATTGCTTCCATTTTTTTATTATGTACTTCTAAAAATTGACATTAATCCACCCAAAAGATCATTATTTTTTGGACTCTATACTTGAGAATGTTACTAATTGATTTAATATTATTAAGCTTTTAATAGAAAGTTTCTTTATAAATGTATATGTATATACTTAATTGATTTACAAATCTTCTTTAAATCCTAATTTGGCATAATAATGAATATTTCTTCTTTGCTTCTTGATTTAACAGATAAATAGAATGAAGTTTCATCCTTAATTTTCAAATCTGAAATATCACTTGCCTTATATTAGAATATCTAAGCTGCTGTTTCTAATTCAAATATGTAATCATTAAATAGATTTTTTCTTAAGATAAATAGACAATCAATATCCAAAAATTAATTATACAAAATAAGTTTATATTACATAAATTTGCCTCTTGTTTCTTCAAGTTCTCCTTATAATTAATTAATTATAAATCTAGTATCATCCAATCCTTTATGTAATACTGTTAATTCTTCATCTTTCTATTACATTTCCTTATCTATAATCTTAAATTTCGATTATATTTCCATCTTCTCTGCTTGTAAATCTTTAATTTTATTATATAAATCTCTTTCTATATCTTCAATATTCTTTTTTAGTTGATTATTTAATGTTGTCTTTTCTTCCATATCTTTTACTAATTTCTAATTAGATATCTCTATATTCTTTATATCTCTTTCCATTTCCTTATAGGCAGTTTATAAAATTGAAAATCTAGCTTCATAATTTGCAATTATTTAGTCTAATTCTCTTGCAATATGTAAAATCTTTACTGTTTGAGTTTAGTTTTTAATTTAGATAAATCATTACTATTATTTATAAGTTCTATTAAAAGAGAAGATTGCGTTGAACTAGATGAATTCTAAATTGAAATAGTTTATGAATACCATAGTTATTTAATGCTATAAATCTCTCATCATAGTATTATGTTTCTCTTCCTAAATTATATATTAGGTCATACTATATCTTCCCTCTCTTTTATTAGTTAATTATTTTTTTGAGTTTAATTCTTCAATCTACTTAATTAATTGAGATTTCTCTTCCCTTAAATCTATTACTGCTTTTCTGAGAGTATTTATCTTTTGTTTATCAGTAATTTTATTAACACTACCATTATCAGATGCACTATCGTTCTAACTTTTAGGTGGTTTTAAATTCATCATTTTTATAAAAATAATTTCTTTTTTTATCTCATTATATTTAATATAATGAACATCAATATAATATTATTGATAATAATCACTAAAATTCACAACTTAAAAAAAATATTTAATTATATAACTAAATATTTTATAGAGAGTATATAATAAGAAAATTAGACTTACTAATTATATATTTAATGAAACTTTATTAATTGTTTGTATGTATTTAATGATATTAGACTATTATAAATTTTGAGATATTTACCAAATATTCCAAATTCTTAATTGATGATGATGATGAAATTAATAAGTAATGGAGATTGTGTAATCAATTATTATAGATAATATATCCATATATTGAATATATAATAGAATATTGGATAATTAAACATTATCTGTATATGTTTTTAATACATAAAAAACCAGTTATTACATTACTATTTATAATAAATTATTTATATTTATGAATTATTATACTACATTAGATGGAGGATCAAAAGTTTAAGATTTAATCGAATAGATTAGAAAAATGGATAACACTATTTCTGAAGCTGTTAATTAAAGAAACATTAAATTATAATCTAATGAATCTGTATAATTGGTATTTTGAAATTACATTTTCTTAGGTGGATAGACAACTGGCAACATAAATTGATGCCTTTAATGATTCAATAAAATAAGCGAGAATTTTATTAAATAAATCATCAAATCTGTATTATATATAGATTTATTAGTTCTCAACATGATATCTAAAGATCAAAGATTTTATTAGATGAATTATAAAATAAATCAGAAAAGTTTAAAAAAGCAATAGAAGTCAAATAAGTTTTCAAATTAGTACTTATTAATAAATTTTTCATATTAATTATAGGATAATCCAGAAAGCAAAATTGATTTTACTTAAAAATCTAACGTTGAAATGGTTTAGATGTAATAATAACTAGTTTCAAAACAAAATGAAATAATAGACAATATGATTGATACAACAGGAAGAATGTAAGTTAATGCCAAACATGTTAATTTAGCATTAGAGGAGGATAAAATTATTTTAAGAAGATTGAATGATAATGTAATAATAATTATTACTTTAGGTTGAATAAGCCACTCATGAAATCAAAGTTACTGATTCTAATCTTAAAAGTTTATTATCATACACTAATGATTGTTGTTTATGGACAACCATAATAATAGAATTTATGATTTTTGTTTTTCTTGTTATATATTGATAATGATGATGGTTTATCATAAATTTTATAATGAATCAAATATAAAGCTATTATAAAATTTCAACTATCCAAAAGTTGCTATTAAAATATTTTTATCAATCAAATTCTTTAAATCTCCAAATTGATAAGTTCTATAAATTTATACTCATATTTACACATCATCTAATCTAATTTCTTAATTCTCACATTTAATTTTACACATCTAATTTCGAATAATTTTCATTAATTGTAATTCATTTTCATTAAGTTCTGAAATAAATTCTCTTTATTTTTATATAACAAAATCTGTAAATAATATAATAATTATTATTATACCTTCATATCTTTTATTACTTTATAATGATTGTTCATACCAATCATATCTGAAATTATTTTATTTTCCATGTTAATATTACTTAATTTCCATAACATTAATATTATAATCATCTAACATTAAATTAAGTTTCTTTAAATTTTTAGCACTTGCAATAATTGTAGTTTAATTAGATTAATGCAAATTACTTAATATTTAACAAATATAACAATATTTTTTAGTTAATGATAAATCTAAATTATCAATGGCAATTAATGTTGGTTTTAATTTTGTGAATAAAATTAATTCATTCAAATTAGGTGCTTTAAATAATTATAAGGCTTATTCTTATGTTTAAACTTCAGATTGAATATCTATATATATGGCTTATTTCTTTTCTTTTAATTATTTATTGATCATAAATTTAAAGAAAGTTGAAATTCCCTCTGAATGCATTCCATAATATAAATGATATGAATGATTTTGTAAATTGTTTTTCTATATTAATTCATCTAATTTATATTCAATTGGATATTGTTTTTAAAATGCAATCTACAATTACTCTGCAAAATCATTAAATTTGTAAATTGACTCATCATAAATTATCATTCCTACTAATACTACCAAAAATATATCTATTAAAAAGAACTTTTTGCCAGGATTAAGCTTTGTTAGTTGAATGATAAAACATAATAACAGGATTATTCCTATTGCAATTATTATATACATTTATTAATATATTTTTTAATAATTAATTAACAAAATCAAATATTTGAGTATTCAAGTAATATAACAATAATGAATAGAGGGATTTATTTAATTGTGAATAAATTTAAATATATTTAAATCTTTTTATTATGGGCAAGAATTACAGAAATAGATCAAAGACTTCAGATACACCAAGAAAGCCTTTTGAAAAGGAACGTCTTGACAATGAGTAATTTTAATAATCATTTAATTTTAGATTGCAAATTATTGGTAAATATGGATTAAAGAACAAAAGAGAAGTTTGGAGAGTCTAACTTACATTAGCTAGAATTAGAAAGGCTGCAAGAGAATTATTGACTCTTGATCCAAAAGATCCAAGAAGATTATTTGAAGGAGAAGCATTAATCAGAAGAATGGTTAGATTTGGTTTGTTATCTGAATAAGAGAGAAAGTTGGATTATGTACTTGGTTTAACAACATAAAAAATGATGGAAAGAAGACTTTAAACCTTTGTATTCAAAAGTAATCAAGCATCATCAATTCATCATGCCAGAACATTAATTAGATAGCGACACTTTAGGTATTTAAAATAATTATATTATTATTAGAGTAGGAAAGAGATTAGTCAATTCTCCATCCTTTTTAGTAAGAGTAGAATCAGAAAAATTGGTTGATTTTGCTGTCACATCACCATTTGGTTAAGGTAGAGAAGGAAGAAGAAAGAGAAAGAATGCTAAGAGAGTAAAGCCAAACAAAGAAGAATGAAAATAATAATTTAGCATAAAGTACAATATTATATATCTACTCAGTTTGCATTCTAATATTAAAATCATCATTTTTTTTATTATATTTCATATGATTATAATTCTAAATACTTAAATAATTTTTCTATCTTTAGAATTAATTATATATTTTTAAGGTTTAATCCAATATATATATATATTTAAATGATAAATTTCTTTTAATATAATTCATTTTCTTAAAGGAATTTTTTTATAATTATCGTTAAATGTATTTGTAAACTCTTTCTTTTTTACTAGTCTTTCTTAATTTGCTTCTTATAAATCTGGAACTACATGTTGTACTTTATCTGTCACTTCAACTTTTTTTTATTGTGATTAAAATTGAGTTTTATTGGGTTCATATTTTGAATATATTTATACTTAAGGTTTGACTTGTTGATTATGTGATAAATCATAAGTTGATGTTAATTACCTTGTTTCAAACTATTTATTTAATTCATTTGTTTACATAAGATTATTAACCATGACCAATTAATAAATGATTCTGTAACCCACCATGACTGAAAGTTGTTTATTTATAATATTCTTTCTCTGCTTCAGTTTCTTATTATCTAGGCATATTAAGTAATGTGTTTTATAAACCAAAAGTATCTTTCATTGTACTATTTGGTATTTAATGTGTATTCTAATATTATGTTTAATTTAGATATGTACTTATTTCACATCCATTCCAAAAGTTTCCTCATTATAATTACCAATCTTAACTCCATATCGATATTTATTGACATTGTCTTATATCTTAGTGTAATCTAGGTTCATTTATAATATTAATATTTAATAAAAATATTTGATTAATTCATTAGAATTCATTTAAAATTACAAGATATAAATATATTGATTATCACATTTTAGATATACTATATACAATTAATTAAAATTACAAATTATTATTCAATATAAAAATGATATAAAAAAACATAATGGAATGAAAATGAAGACATTTATTATAATTAATATAATAAATTGATAGAATATTTTAAAAATAACAAAGGATTCAGATTAATTATTAAGTTAAATTGATATTAAAATATTAAAGAATATTGTGTTTATTTATATCCCGATTAACAAGTTTTAATTTCTGAATTAAATGGAACCTCCAAAATATGCTTAAAAAGTAGAAGAAAATTAGGAAGCAATGAATATAGGTATTGATCATCATAAAATAAGTGCTAGGCATTAAAATCAAATAACTTAATTAAAATGAACTAGCCAATACTATTTTATATAAATGTATATGAAAATCCATTCAATCATATTAGAATTTTCATTTGTTTCTAATCATCTAATTAAAGTAATCACAAGAGATGAATAAAGTTATCGATTTAAAATACACTTTGGATTATGTAAAATGATGGAGTTCAATGAATTAGAATTAGTATATTGGCATTTATTGAATCTACAATTTGATTATGGCAAAAAATTATAACCCAATTATTTACAAGAGATTAAGTAACTTTATTAAATTGAATTAGAATTTGTGCTTTTCATTATTTTAAAGATTTTCTTAAAATATAGGCAGAATTCATTCCAGATATAGCATTATATAAAAGAGAGTTATTGTTTTTAACATTATCAGCATTCTACACTATTAAATTAATGAGAAACATTTAAAAATTTGAGAAAATAGGAGAATTTATAAAAGAGGATAAATTTTGTGAACTATTTAAAAGAATAGAGCCAGCTTTTATAAATGTATCTCAATTATTGACTCTACAAGTAGTGAACTAAAAATACATAGAATTAACAAAATATGAGTTGTAATTAGATAAATAAGAAACTAATTACAATTTTATTGTTGAATAAATTCTTGAAATGGCACCTGCTTATTAAAAAGATGAAGATTTACCAATTTCTAAAAAAGTAAAAAGATAAAAAAAGTTAATGTCTAAGAAGATCTAGATTAATAAAAAACAAGAGCAAGAATCTTAATAAAAAATAGAAGCCTAATAATCATAACAATTTTAAACATCTTAATATCAAAATTAATAATTGTCATAAAATGAATAATAATAAATAAATTAACCTATGGGTTCTATTTAATTTTCAAGATAATTCAATTAAAATTTATAATCCTAAGGTCATCAACAAATTTAATAAGATAATTTTTTTTTAAATGAACGATGTTCTTTTTAATTTTAAGATAGATAAAACTCTTTTGGAATGCAATTGAGATCTAATAGATATTTCAATAGTCAAGACAGTCTTGGTTAAATATATTCAAATTAATTCAATTCGACACCACCAAAAGAGACTTATAATTAAAGAAATTATATATCATCTTTATGGACAAATAAGAATGGAAAATGAATTATAAATATCTATATATTATTATGAAATATAATATGAATATGTTGTTTAATTGTTAAATATTAGTAAAACATTATTATTTTAATTCATTTTTAATAGAAAGATAATTAAAATGATTTAGATTTTCCTGTTATTTATTTGTTCATTTGGATGCAAATTATTAGTATATATTAATAAATTATATAATGTATTAATAAAATTGGTAAGGGGACAGATATTAAGATGAAATTTTTCTTGAAGATGTAGAGGTTTATTAAAAAGATGAAGAACCATCAATATTTGATATTGTTTATAGAGAGGTGGGGTGTATTTTACTCAAATATACCAACCTAAACCTTATAACTTGTCCAAATACTCTTCATTATATTACATTAAAGTTCAATAATGATGAACCCTTCTCATTTCTCTTTCAACCAAACTATATCTTAGTAGAATAATTAGCAGTTAATCCAGCTTTAAAAGATATAGCTGAATAATTGTAAATTGAAGATTTGATTAATCATAATTAAAATGATCCTGAATATTTTTAAGATTATTATTAACACTTAATTGAGGAAATATTTAAATCTCATTTGAATTAAGCTTAAGAGATATTTTTACGATAAATAGAATTACTTTAAGAATAGAGAATAAAACCTTAAGTTGATTAAGAACTTTAATCCATATTTTAAGATAAATAGTTTTAATTTCCATTGAAATTAGATTTTCAAAATTCAGAACTACCTGAAAATTAAATCAAATATAAACTATTTGAATCGCTATAATTATTGTAATCTAATTATTTGAATATTCAATCTAAGGGAAATAAATCTATTAAATTAGAATCTTCAGAGACTGTATAACAATTATCAGGTCAAAAAAATCAATAAGAGAATGTAAATATAACACCATTTGTTTAACCATTAGTAATAAGTTCTTTGAATAAAGAGAAGATTAAAATGATAATAAATTGGTTAATTTAAGAGAAGATTGCTATTCCTGAAATTATATTATGTGCTGAATTAAAGAATAGAGGAAATGGAATGAATTTAACTTTTAATCCTAATTAATAAATATTAAATAAATGTGCATTTTATTATGATTTATATTGTGAGGCTTAATAAAATTAATCAGAGACTAAAAATATCAAAGAAGAAAATACAGAAGAAGTAAAGACTTGTTAAGAATGTAATATAGGAAAATAAAAGACTAAAATTACTGAATATCATCTATTAATTAGAATGTTAGATTTAGTAGTTTAATAATAAGAATCTTTAAAAGAAAAAATTATTTAATTAGTTAAATATTCTTAATTAAAAAATCAAATTAAAAGATTATCAAGAGTTTAAGAATCTGATGCTCATTTTAAGATTGTTAAATAATTTATATAAAAATTAGAGATAATTCTTTGTATTTATGATGAATATGAAAATGATAAATAGAATCAATTTAAAAATCAAGTAGATAAGAAAAGTCAAATAAATTCAGATAATTTAAGTGAAAATGAAGATGAAAACAAACCTATAAAATGTTAAAAAAAATATTATAGATTACTAAAATTAGTTGTAAAATTAATATTGATTGAATCTTTAGAAAAAGAAATACCAATTCCCGAAATTTTGACATGTTTATGGTTTAAAAAACATAAGGAAAAAATAGTTGAAGGTTAAATAATCAATTAATATTCTGTTTAAATATTGCCTTCTAAATAAAGATTGATTCCATCTCTATAATTAGAAAATCGATTAAAACTCAAACAAGAATAAGTTTAATTATAAACTCTTTTGGATTTGCCTGATACTGCTACAAAAGAATTAGATGACTTTGAAAATTTTATATCATAATTCACTTATGATATTAAATATGGAAGAGATGTAATTTTAATAGAAAAAATACTTATTGTAGTTAACAATAAGAAGGATAGTATTTAAGATTAATTAATTTAAGTGATGAATGATTATTTGAAAATAGAAAAAGCGAAAGATTAATTGAGAGAGAAATTAATATTATTACCTAAATTAAGAACTAATAAAACATAAATTAATGATGAACCTATATTAGAAAATATTATAAAAATAATAGATAATTTATAATTATACATTAGTTCAATTTAAAAAAGTAAACCTTGCATCATTAAAAAGTAAATAAATAATCGTATTAAAAAGTAATTATAATAATCTTCATAAAATTAATAAATTTAATAGTTTTAAAAATTAAATAAAGAAGAATTAAAAGTATTTATATTATCTGGATTAATTACTTTAATTGATAATGAAGTATCTTTGCCAGAATTAATCTCATATCTTGGTATAAAAAATAAAACTCAAAAATTCAGTCTATAAATTAATAAGAATTATAAATTATAAGAATATATAACTATATAAATGTAATTGAATTAAGTAGAAATAACTGATTAAATAGAGAGTAAATTACTTATTAAAAAAATAAAGATTTAAGAAGGAGAAAATATACCAATTATTCATAATAAAGAATAAGTTTCAGAACCATAATTGATAATAAGAGCATTAAGATTACTTACAAATTGTGAGATGACTAAATAATTATCAGATATTTGGTAAAAACCTTCTGTTATTAGTTTAAAAAATTAAGTTTATAAAAATTGTTTAAAAAAAAATAAAAATGATACAACAATAGGATAAATAAAAAATTTATTTTATAAAATTGATAATAAATATGAAATATTTAATAATAATTAATAATGATAATTTCAAAATATGAATGGAATAATCTTGAATTTAGCAATCTAACAATATTCTTACCATAATTTACCATATTTCTCTCTGCAACGTTTATCATCTCTTGTTGCCCTATGTGTCAATAGACAAAATAAACTTAAAGGCAATATATAATTATTAAAAGCTTTAAATTCCCCACACATAGCAATAGATACATAAACTAAAATCTCACCTGTATAATTTAAATGTCTCCCTATACCCCACCATCCACTAATTAATAATTTATTCTATAAAGTCTAAGGTTTTTTATTCCATATTATAGCTTTATCTCCTTATCTTCTATATCTATCTTTTTGCCAATTTGAATCTCTATACATATACAATGAAGTCATATGCAAAAGAATGATGAAAATCAGATAAATATAAGAGCTATTCTAAATAAAGTCACCCAAGTACCAACCTCCAATACAATATAGATATGGTAAATAAACAATATCTCCCCAAACTAACATAAATCCAAAGTTTTCAGCTATAATATCCCAAGTCGATAACATAAAATCTTCTCTTATATAATGTGTGATTAGCCACATAAACCAAAATAATTGAAATAGAATCATGTTTATAGATAATAACTAATAAGTATTATATTAGTATTCAGCAAATGATAATAAGAATATTTGTAATCCGATTAATGATGGTTCATAAAAATACATTTTTAAATCTACATTTAAAATTCTTGGATTTTATTCTGATCCAAACCACCAATCATTCAATAATTAAGGTGTCCATGATTAAATATGAGGCTTATAATGTGGACTCAATTTTCCTTTTATGAATAAAATCAAAGAAAATACAATAGCCAAAATATTTGAAGCTATAAAAAAAGACCAAAAGTGTTCTATCAATGGAATTAATGTAAAATTAAAAAATACTTTACCAAATATCATGATTATGAGTGTTAGTATGTATGTATTTAATCCATTTATTTTATACATCAATACTTTACCTTTTGGGTCAGGAAAACCTTTAAATTCTTTACCTGGCAATAACTTTGTTGCTGCAAACATATAAATGAAATATCCTATTTGCCATTTGAGTGCAAAACATATAGAATTCCAATTGGTTTCTTACATTATCCCAAATGTACTATTATCTTACATTAATATGATATTATTGAGAATATTATTAAAAACTCAAATATTTAAAAAATAGATTGTCATTATTAATTATTATTAGAAAAAGAGGACCTTTTATAATACTGTTAAGTAGAGTTGCATTTAATAGAGAGAAACAGAAAAGCATATATTAGTGATTGTTAGATCAAGAAATAAATATTATATATTATATAAAATTTAAAATGGCTGAAGCTACACCAGAAATAACTCTTTAAGTGTATGTAAAAGCATTAGAAAATTTACAAAATGCTTATGAAATCCTTCACACTCCTTATCCCGATTTTATGGTTGAGAGTACTAAAATGATGGTGTCTCCTGAATATCCAGTGGAAATAAGATTGAAGATTGGAATACTATTGAAAGGTGTTTTGATTGAATAATGGGAATCAATATAGCCATCACGAAAAGTCATACGCGAACTCTTATTAAATGGTCTGGTTATGAATGTTTCAAATATGCCTATTATTGAGTTAATTGTAATTTAATTAAAATATATATGTTAGTCATCCATTATAGTGTAAATAATATGTCTTGATCCAAGTCATATTTGGCCAAATCCATTAATTGAATTGTTAAATTGGATGGATGACTTTAATGCAATAGAATCAAGTTTAGAACTATTTCTACAATTATTTGGAAGACTGAGTGAAACTAATGGTGAATAACAAAGCTTATGTAAAGAGATTGTTCCCTCAGTCCTTGAGAAAGGCTTCAGTATATTTGCTTAACCAGAATTGAATGAGAAGCTAAGAGAGAAAATATTATTATTAGTTTATTTGGTGTTTAGATCAATCTCCTTTGCAGATGGAACTGATAATTCTTTGGTTAACAAATGTCTAGATTCAACATTTTAAATATGGATGGTAAGATCTTATATGCATTATTTAGTCTTTATTTTTATCTGCATTATAAACATCTCCAAAATCACATATATTCATTAAGAAATTAGTGTTAAAGATATTGATTGTTGTTTTTAGAGACTTTGGAGTATATAGTAGAAAATCATTGTCATTGTCATTAATTCCAGTTTGGAAATTTTTCAATTCTATAACCTAGTTATATGTTGGTCATATTGTATACTAAATTGATATTGAACATATCGATAGTTTATTTTCAGAAGAATCTAAAGAATTACCTTAAACTAATTAAAGAATTATAAATCTTCAAAATGGTATTTCTATATTATTTAATTTAGATATTGAATATAAATATTTAAATGAAGATGATGATTATGATAATCACATTGAAGGTCTTTGTGCTTATTCAATTGAATTAATTACTATTTTAGTTACTAAACCTGCTTTATATAATCTAATTAAATTTGGTACATTCCCATTATTGAATACATTGGCAACATTTCTAATTGCAACAAAAGATTAGGAAAGATAATGGGTTAAAGATCCTAGTTACTTCATTCTTAATGATGAAGAAGAATTATTATAGAAAAGTGTTAGAACACTAGCTTTGAGATTGATTAATGATATCATTGAAAAATATGGAGATACATTTGTCTAATAGATATTGATGGTAGGTGAGAAATTAATATTAAATCGTGATGAAAAAGAATTCATAGAATTAGCTTAATAAATAATATCAAAATTGAATTTCTAAGAATTGAAAGGATAATAATCTAAAGAATTTGATTAAGATAGTGTAATGTAATTCATGAAGACCTCTGCTATTTATGTGAGTAATTCATTCTATTTAAAATCTTTTATTTAAAAAAGAAAAGAAACTGGATATCTATTATTAGGAAGTTTTTCAGAAGATATTATTGTTTTCTAATAAAAACATGAGAGTACATTTGATATTAAAAAATGTATGTAAAATATATTAATTGAATTGGAAAGATAAAGTATTAAACATAACTTATAATATTTTAGATTCAAGTAGTTTATAAGCTAGAGCTATTTGGAGTACAACAAAATACTCTGAATTGATTAGTCATTAATTTAAAGAATTATTAGTACCCTTCTTTGAATCAGTACTCAATTATTTAAAATCTGAATATCCAATTACTTTAAAAATAGTATCAGTAAAAGCATTAGGAAAGTAAAAATAAAAAAAAATATTAGTTATGCTACAAAAATTAATAAATATAATATACCATTTTAATATAAAGCAGAGATAATGGATTTAATATTATAAGTGTTACAAGAAGCTAGTCAAGATTAAATTATTTATGTCTTAGAATCAACTATAAATTTAGTTAGATTTTCAAGCATTTTGGCTACTACTTTAGCTAAGAATGGATCTAAAGTTTTATTATCATTCTTTAGTATCTTTCATACTGAATCAGTTGTTATTAAATAGTTTAATGAACTAATTATGAGAATTTGTTAATGTAAAGATGCTTATCCACATATTTTTGATGTATATTATAATATTATCATAATAGGTTTTCTGTCCATTTATTATGGATTGTTTTTAAGTGTTTTATGAAGATATGAATAAAATTTAAGATAAAAGTAAAATGAAACCAACAGATATTGGATTAATGAGTGCAATAATGCATCTTACATCCATTTTTATTAAATATTGTTCTGATAATAAGGCTTAAGAAGCATTTATTAATTTATTACCTTCTATGGTTAATCTAATTCTAATTAATGAAGATCCATAATTATAAGTTCATACTAGTTAGTGTTTAAAGAACTTTATTATTATAGAAACTGGACAAATACTTAAAATGTAAGAATATATATCAATTTTAAGGAATCTTGTTTAAGATGTAATGAAGGTAAATCTAAAATTATTGGAAGTGCCACAAAATTCTGCTAATGAATCAGCTTCATTATTTGCTGGAAATTTAGTTATGATTACAATAAACAACTTATTAGATGGAAATCCAGATATTAATTTATTAAAATCTGTTGTCTTTAAAATATATAGATCTAGAATGCCATCTACTGTTTAATCTTTAGTTTTAGTATATGCTAGAATGATTATTGAAAAACCAAAAGAATCAATAAATTTCCTAACCTCATGGAGTATAGATAATAGAATGGCTCTTAAAGTATTAATTGATAAATGGTTATTGTAATAACCATTATTTAGAGGAAAAGGCACAAAAAATGCTACATTTACTGCTCTAATGAAACTATTTTTATTAAAAGATAAGACTTTAGAGAATTTATTAGTTATAGGTTATAATCCCAGTCATCAAAATATAAATAGTGGTATAATAATTTGATATATTTATTAAGATGTTTATGCTCCTTTCAAAATATTATCTTTATTGATTAGATGTTTAGATAATGAAGTTACACCTCATACTCAAAATAATAATGATATTAAATAAGAAGATGAAAGATTAGAAGTTGAAGATGATGATGATGAAGTGATAAAAAAGGATTAATTTTAAGATTAAGTTGATGTTGAAATTGAAAAAATTAAAGATGATGAAGAATAAGATATAGCAGAAAGATTTGCTGTATTATTATTAAATTTAATATTAAGTAATTGGATCCTAAAGAAAAGAAAGATAAAGGATTAGCAGATCTTGAAACTGGATCAACATTATATATGAGTGAATTCTTAGATTTTAATTAGGAAGTAGGAGAAGAATGTGATGAAACTACTGAAGAAGATTTAACTTATCTTAAAGATCCATGTTTAAATATTAATTTAGTGGTATTTATTATAATAAATTAAATTTAAGGATGCCTTAAAAGAATTTTTCTAAAATTTAGTAAAGAATGATCCAGATTATTTAAAATTCTGTCTTAAAAATTTGCTTAAAGAAGATATCAATCTATTATAGAAATATATCAAGCTTAATTTCTGATTAATTTGAATATTAATAAAAAATTGTTTATATTTACAAACATCATTATTCTTCTGACAAAATTCTCTCTATAAACTATTTAGATTAAGATGATTTTATTTTTTCACTCAAAAGATCAGATTATTTTTCTACTTTATCAATTAAATAAGTGACAAATTTCTTTTTAAATAATCTTTATTTTTTAAATTTCTCAAATTCTTAATTAGGTTCTCTTTCAAATTAAGGTTTATCCATAGATAAATATTGACCTGCTTTTTCCATTATATTATCAAGAGATCTAAACTTCTCTTTCAAGATATTTTTATCCTTTTTGAAATTATTTTCAATAACATCACATTACTTTAAAAATTTATTAAATTCTATATCTGTTTTTATACTTGTTTAAGTTTTTAATGTTCTACTAACACTAGTCTATGGTCTTGTAGTTCTTGAAACTTTACTTAAATTATCCATGAAATGACTTTTTGGAGATTAATATTATTAGTTTTTCCTTCTAAAATCCTCTTATGTAAAACCATTAACTTAATTTCCATTAGATACAAAAAATTTATGATATTATAAATCTTATGCTTAATTTACTCTTTTCATAGTTGTCATTTTAACTTTACTTTTAAAAAAGTCAGGATCAAATTAATCTATCCTTGTTTCTTTAAAAATCTTGACTAATTCTCTATTTTATTTTAATTCTTCTTCACGCATAATTTCTAATAATTATTCTTATGTAATTCTTTTCTAAACAATATTTCTCCATCTTTCCATTTCATCCCATTAATCTTCCTTAAACGTTAATTCTTCTAATATTTAAATATTATATTAAATTTACAATTTTTAATATCTAAAACTGTACAAGCATTAATATTTTGATCTTCACAAAGTTTTTTCATAAAAAAATTAACTTATTCTTAGTCATCTAATTCAATATTCTAATATCCTTTGTGTTTTCCTATGCTCTTACTAGCATCTTTAGAGTTTTTTATAGATGTCTTTACTTCTTTAAGCTAAATTAATTATTATAAATACATTTTGCTTTAAATTTTATCGTTTGTAACTTTAATATAGGTCATCCAATTAAGCTTATTCTATGTTATCATTCATCATCATAGCTAATTTTTGTTATACAGATATAGGTTTTTTCTTCCAATTCTTTGATCTTTTAGGAATCACTTAAAAATTTAATAAGTTCTCTAATTATTCTTTATCAAGAACTCTTTACATAATTTCTACTACTTCAGGTTGTAATTCATAATTTCCTTAATATTCCTTATTACCTTCTTAAGCCTTTAATTTCACTTGCAATTATGTATTAGCTAAGGTTTGTTTTGGTAAAAATTTGACTCCAGTTCTTTCTACAGGAAATTTAAACTTTACTTTTTAGATCTGCATATTTTTTCTAAATATACATAATCATGTTTTTATCTCTATAATCATTGAAATTAGCATCATAATATCGTAAAGGATTTTGTTAGATAGTTTTTGTAACTATAAATCCAGCTATTGCTTCATTACTCATTATTTATTATTTATGACTTTTATATATAATTTAATAAGTTATGGTATTGTATTTGGTGCAATATTCAATCAATTGCCATAAATTTATAAGATATATAAAAGCAAAAGCATTTAAGGCATATCCTTTTCATCTTTATATACAGAAGTATTAAAAATACTTAATAGACTCTTATGTTAATTTTTAATGTTGCATATAATATGCATGAAGGAACCAGTTTCTTACTCTATGGAGAAAATGTCATATTGTATATAGAATACATCATTGTTATATTTCAATTTGGATATTACAATTCTATGTAGAGAGATTACATAAGAAAATTGAGTTTTTTAGGAATAATCAGTGTAGTATTTTTATTTTAGATTGTACCTTAAATTATATTCAAACTTAGCATATATATTAACATGATTTTATGTATTAAAGATATCATTATTTTAGTGTTTTTTTCGAAGTGGCCATAAATAAAAATGAATTACTAAAGATAATCAACTGGATAACTAGCATTTTTAACACATTTATAGAATTAAGCTGGAGCAATTCCTAGAGCATTATCAATATTTGCAGAGTCTAACAATAAATTATTATATGTATGATTTTTATTATGAATTTGATAGTGTTTAGTGATATTAGATAATTCTTTAGTATTAATAATAACATTTCAATTTTTAATATATTGGAAAAGAAGAGAAATTTAAAAGAAATTGTGAATATAAATCATGAATAATAATATTATTAATTCTGAATTAAAAATAATTAAATAAAGAATTAATTTATGATAAAATTTATTTTATATATTTCATTTTAATGCTTGTAATGTAAATTCTTTATCTCCTTAAACTGCTAAAATAAATTATCCATGTATTTTAGATTGATATGTTGTTGGCATAATATAATAACCATTCTTAGTTGGTTACAAATCAAATTCTTCTTGAATTTCATTAATTGGTAAGAAATTAGGAACTCTCACAATCTATTATGTTGTTATTTTATTTTCTGATTTTTCAATCAAATAGACTCCAATCATACCTCCAACAGTATTCTTTGTTTTTGATTTCCAATTCTTTTCTGCTATACAAAGTGTAATAGTTATATGAATAGGCTCAAAAAACTATAAGGAATATTTAGGATTCATTGTCCATGTTCTTTTACTAGTATCCTTTTCATAAGGATCTTCATACAGATGACAACCTCCATCTGATATATCTTATTCCCATTTTCCTATATGAACTTAATTCTTGGTTTCATCTAATTTTGTTAATTCAACTTCCTAATTAGAATAAACTAGAAAGTTGAAATAATATATTTACTAGTTAATTTATAATTGGCAGAACGATCCTCTTAATCTAATGATGGAATTATAATGAAAGGCCCTTCTGTTGGATTGAAATGGAAATATAAGGCTGCCACATCTTCATTAAAGTATGTAGATTATTTAAATTTTTCATTAGACCCTATTAAAAGTTTTCTTTGAATTCCAATCATTTTAGGAGCTTCTAATTGTTATTAAGTCTATTTTAAAAGCCTTACTAAATCTAATAAGAATAAATAAAATGATATTACTTGTTCCTCCTCCTTTTTATTATTTGATGATATTTAATGAATTTGTAGGTGCCTTATCAAATCTACAAATTGTCATTCCAATCTTAGTACCTTTAGCTCTTTTAACTTATCCCTATCTTCTTAATATAATCTTTAAATGAGTGCTAACAGATAAATTCAAGAAATATTGAGGATTTTTACACCAATTAGGATTTTCTTTACCATTATCATATTTCCTTTTACCACCAGCAGAAGTTTCATTCCAACTACCTTCTTATTGTATTTCTAATGTTTCTGGCATTTCAGCTACATCAATTTTATCAGAACTAAATATTCTTAAGATGAAATTTCTTTTCTCTTCTTTTCTAGTTTCATTTACAATCATATTAGGAACAACCATATAATTACCAAAGGTTTTACCTTCAAAGTTTTTTAGAATCAAATATTAAGTAATTTCTCTTTAAGCTTATATATCTCCTTTAGGATTCATATCAATAACTATATCTTAATTTGGTGGTCTTTCCCAAATTCTACTCAATCTTGCTTTATTAGCTATGACCATTAAATTACAAGCTACATAAGGTTATTATGTTATTTTTTCATCTTCTAACATTAATGATAAATATAATTTAGTCTCTTTATGTACTTTAATTTTATATTAAGGATTATTAAACCATTTTTCATCAGTATCTACTTATACATAATCTGGTAAGCCTTCAGATGGCATTTTTAAAGGACATACTCCTCCTAATGTTTTTCCAAACCAATTTCCTTGGATTGCATATTATTACCAACTTTCTGGGAATACTTTACAAATATAAAATTTATTAAAATGTTAATGCCAATCTTAATATGACATCCACCATGTTCCATCACTTTTTTTTGATTTAAATACTAATTTTAATTCTTCTCGTAAATTTCTATGTTTATCCCATTCTTCAGAATCATCAGAAAATGCTCCATTCCATCCACCTTCTGGTCCCCAAACATTTCTTATTCTCATTAATCTTAATTTTTCTTTTGGAAATTCTCTTACATCTACAATACCATAATGATGATTTTCTAATATTCCATGAGTACCTGTATCAGCATTTTTTGTTCCTTTAGTTTCATTATGATTCATACATCCCATAAAAAATTATAATTTATGTGTTTACAATAATACTTACCATAATTAATCATTTTCTATCATTTTACTTAATTATGGATCTCTTAATGAATTAATTTCAGCTATACCTCCTGTTAAATCAACCAATCCTTCTCCAATATGTCCATCACATATAGTTTCATAATTTCCATGTAATTTACAATATGCTTTTTCCATTAATGGTAACCAAAATTCAGATGGATTTGCACATTAAGTAAATAATATTTATTTACTATCTTAATCAAAAGGTAAAAGTGTATCAACAATAACTTATTTCCATTCTCCATTTTTAAAGAATTGAAATGCTACAAAACCACAATCATCAAATTAATCATAATCTAAAATTAATTTTTCAAGTTAAGATATTTATTGTTAAGATAACTATTAAGTTTATTTATTTTATTTCTCATTGTATTTTTTCATTTATCCTACTATGACAACTGCTCCTACAAACCAGGATTCTCCAAAAGCTCCTTATTTATAATCTCCTTCAAAATCAATAACGAATTTAGCATCTTTAGAAATTTCATGTGGTCTCACCCATTTAACAGATTTTATATCTTTTGCAAATTCTGGAGGTTTTTAAGGATCCTTATATAGACTACTATTATTAATTGGAAAATCTGGATCTGTGTATAGAGTTTTGTTTTTTTAACAATTTTATATAATTTCCATTTTCTTAGATTCAAATATTTATAATGGATTCAATTCAATAGGTTAAATCTCTTATTCTTATTCTTCATCATTTTGTTATAACATTGGATCAATCTATTTATTTTATGACCTTAATCATAAATGATAACTTACTGAGTTTCAGATTATTCAAATGCTTAAGGATCTTCCTCTTATGTTTATTTCTATTTTAAAAAAGAGTCTTCATTCATTAATCTTTGTTCTGAATAATTCATATAGCTTTGAATAGATTCATTCTTTTCAATATTGTCAGTCATTTTTATTTTTATTTATTAATATATTTTATATAATTCAAAAACTAATAAAATTACAACATGAGACTTTTCTCTAATTAAATAATAAACANGTAAATTTCTATGTTTATCCCATTCTTCAGAATCATCAGAAAATGCTCCATTCCATCCACCTTCTGGTCCCCAAACATTTCTTATTCTCATTAATCTTAATTTTTCTTTTGGAAATTCTCTTACATCTACAATACCATAATGATGATTTTCTAATATTCCATGAGTACCTGTATCAGCATTTTTTGTTCCTTTAGTTTCATTATGATTCATACATCCCATAAAAAATTATAATTTATGTGTTTACAATAATACTTACCATAATTAATCATTTTCTATCATTTTACTTAATTATGGATCTCTTAATGAATTAATTTCAGCTATACCTCCTGTTAAATCAACCAATCCTTCTCCAATATGTCCATCACATATAGTTTCATAATTTCCATGTAATTTACAATATGCTTTTTCCATTAATGGTAACCAAAATTCAGATGGATTTGCACATTAAGTAAATAATATTTATTTACTATCTTAATCAAAAGGTAAAAGTGTATCAACAATAACTTATTTCCATTCTCCATTTTTAAAGAATTGAAATGCTACAAAACCACAATCATCAAATTAATCATAATCTAAAATTAATTTTTCAAGTTAAGATATTTATTGTTAAGATAACTATTAAGTTTATTTATTTTATTTCTCATTGTATTTTTTCATTTATCCTACTATGACAACTGCTCCTACAAACCAGGATTCTCCAAAAGCTCCTTATTTATAATCTCCTTCAAAATCAATAACGAATTTAGCATCTTTAGAAATTTCATGTGGTCTCACCCATTTAACAGATTTTATATCTTTTGCAAATTCTGGAGGTTTTTAAGGATCCTTATATAGACTACTATTATTAATTGGAAAATCTGGATCTGTGTATAGAGTTTTGTTTTTTTAACAATTTTATATAATTTCCATTTTCTTAGATTCAAATATTTATAATGGATTCAATTCAATAGGTTAAATCTCTTATTCTTATTCTTCATCATTTTGTTATAACATTGGATCAATCTATTTATTTTATGACCTTAATCATAAATGATAACTTACTGAGTTTCAGATTATTCAAATGCTTAAGGATCTTCCTCTTATGTTTATTTCTATTTTAAAAAAGAGTCTTCATTCATTAATCTTTGTTCTGAATAATTCATATAGCTTTGAATAGATTCATTCTTTTCAATATTGTCAGTCATTTTTATTTTTATTTATTAATATATTTTATATAATTCAAAAACTAATAAAATTACAACATGAGACTTTTCTCTAATTAAATAATAAACATAATCTCTTAGTTAAATCCATAGCCTTCTTTGATTAAATCATGCCTGCCAAAAATGTCAAGAAAATAATTAAATTTCTGATGATCTTGCAAATAATTTATCAAAATACTAATTCGACTTGAGTTTAAGCAGTATCAGATCTCAAACTATAATCTAATCTTGTTGAAAAACCAACTATAATTATAGTTAACAATCCCAATAGAAAATCAAAAAACATTGCAAAAGTTGTATATTCTTTTCTAAAATATCTTAGACCTGTATAACGAATGATTAAATCTATCATCCATAATCCTAATCTAAAAGGTAGCAGTATGTATAAGAACCAAATGGCTATTAATTCTTCTTTCAAATCATGTAAAGTTTATCTTAAGTAAAATAGATGTTTCATACTCATCATTTGCAGTAGGCCCTGTTGTATTATCGTATTCATTCTAAACAGAATCATGCTTCAAAACTAAAAGGTTATATAACATAGAATCTAAACAAACCTATAACAAAAATAAAGTTAACAAAATTAAACTAACAAAGAATGACCAAGTTGGCACTCCTTTTACCATGTTTACAGCTGTATCTATCAAATAATGCTTTCTAAAATCATCTATTTAATTAATTTAAAAACACTTTCAAGATCTAAATTCAAATCAATTATTTATTTGATTATATATCTCTTTGCAAAATCACCATCTATTAAACTTGCTCTATTAATTAATCTAAATCCTCTGATGTTGAAAGGCAAAAGATCATAATAATTTTCTAAATGATCTAATCTTCCCAAAATTCCAGGTTCTACTGTTTTTAATCTAATTTTTCCAGCCAATATAGCTATCAAATTTTTAAAATCATCTTCCCTCTCATCATCAGGTACTCTATCTTGATCAAACTATTGCATTTCAATTTAACTCATTTTTTGTTCTTAATATTATTAAATATTAATGATTATCTCCTTAAGATTAAGTAAATTAATGAAAAAGAAATAAACTAAAATTAAATAATATATATAAATATCATTTAATCGATAAGTAATCATTTACATAATAAATCTAAATTTTATCTCTTCTAATTATTCTTAATAATAATGATTGATATCTAAAATTTAAAATAATCATCTTTTTTGTTGATTATTATTAGTTTTTATATTACTAAATTATATATAATATATTTAATTTAGTTTTTAACATTTAAATAAAACATTAATGATTTTATATTTTCAAGGTCCTCTTCTTTGGCCTCTTCCTCCTCTACCTCTTCCTCTTTGACCTCCTCTGCCTCTTTGTCCACCTCTTCCTCTACCTCCTCTTTGTTGACCTCTTTTGTTTCCATATTTCTAGACCTTCTATTTTTTGGGGAATGTTAACTTAACTTGATGATGAAGTAGTTGTTATTAAGGCAAATCTTTGATTTAGTAATCCTATGGTAATGATTCTGATATCATTTTAATATATTAATGAACCACATCTTCATTTCCTAAATATAACTTTGGGAATTTCTTCCATTTTTAATTAGCAGACTAAATAATTTATTCAAGTTTTTATCCTTTTAAAATTTCTTCTCTAACATATTAATGAAATCCAGATGGAACTTTTCTTCCCCATGTTTAAATATGTCTTTTATAATCTAATCCATTAACAATTAAATAAAATGGACATTATTTAGACATACAACAATTACTACTTAAACCAGATTTAACATTATATGCAATTGTATTTACATCTATACCTTTTTCTTAACATTCTTATTGTAATTATTCAAATGTTAAAGGCTTAACCATCATATGATTTTTAATGAACCAAACTAGATATTCTTTTTCTAAAGCAGCTTTTGTGGATTAGGTTCCTTTAGTTAAATCTCCTTTATTTTATTAAATCAATTCTTTTTAGATTTCTTTAATATTTTAGTAATTGACTTTTGTTGTGAATACATCTTTTTCTGGTGTCTTAATAATATGATAAATTAAGTGAATATATTTCTTTTAGTCAAACTTAATTCCTTTGAATTATTCATAAAAATTTTCAATGACTTCTAAAGTGAGTTTCATATCTCTATTGTATACTTTATCTTCAAAAAGATCTACAGTAGTATTATCATTTTCAAATCTACTCAATAAGACTTATTCTATTTCTTAAGTTATTGATTATCTAAAATGTTTAATACTAACATGTTTTTCAAAGGTTTATTTTAATTAATTTTATAAACTATCCTCATCTTATTTTTCTAATTTTAATTTTAAATAATATGTTAATTATTATTAATGTTTGAATTACTCTCTAATAAAGTGATATAATATTAATTTTTCAATTTAAGATTCAAAATCTTAAACAATATTTTTGGTCATCATTAAATAAAACAAAGAAATAAATGGTTTAGAAGTAGCTACATAATCTTCATATTATTCTTCTCTTTCTAAATATGCAGAAGTTGGATTCTCCAAAAGCTTTTTTAAATAATTTTCAAATTTTTCAGTTCCTTAATATACTATAGAAGTTGTTGAATAAATTAAGTTAATAGTATCTTCTTACCATTTTGTTCTTGGTTATTTATAAACAAATATCAAAGCATTGGCCAATAAAGCTAAATAGGTTTCTTCATAAAATGTATCTACATTTTATTAAACCATAAATGTAAGTAATAACTTAATGATTCTAGATCTTAATATAGGTTAAAGATCTTTATCTGATGGAGGAAATAATGGTAAGATACAATTAATTTCTTCTTTTTTTTCACCTCCAGTATTAAGTTCTACTTTAAAATTATTCTTTATAAGATAAGCAGAATCAATGACTTTGTTTTATTAGGCAAAATTCTCTACTTGAACCAACCAAGGATTGACAAAACATCCATCATTTCTTTTAACTTTTAAGCCATGACCAACTAAGGGGAATGTTTCAGCAAAATCATATTAAGATTTAATATACTTTAATCCTTCTATTACAAGTTTTGAGTTTGAAACAATATCTCTTTAAGTTTCAAGACTCACAACAGATCTTTCCTATCCTTATTCATTTTCTTTTTTAAAGTCGCAGTTGATAATGATATCTTAAAATTCATCTCTCATTTTTCTAAATTCTTCAACAGTAATTCCTTTTAATGCTAAAGCTTTTTATTAATGCTTTCCAGTAATAGTACCAATATTTAATTTTTTGGCTGCTTCAAAATCTCCCAACTATTTGATATCAACACCCTTTGCTAATTATCTGGCTTCTTCAATAAAGAATAACAATTTATTTCCATATTTATAAACATAATTTCTTTAAGCTCTAACATTAAATGGTTAAGTAGGATCAACAATTTCTGCTTAATCAAAATTTAAAACATTCATATTAAATTTATCACTTAATCTATTAGCCAATCTTTCCATTATGGCTAAAGCATCAGCAGCCTTATCTTTAATTTATTAAGCACCACTCATTGCTCTGATTTATAAATTTTAAACCCATGAACGGAATAGATCAACTATATCATCTACCTATAAATCAGATTCAGCAATAGGATATAGTATTATTGGATCTTTATCTTCTTAAATAATTTATATTTAATTTTTCTGTGTTATAATCCATTATCCTTCATAAACTTCATCAGTTACATCTTCATCATAAGGGAAAAGATTAATCATTCTATCTAATCTTAATTATTAAGATGGATAAAAGTATTTCTTCATAGTCTCAAATTTGTTGAAAAAAGCTTGAGGAGAAGCATGTTCTATCAAATAAATAGCAGGAATCTATGGATCACCTCTATGATAAAGTTATCTTAAATTCATTGAAATATTAGTTGGAAATCCAGATTCAACTCCTAAACAGATGAAATTGATATTTCGATTTTAAGTGTTACCACTTAATTTCTTCATTCTTTCATCTATTGTTCTTACATTATTGTCTTGTCCATCACTTATAAATATTATAGTTATGTTATTTTAAATTGGAACTTTTTGTAATTCAGTTTCCATTGTTTAAAAAGCAGGAACTATTTCTGTTCCACCACCTCCATGATCTTTAATTCTTTTTGATAAAACTCCTTCTGCTGAAATCTTTTATCTTGTATCAAAGGTTATAGTAATTAAGTTCTCTTTAGGTATGCTTTGATTCCAAAAATCAGAAAGCCATTCCCAACATCCACTCATTGAGCCTGAAGCATCAATTACTCCAATAATTGTTAAGATGGATTTTCCTTGTTTTTCCTTTGTATCTCCTTTTGTTGTTTAAGGATTAAGACCTTACTCAATGAAAGGAATCTTTAATGCGAAGAATTAATTTTGCTCCATTATTTAAATGATCAGAAATTTAATATAAATGTTTAGAATTTACTTCTAGGTATTCCCTGATCATAATTAACCAGTATTTAAATAAAAACTTTAAATCCTCATAAATTTCATTTAATAATAAGCCATTAACTATTCTTGAGCTTTTGTATTTTTCTAAAATTAATAAATTTCTAAAACAAATAGAAATCTTTAAATTTTATATCGAATTAATAATATGATTGTTAACAATTATCAATCATTCACCAACCTTAAACTTTAGAGTGTAAAATACTAATAATATATTGCAAATGATAAAATATTTTGTTATTTTTTATTTTCTTAAATGACACTATTTATTAAGGTTAGTTAAGAAAGAAGCATAGATACAAAAAATTATTTGCTGAGTTATCATTTAATTTTGATTCAAAGATAATATAAGTAATCTTTGATCATATCTATTTATATATTAAAGCTAAAGGATGCTCTTATAGAAAATCAATTAGTAACTACTTTAATTATTCTAGTTACAATATTGTAAGAAATATAATATTAAGTAGGATTCAATTTATTTAAAGAAATTGAGTTATTTGTATATATATACTATCATTCTGTTAAATTCATTCTTAGGTTTAAGGAAAACCATTTCAGTTACTTAAAATATAATATTAAATTAATTTTGTTATTATGTGAAGTAATTTTTCATTCTAATATCATACTTTAATATTATAATAAAGAATTGCTAATTATATTTCAAAATCAAATTAATTTGTTATAATTATATATTCACTTCTGCCTTCTTCTCTAATTTTAGGGAATACTTTTATTCTTAAAAAAGTTACAAATTTACTCCAACAATGTTATTTTGTTTATTAATTTTTGTTTTTCATTTTTTTATTAATTTTTTTGAAAATTATATATATCAATTAGATCCTAAACTAATCCTATTCAATATAATAATTTAATATCAATCTAATACTAATAATAATTTTGTATATATCCAATATAAAATTCATTATTTTTTCTTATCTAACTTCATGTAATAATTTATATACTATATTATTATTTGAAATCAGTTTAAATGGATATTTTAACTAAAATAATTTAAGTTCCTGTAATATTTCTCATTTATCATATCAATAATTTAATGGTTTGTTTTAAAGAATTCTGAATTCCTAATTCGAGTTTACTAAATATATTATTGATTATATTTTAGATGAATTCTCTTTAATTAAATGGTTTTAACTTTTAAGAAATTAATTCTGCAGGATTATTNTCCATTATTTAAATGATCAGAAATTTAATATAAATGTTTAGAATTTACTTCTAGGTATTCCCTGATCATAATTAACCAGTATTTAAATAAAAACTTTAAATCCTCATAAATTTCATTTAATAATAAGCCATTAACTATTCTTGAGCTTTTGTATTTTTCTAAAATTAATAAATTTCTAAAACAAATAGAAATCTTTAAATTTTATATCGAATTAATAATATGATTGTTAACAATTATCAATCATTCACCAACCTTAAACTTTAGAGTGTAAAATACTAATAATATATTGCAAATGATAAAATATTTTGTTATTTTTTATTTTCTTAAATGACACTATTTATTAAGGTTAGTTAAGAAAGAAGCATAGATACAAAAAATTATTTGCTGAGTTATCATTTAATTTTGATTCAAAGATAATATAAGTAATCTTTGATCATATCTATTTATATATTAAAGCTAAAGGATGCTCTTATAGAAAATCAATTAGTAACTACTTTAATTATTCTAGTTACAATATTGTAAGAAATATAATATTAAGTAGGATTCAATTTATTTAAAGAAATTGAGTTATTTGTATATATATACTATCATTCTGTTAAATTCATTCTTAGGTTTAAGGAAAACCATTTCAGTTACTTAAAATATAATATTAAATTAATTTTGTTATTATGTGAAGTAATTTTTCATTCTAATATCATACTTTAATATTATAATAAAGAATTGCTAATTATATTTCAAAATCAAATTAATTTGTTATAATTATATATTCACTTCTGCCTTCTTCTCTAATTTTAGGGAATACTTTTATTCTTAAAAAAGTTACAAATTTACTCCAACAATGTTATTTTGTTTATTAATTTTTGTTTTTCATTTTTTTATTAATTTTTTTGAAAATTATATATATCAATTAGATCCTAAACTAATCCTATTCAATATAATAATTTAATATCAATCTAATACTAATAATAATTTTGTATATATCCAATATAAAATTCATTATTTTTTCTTATCTAACTTCATGTAATAATTTATATACTATATTATTATTTGAAATCAGTTTAAATGGATATTTTAACTAAAATAATTTAAGTTCCTGTAATATTTCTCATTTATCATATCAATAATTTAATGGTTTGTTTTAAAGAATTCTGAATTCCTAATTCGAGTTTACTAAATATATTATTGATTATATTTTAGATGAATTCTCTTTAATTAAATGGTTTTAACTTTTAAGAAATTAATTCTGCAGGATTATTTATATTCATTTATTATTTAAACTTAAAATTTATTCATCCAATTATTTATTGTCTAAATATTTATCTTTATTATCATTGATTAGATAAGAAATTTAGGTGACTAAATATATATATTTTTCTACTTAATCTCTCAATTTGATTTTGTTTCATTAATTAGTAATTTAAATTTCTGTACATTTTTAATGTGTTAAATTTTTATTACACATTAAGTTGTAACTCTTTAAGGTCAAAGCTTTGATTCAAATCAATAAAAAGAGATGAAAACTATAAATAATAAATATCAATACTATATTATCTGAATGAAAGCATTGTTTAATTTAACCAGTGAATTTATATAAAAAAAAAACAGATAAAATGTGATAATCATTGTTCGGTTTTGAGCCTCCTTGATATTTTCATGTCATTATAAAAATGACTCTTTGGCTACTCTTATCTTAGTTTTTAAACAATATTTCTTATTTTTTCTTTTGAAGGTTGACTATGTGATTTAACTCCTTGATCCACTTCTAATTCCTCATGCTGAATTACTTTGAGTTTTTTTATTTAATTGGTAAATGTTAACATTTTGGTCTCCAAACGTGGAGATATTTAAATATAGAAATCCTCTTTAGATGGTTCAGTTTTTATGCTTTTAGGTGAATCAGAAGGAGCATTCAAACTATTGTTAACTGATTTTTTCATATTGATGCTTTTCTTCATCATAACTAAATTAGTTGAGTTTCTCATACTATATGACATTAAATATTTTAATCAAGTAAATTTTTTAATTAATTATTCTGTTTAAATAGTCTTATTCTTACTTTTTAATTTAAGGTTATTTAATAAATATTTAGAAGGATTTGATTTAAATACTTAATACTTTTTATAGTAAGAAAAATTTAACATTATTAAATATATAGATTTAATATCCAATAATTATATATTATTAGTAACAATTATATTTACTCTATAATAAATATAATAATTGAGTAGATTAATATATAAATACTAAATGATATATAATATTTAATGAGATAATTCTTATTGAATTTTATAAACAAAAATAGATGATATCTAATAAAATTGATACTCATTTTCTTGTAATTGGTTTATTCATAATTCTAGTGACATCACTTCTAATATGTCTAAATTAACCAGGATCAGTGTATTTAGAATGTAAAGTATAGACTCCATCTAAATTAAATAATATATTAGAATTACCTGCTAAAGGTAAACTAGTAGCAATATCATATGGATGAACTTAACTAGCATTTTTTTTATAATTATCCATACTACTTTATCTTAAATTATTTTAAGCAGTTGTTAATCCTGCATCTCCAGAATGAATCCATTATCTTTATACTTAAGTATTTTCTTTTGGATCGATGGCTAAACTTAGATTAAGGATTATTACAGTCTCTATATTTTTCACCTGTAATAACAGAAGTCATTTTCAAACCTTAATCAAAAGGATCTCTTTCTCTACAACCTGCTGCCTATGGTTTTTACTTTTTATCTGTCAGAATTTCTGCTACATTATTTTCAGGTTATTAAAAGGATTATTAATATGTAGTAATAGCATAAAATTTATTGTGTTATTCAGGATGATTTTTAAAAGTGGAACCAAAATCTGTATAATTTTGATGTACTGCTCTATCAACTAATATTTAATGCATATTTGTTTAGTCTAATTATTTAATTGATCTAGCTCCTGAAGTTTATGCAACTGTTGTATTACATTCTGGAAAGTTAACTTTATCACCATTTGTTTTTATTAAAGATCTACAATCTCCTAATTACATGTTCTAAATGTTTTTGGCATCAAACTTTGTTTAGAATTCTGTTCTAAATTCTCTCTTTTAAATTGTTTATATAAATAATACATATCCATCATCTGGTACTATAATCTCTTTAGTAATATATGGTGGATTGCGATTCACTCTTGGTAAAGGAAGTAAACATCCATTATCTCCTGGGATAGAGATACCTTCTTCAACTCCTCGTAACTGAATTTATATTAAATTTATATTACTGATTTTGTAGCATTTGGATCTCTCTATAATTATTAAGGAGCCAATCTATCTTCATACCAATTTGCTAGATTATCTTTAAATTATACCCATTAAAGCAGTTTTATTATATTCAACTTCATTTGGCCTTCTCATTTATATTATTAATTTATTTATTTATTCAAATAATATTATAACTTCTTCTTCACACATCATTCAATTTACATTCTAAATATTCTAAACATTTATATGTTTATTTTGGAATATATATTTCTCAATAGAAAAATTATTAATATTTCAATTATACAAAAATAAGTTGCAAATTTTTAATTAACAGAAAAATAAATAACTAATTGAATGGATAATTTGCTACCGACTGCCAATCCCATTTTATAAACACCTTTTGAATTTACTAAACCTAAATTTGATTATCCTGGAGAAATTGCGTATAATATGATCTAAATAGTCCCATGCCATTTTTTCATAATCTATTTAAACCTCCCAAGAATGTCCTTAATTTTGAATGTTGTGACATTGATTTCTTTTCTAAAGAACCAACTTACTTTAAAACCCTACATGAATTACATGCCAATTCCCCTTTAATTTATTAAAGATTCATAACTTAATCATCCAAAAATTAGAATTTTGCATCTCCATAATATTAAGGAACTTAATTATTCTCTAAAGGTCCTATTCATTTTAATTCTAATTTTGAATGTGGCAATCTCTATACTGTATATAAAGTTGCTGATAGAAAATATAATTTAATTTTGCATAATGACACTTAAACAAATGGTTGCACAAGATGGTATTTCTTTAGTGTCAGAACTCCAGAAAGAATGATGCTTCAATTGAATATTATTAATCTAACTAAGTAAGCATCACAATTAAATGTTAATCCTTATATATACACATCAAGAACTGGATGGTATAGAGGAGGTGACAATGTTTAATATTACAAAAATCAATATTAAAAGAGATCAGATTATTATTATACATTATCATTTAGTTATCTATTCGAAAAGGATGAAACTATATACTTTGCACCTTTCCCTCCATATGGAATCACTACACTTTAATCATTTTTAAAACCACTAAGCAATCAGTAAAATTCATATCTATTAATAAGAACTCATCTAAAACTCAAGGCTTTATCAGTTAATTAAGGTAACCAATATCCAGTATTAACAATGGGAAATTCAACCAAACCTTTAATTGTTATAATTGCTAGATAACATCCATCTGAAGTTGTTACATCCTATGTAGCTGAAGGAATAATTGGATTCTTAATGGGTGATGAAGGCAAACAATTAAGAGATAACTTTTATTTTAAAATTTTGCCAATGATGAATCCAGATGGTGTCATTCATGGCAACAGCAAAACCAACCTTTAAGGAATAGATATCAATTAAAAATGGCATAAAGTCAATAAATAAGTTCCTAGTGCTTAACATGTCAAAGCTATTATAAAAAAGACAAATCAATTATATTTAGCTCTTGATTTACATCAAACATATAAAAAGTATTTAAAATATAATTATTAATTTAGATATGGTATTTCATTTATTGGAAGATATGATGAGAATCCATAATTTATTACTGCATTTTCTTAAATCTGTAAGTATACTAATTTAGAACAAAGTAAATTTGGTAAATCTAATAAAATGGAATAAACTCTTCCATTTGCTTTAGGGTATTATGTATTATATAATTAATTAGTGAATTATTAAATGTGAATTGTATATATTAAGTTAGAATTTCAAATTAGATTGAAAGCTAAAAAGATTTCACAATTTCTATGTTAAAGAACATAGGTGAAAATTTATGTTAAGCAATTATTTTAACATTAAATAAGTAATTGCAACCAATTAGATTTAATTAATGTTAGGATATTTCAGAATCTGAATCTTGTGAATCTAGTGATGAAACTTAACAAATCAAAAAGAAATTAAATAAAAAAAAAATGATTACAACAAATTAAGGTAATGAGAATAATTTATCCATTGTTACTACTTCCTAAACAAAAAAATCAATATTACCAACAAAATTAAAACCCTTAAAACCTTTGTGTGATTTATCATAATGTAATTTTGATATAATTATTTTAAGTGAATTAATCATCAAATAAGAAAAGTGTACAATAATCTTAATTCAAAACTAGAATTAGATCATTTTCAACAAGAACCCCAGAATTCAATTTAAAACATTGATTTATATTATTTTATAATACTTTTAATTTTTAATTTAAAAAAAAATAAAAATATAATGTTATAAAATTTTATTGATATTCTTAATCAATCATTCAATTTAACTTTATAAAATGATATTGGATTATGACTCTGATTATGATTCAGATACATCTTAATTATTTTAATCATTTCCATATAAAGTTGGGAAACATAATTTAGTATGTCTTTTACAATAATCATGTGTAAATGGAGATACAGGAAATCCATACTTATTCATTCTATCTTCCATTTCACTTAATCTTTGAGTAAATTACCAAAATTATTCAGTTTATTTTGAATTAGGATTCCATAATCTATTTAATATAATAAAAATATTACGTATCACCTAAAATAGAAGATCTTAAAAACATTTTCTAAAAATGAGTATTTTAATTATTTGTTTCACCCCATAAAGGAGCTTCTCCTCCTATAATATTTCCTTTAAATCCTTCTGGTGGTTATGGAGACCATTTATAAAAATCTTTCCATGTTTAGTAAGCATCATATGAATTACCAAATGCATTTCCAACTCCAACATCCAAATATAATGGATGATAATCACTTAAAATAAAATCATTTGTTCTATTTTTTACATCTACCAATTAAGATGTTAATCCCCACCAATGAATAATATCATCATCTTCAGCAGGAAGTTGATCATTTTTATTGTACCAATAAGCAATTCTTTTTGTAGATTTGATTTAATTTTTCCATATGTCTTTTTATCTTTATCTATAATAAACTTAAAGATCAAAATATGTTGCAATTCCATGATCAACCATAAATTATTTTATTGATGGTCTTTAATCAAAACATGAATTACTAGCTTCATCTCCACCAAAATGAATAAATTATACTTTAGCAAACATATCATTTAAATCTTACATCACAGACTTTAAGACTTCATATGTTAAATCTAAAGTTGGATCAAATTATCCATATTATTTTATAGTACTACCACATGTTATTATCATTTCTGCAAGGTCTGATGATCTTCCCCAAGATTAAGCATGTGCAGGAGAATCTATTTCAGGAATTATCTAAACTCCTCTTATAGATGCATATTCTATAATGTAAGAGACATCAGATTTTGTGAAATAAGCAGTCTCCCAATGTTTAGATGTATTTGTTATTTAACTATAATTAGTTAATAATAGAGGAAAGCTTTCATCATCTGTTATATGCCAATGTAAAACATTCATCTTATTTATAACTAATGCATCAATGGTTCTTTCTAAAATCTTTAGAGGTAAAAAATGTCTTGCAGTATCAACCATTACTCCTCTATAAGCATAAGCTGGTTCATCATAGATTTTTAAAGGAAGCTTTGAAATATTTTATATTAGATTACATTTTCTACTTCATTATTTTCTGTGAGTTAATGGACTGTATCAATAGCTCTTGCTAAAGCCCAATGATTAGGAGCATTAATAATAACATTTAATTTTTCATCTATTTCTACAGTATATGCTTCTTATTTTGTATCATTGACCCAATATAATTGTTCATCACTTTATAGATTGATATTTAATTTTAATGACCCTTCTATCTAAAGATTTTATTTTTTGAGTGACTCTTCAAATTAACAATTTGAATTCAATGTCATTAATTCATGATAATGACGTAACAATTACATAATATGATCAGGAAATTCTTATTAAGAAGAAAACTTAATTGCACATCTCTATTAAATTTTCACTGTCTTTTCTCCCTTTTCAAATTATTTTGGCATTGGCATTATAGTAAAAGCTACCAAAAAGAGCAATTACAAATATAAAAATGATGTCAATTTCATGATAATATTTATTATTTTATAATTGATTATCTATTAAAATATCAATGCTTATAAAGAATACAATTACAAAAATATACTATATATTGATTTTATTAAAATATAATTTCTTTATGTGAACAGAGATTCCTATTTTTTTGATTATAAATTTCGATTTTAATTTAAATTTATTATCATCATATGAACCTCAGCGATAGCAATTTAAACGATTATAAATTTCCTGTAAATCAATCATCCATGTCAAGTAACACATATCCAATAGCTAGATTCAAGTAGAATATCTGAAATGTGTAATCCATTTCACAATTACTTAATTGCAGGATAAATCATTCCAAAAAATTTATCTCCTTAAGACATACAAGATATTCCGTTTGAAGAATAGAGCAATGAATATATTAATTCACCTTAAATCGATTCATAAAAACACATCATACCTTCTCTTAATCATAAAGAGTGTACAGTAAATATAAATTATTAAACATAGCCTACATCTGAATAAATAAGAGGAAAATAAGAATTCATAGAATAATCGAGCAATGATTAAAGATAATTACATTAGTTTATTATAATTAAAACTTTAGTTAATTCATTTGTTGATTAACTTAAAAGAAAAGCTTATATTTTTCCAAAGTCCTTTAATAAAGATTTTATGTTGATTAACTAAGAACGATACTTGAAAGACGTAAAACTTCAGTCTTAAGATAGAGAAGATAATAACAGAAGCTTCTTATATAAGCTTCCTATCATCCCACCTTAAGGAACATTTGTTTTAGTTTGGGAGTTAGTGTTATTTCTTCAAATAATGTTAATAACATTTTGGGGACCATTTTTGGTCTCATTTTAACCAGACACAAGCACAATCATCGTGGTTTTTGAGAATTTCTTGAGATATATTGGTATAATAGATATTCTAATCAAAACAAATAAAAGTCTTCTTGTTTAAGGATCAATTTTAGAAAATAGAAAACTAATACTAATATATTATATTAGGACTGATTTAACATTTGATTTAATTTCTATTATTATTCTATTCGTAAATGACTCTAAATATTCAAATACAATTGAATTAATTTCTCTTATTTTGGCTGGAATCTAAGTTTATATAACAATTAAAAGATTAAGACATTTTTTAGAAAAATTATAAGAAACATTTGATGAATATTAAAACTTTTTTGAATTAACTAAAGTTTTATTGATAATATTTATATTTGCTCATATAACAGCTTGTATTTGGTAAAAAATAGCTTTGTTAACTGAAGAAATAGGTTATAATACTTGGATGTCTTTGATGACTATGCATAATGATACTATTTGGATCAGATACAATTATTCTTTTTATTGGTCTACTATGACTATGGTTACAGTAGGGTATGGCGATATTACTCCTCAAAATCCTTATGAAATGCTATTTTGTAATTTAACTATGATTGTTTCAAGTGCAATATTTGGTTATTCTCTCAATTCTATTGGAATGATTCTTTAAAATATAAATATAAAGGTTTAAAAATATAAGTAATTTTTAAATTATATATTGATTTTAGAAAATTTTCAGTATAAATGAATAGATATATGAATTAGAATTAAGTTAATTAATAATTGTAGAGCAAAATCAGAAATTATTTAAAATTTTATTTTGAACAAGATAGTATAAAAAATGATGATGAAGTATAGTAAGATTTTTATGAAATTAGATTTCTTCAATCATTTAAAAATTGACTCCTAATTTAAGATAAGAATTAATTTATGATATATAGAGTAAACCTTTGTAAAATTGTTATTTTTTTAAATATCATTTATCTTAAGAAGTTTAGAAATAATTAGCATTTTCATTATAATCTCATCATTTGAATCCATAAGAAATAATATATAATAAAAATTGCATAGAAGATGATTTATCATTATATATATTAGTAAAGGGAGAAGTAAGTCTAATAGATTAATAAAGTGGATAAACATTATGTATATTACATAAAGGAGATTGTTTTGGTGAATATGAATTTTTTACAGGAGAATAAAGAAAATGCACAGCTAAAAGTATGACATTTAGTTAAATCTATAAAATCTCTCGAAAATAAATTTTAGAAATATTAAATTCAAATTAAGAAGACAAAGAAAAGTTTTTTAGCATTAAAGATCATTTATTAATGAAGATACCTTGTCAATATTCAGGATTAAAATGTAATTGTTGTTTAAAAACTACTCATTTTATAACGGATTGTCCATATATTAGATATATACCTGATTTAGAGAAATTGATAAAGAAAGAGGGTTTTTTATATTAATAAAGAAAGTATTAGAATAGAACAAAACGTAAGAGTGAAAATTCATTATTTAAATTAAAAGTATATTATTGAGTTAATTAGAAAACAGGAAAATTGTAACTAATGCGTCAAATTTATTACTGAATCAAAACTATTTGAAAATGATGAATTATCTGAATTATTCCATCCTCCATCCCCTGATTCATCTGAGACAAATTAAGTAGAAGAGAAACCTGAAGAGAGGGAAAGTTCATTAGAAAAAGTTTATACAAGAAATAGATCAAGATTTAAATCAATGTCTTCAGAAAAACCTTAATCATAATAACATTAATAATATTAGGAATAGAAAATATCTTTAAAATATTTAGATAAAACATATAATAGAGCAATATCATAAGAAAAATCTAAATAAAATATTCGTAGTAGTGAAAAAAATGGTCTATAAATATCTGTTACTAAAATAATGCCAGAATATGAAAAAAGTTCTTATGAACCTACAATTAGAACAAAAGGTAAAAAAAGCATAGAGAATACTGATATTCATAGTAATTTATCTATAATTAATAATGAAATGTAAAATTAATAAGGAGAACTAAAAATAAATGATATTGTACCTTAATTTTAATGTTGTGATATTGATCGGATGGAATCCTTTAAATATTATTTTAGTCAATTTAATTTTCCTTAAATAATTTTAGATTATTAAAAGTCTTAAAGATATGTAAAAATATTATATAGAAAAAATATTGGAAAATATACAATATATTTTAAAGCCAAAAAATTCAAAACTCAATACAAATTAAAAAGATTAAAATAAGTTGCAAGAAGTTCATAAGTAATATAGTTTTTACCAAGAAGAAGCAAATAATAAACTAAAACTAGTATCTTTTATTAACCTCCACCTTTATCACATGAAAAATGATGAAAGTGTTCAATTTGTATTAATAATAGAATTTTAATTGTTTCAATGCCTAAATTTTTAAAACATGTTTAAATCAGATATATTTATGCTTTTTCGCATTTTCTTTTACTAATTAGCATCTTTAGTACTAACAAATCGAACTTTAGAGGGAGTTCGTTCATCATCAGTATTTTAATGAGTTCTTTATTTTTCAAGGTTTATTTTAGCTTAATGTATAAAGTTCCAATCATCTTAAGAATCTTCATCATTTAATTCATTTTAATATTTATCTTATGTATGTTATCTTTTATTTTCTTTTTTCTTAAGAGCACTTTTTAAAGGTGGCTCTTTAATTTAACTATCTCTAAAATTACTACTATATTAACCAATAGAGAATTATAGTTATTTAATGATCTCAGATCTCTTTTATAGATATTCTAAAATATTTTATTTGATTTACATTTATCAAGTTCTTCTAATTTTTAGTTAGTTTCTAATCTGATGTTTTGTAATTTTTTATTTAAAATCTCCTATTCTTCAAGTATAATTTATTCCTGTTGAATTATTCTCTAAATTTTAACTGTTTCTTCTTCATTTTCTTTTTATATGCTTAATTATCGAGATCCGTTATTATATTTTCGAGATACATCTTTAACAGAAAAATCAAAGTTGTCTGATAAAAGTGAAAAGCAACTTTTTTATTAATTTTCAATAGGTGATAATTAAGATTAGACTGGTGTATTACAACGAAGGACATCCCCTAAAATAGCTGGTGAGGAGCATTTATATTTTTGGAACATGTAGTAATCTATCAATTATTATATAAACTTAACAAACCATCATTAATTGCATGTTTTGTGCTATTTATAGGAATTGCCACATTAAAGTCAGTACTCTATATTAGCCTTTTCATTTCTAATTTTGATGATATACTTATATATTGTTATAATTAATTACTAAATTATATTATCTATTTTCATTTCATAAAATATTAATTACAAATCACACTTAAATCATCACCTCAAAAGACATTCATACAGAGCTTTTTTGAGAAGGCTCTTATGTTTTTTGAAATTATTTACTAAATCCATTCATAATTGGTTCATTTAAATGTTATACTCTCTAATTTCTGCTATTATATAAAATTAATAAAGCTTAATCATGAACATTATTTTAATCAATCTTTTTTACATGTTCCTCTAATCTTACTATAATATTTCTTTTAGATTCTTATTTTTTAGATGAACATATTCCCATTCTCTATATTGATTTTACAAATAAATAATAATTTATATTAATTATTTTATTAGACAATAATAAATACATTCTCAATAACTTATTATTAATATATTAATACTTCTATACTAATTAATTATATATCTATACTTAATCTTAAATAATCTTAATATAATAAATTGAAATTGTCTTTTTAAAATATTTAAATTGATAGGTTTCATACAAAAATATTTCTACATTCTTTATATTATCTATAAAATAAACAATTTTTGAATTTAAAATTATGATTTCTTTTTTTCTAGTAATCTTTAACATGTTTTTACTTAACTTATTGATTTCAAATTTAAATTATACTTTTATAGGAGAATAATTTTGAGAGATTAAATCGATACTAGATGTAATTTATATTTACTATACAAAAATACATTAATAATTATACATAATTCTAAAATTAAATTTCACAAAAACTAAATAAATATGTCAATGTAAATTATAAATAGTGAAAGAGGACACATTTCATCACCTATATTAGGACCAACATTACAAATGAATTATACTTAAATTGAAGCTTATTAAAAAGGTTCAGAAATTAATGTGTCTTAACCATCTGAAATATCATAAAACATTGTTAATGAGAGTAAGAGTTAGTAATTTGATTTACTAAAAGCAGGTTTTCTAAATAAAGCTTCAAAAAGCTTTAGTCGTAGATAACCAAATTAATTAGTAATTAGTAATTCAAATAATATAGAAAGTCAATCAAAAAACTGATAGTTAATCTATAAAAAAATTGGAAAAATCATCATTATTGAAAAACTTTTTTAGGAATACATTAGTTTAAAAGTTTAAAAATAATCTGTTATAACAATCATATGTACTTTCATATCATATGAAACATCTCTTATAATCTGAATAGTATTTGTTAGAAGATGCTTTTAAAAAAAAGAGAAGTAATTTTATTTAATAATCATAGAAATTAATAATTAAAGTTCAAATAGGTTACTTTTTCTTCCTGGAGACAAAATAATAATAATTTGGGATAAATTATCACTTATAATTAATCTATTTAGTTTATGGTTATGTCCTATCTTGTTTGCTTTTAATGAAAACTTATCAATATTTGAGAATTTTGAAATAATAATAATATTATTTTTGAGTTTTGATATAACAATTAATTTAAATAGGGCAATTATTGATTAAGGAGAAATAATTGAAGAGAGAAGTACAATAATAAAAACATATGTTATTAATCATGTTTATAAAAATTTAAGTAGTATAATTTTATGGGTTTTATGCTATCACTAATTTTATTAATTAAGTGTTGCTAAAGAATTCATTTTTATATTTTAGATTGCAATTCTAATTATTTAAATATAAAATAATTTCTAAAAATATACTGAACAATTATATTTAAAAGAAATAGCAAGTAATGTCAAAGATATAATAAGTTTAATAATATTAATATATTATTTTGCCCATTTTATGGCTTGTATTTGGCATTATATTGGATAAAATACAGAATCTTTAGGGACAACATGGTTAAATAAATATAATCTTACAAATGAAGGATTTTATGTAAGATATAATTACTCATTTTATTGGGCATCAATGACTATGGTAACAGTTGGATATGGAGATATACTTCCATAAAATTAGGTTGAAATGACTTTTGTAAATATTATGATGCTTATTTCAAGTGTTATGTATGCATATTCTCTTAATTCTATTGGTATAATTTTAAAATCATATAATGATTAAAAATAAAAATAAACGTAATTGCATTTTTTTATTTTTTTAGAAGATCTTTAATATTAATTAATAACTATATGAGAAAATACTAATTAGATGAAACAATATAATCAAGAGTTAGAAATTATATAAAATATCAAATTGATAGAGAATTTCAAGAAAATAGCGAAAGTGTATATTAAATAATAAATGATTTACCACATGGATTATAATCAGAGTTGAATAGAGATTTATAAACTAAAGTTGTATAAAGTATTAAAATATTAAATCAATAATTTTCTAAATAATCCCTCAAAAATCTTACAGATGAATTGAAATTTATCAAATTAACACCTAATGATTTTGTATTTCATAAAGGAGAAAATGAAGATTAAAGTTTGTAATTAAAACTTATTTAATTAGATACTATGTTGATGAAGGAGAAATTGAATTAATAGAAGAAAATAGTAAAAAAGTATTAGCAACAGTTAAAAAAGGAGAAACTTTAGGGGAATATCAATTTTTTACTGGTTTATAACCTAAATTTTCTGCATTAAGTGTTGGATTTTCATCTTTATATTAAATAAAAAGATCTGAATTTATAAATTTAATAAGATATAATTAGAAGGATTTTGAAAAATTTCATAATATTAAGGATACAATAGTTTTTAATAATTCATTCTCTATTTTATTAAAAAATTGTAAAATTTGTAAACAATATAATCATCTGACAATTGAATGTCCATTATTAACCTATAAACCTAATTTAGAATAAAGAATTAAAAAATCTTTATATCATTCAAATTAAGAAAGAGATTTAAATTTTAAAAGACTTAATTAAAAACTAAATGTTAGAATTATGTATAAGGAAATATAAGGATCTATTAAATCTTATTAATAATCTTCAAATTTTACTGAATAAATTGATGGTTCATCAATTAAAATTGATACTCCTGATATTTTGTAAATTAGTAAATAAGCTACTAAAAAGAAATTTACAATCCAACCTAAATTCCAATACAAGGATTCTGATAATAATTAAGATGATGAAATAATTAATTTATAGGAATTTATAAAAAGATCTGAAGTAGACAGAAGAAAATCTAATGCTAAGACTATATTTGCAAAAAAGTAAGAGTATAAAAAAAAAACATCTTTAGGATAAGTGAATAATTAAAAGGATATTTAATTAAATTGTTCTATAAATGATATAACAGTGCCTTATGATTAATAAACTTTCTTAGATGAATTTAAATTAGAATTAAAATTTCATTAAAATGATATTGATAAAATTTATTTCTATCAATATTATAAAAAGCATGATAATGCAGACAACATAATAAGAGTTTATGAGAATTTCAGAAAAAAAAAAGGTTCCCGTATATTTTCTAAAACTGATTTAAATGCCTAACTTTATACCTTTAACTAAAATGTAGTTAATAGAATAATGAAATTTAGGTTAAGTAACAGAAAATGATTATGTCAATTAATTTATTATCTTATTTAATAATTTCAATTAATTATTATATTCAAATGGCTAGAATTTTTATAACCAACTAAGTGAACTTTCAAATTTTTTATAGATATAGTTTATTTTAAATAATAACAACATTTCTATTATCTGACATACTTTTTATAATTTGGAAGGTTAGAAGTACAAAATATTGATCATATTTAAAATATGAAGTGTCTATTCTAAGTATTATTATATTAATAGATTGAATTTTTAAGAATAAAAATCAAATAAAAAATATAAATTAATAAGATTTATTTATTTGATTTTAAAAACAATGATTTGCAAATAGGTATATTAAATCAACTTTAAATTTAATGTTAAAATTTAATTTTAGATCCTAAATACTATAAGTAGTATATTTATTTATTTATAAATTAATCTTTGATTTGATTTGTAATTAATGTAGCTGATAATTAATGATCATAATATTTAAAGATTATATGAATATATATATATATATATAACATTAACATGTTAATTTAAAGTATTAATTATTAATGATTAACTAAACCCTAATTTTTAATTTTTATTTTAATTCAAAATTATATAATTACTTCCATTTGTGTATCATTTAATTTAATGAGAATTTAATAAGAAAAGTATATTATTTAATAAAGGGAATCTATAAATCAAGAGATAAACTCAAATTTAATTATAGTATTTCTATATTAATTATTAATTAATGTTAATATTGATAGTGTTATCATTTGCTTATGCTCAAATATAGGATGAACAATAACTGACAAATGCAGCTTGTGTTATTTTTTCTAGATACTATTTGCAATCTAATTAAGAGTTAGCTGGAAGAGCTGTAGGAGAAATGATTCAATTATAATAACTAACAAAAGAAGATGCAGTGATGTTTGCTGTTGCTTCTTTGGTTGAATCCTGTTTAGAAAGTATCTCTACTTAGGAGACAATGGAGGTAAGGATTATAATATAGAATAGATTATTCAATAATTACAATCATAAAAAATAAATTTGGAAGCACATCAACATTTAGTTGAGAAAGCTGATTTAAAGAAGTATGGATCAAAAAAGAAGAGTGCAAAAAAAAATGAAATTCTTAAGATAATTAAATCCATTGATGATATGGTTAATTAATAAAAAAGAGAGCATGAAGGAGGTGATGATGGAAATGATTAATCAGAAACAGGAAGAAAAAGATAAAGAAATAAAGGTAAATAATAAGAATTACCTGATATGTCTATTTTTGAATTGAAAGAATGGTTAGTTCTATCATCATTTGTTTTAGTAGGTGTTTTACTTTCATATATAAGTAAATCATTTCTTAAATTTTTTAGTTTGTTGTGTTCCAGAAAGAAAGAAAAAAGAAAAAAAAGATAAGACTAAAGTTAAATAAAAAGATTAAGATGCTGATAAATTATCACCTAAAAAGGAAGAAGAAAATTCATAAGGGGAGGATGAAAGCTCTCCTAAAGAAGTTGCAGAAAATAAGGAAAAAAAGAAAGTAGAATGAGTGTATATTTATATTAAGTAAAAAAACAAAAAAAATTAGTTAGTTAACATCATTATTTCTTAGATAAATCGAATCTAACCTTCTTTTTTATTTGAATTTGCTATTATTACGTATTTGATATATAATGTAATTGATGCTTTAAAATCGTTTTTTTAGTGTTTGTATCGTCTGGACGAGATTCTGAAGATGAACTATCTAGTGATCTAGATGAATGTATAAATATTTGTTCTTCATCTATATCACCAAGTAATTTTTATACAGATTTACATTCACAACTAATTTTCAACACTTGACATGCATAACAAATTTCCATTTATCCTTATATTTTATCCTTACTATTATATAACTCTTTTGATATAGTAGCAGTACCATTTCCAATTTATTAATTATTCTCCTCTTACTTAATCATTTTCATATCTAGTTCACCTCCTTTTTCAAACTATTCTGTACAACAGACAGCACCCATAGGTTATATTATTATATTTATATTTCATAATATTAATTCACTTTTTACTCAAAAGTAATAATTAGATATCTTATAATTTTTTTTGGCATTGATTTATTTTTGTGTTTATAGATAAATTGTACTTACTTCTTTAATGAAGTATTTATTTTTATAATGCTTAAATTTGTCTTTAATTATAATCAAATTTATCGATGCTCTTATGTAATTATTTTAAATTAATCGAATTTTAGATTAAGAAATGCTTGATTTCGTTTAATTAAGTCTAGTCTTTATTTACATTAAAATTCTTAAATTTATTATAATTATTCTTACAACTAAAAAGTCTTTAGAAGATGATTAAATAAATGCTTAATCACAATCAATTGATTCAGAATATTCTCTTTTGATTGTTGGTTTATATTAAGATAGATTTGTGCTTTAAGTAATTGTTTTTGCATGTCTAGCCTTTATTTATGTGACTATTCTATTATCAAAAGATTCCTTATTAGAAACAGAAAGTGATATATTTTTATTTGGTGATACTAATGCTCTCCAAGTTGCCATCAATTTTGATGTATAATAATAATTTTATATATATTTATTTTATAAAACTAAAACTTATATTAATTATTATATGTTTATTACATTCTTATTATCTAAAACCTATTTTAAAATATGAAAATATCATTTTAATCTAAATATTATATCATTTTAATAATTTCTCATTTCTTTAAATGGACTTAAAGACCAGTTACAATATAGGTAATGCAACTAATCAAGGATTTTGTGAAAGGTATATGCATGAATTCATTTGGTCCATGTGCATTGGAATTAGGTCCCAAAACTCCAGTCACTATAAATTAAGCAGTTGGATATTATTCTTTAAGTGTATTCATAAGAGGAATGGAACCTCCTTCACCTAATGTTTATGCATCCTTTTTATAAAACAATTAGGAAGCACTTTAAATAAGTTAATCTAAATATGGTTAATTTTAAGGAGCATTAAATCCTGATCCAGATCCTAATCCAGTAATTTTAACAGTGGCATTATATGGTACATTAGTAGTTAACTATATTTTATAAAATAATTGATATTACAAGTTTAACAAATGCAGCTTCTGCTTCCTTTGGATTTTTAGTTGGTGGTAATCTTAATGAATATTTTAATGTAGTTTCAGGTCTAAGTACATTACCTGCTGTCTTAGCAGGTGGTAAACCATCAGCACCTACAACTGAGAGTTAGGCTTTCCAGATTCTATTCAAATATGCTTTGAAATAATCTTAAGTAGTTGGTTAAGTTGAACCATAAAATGGGAATTTGGTTAATGTAGTTTTACCTAATACTTCAGCTGCCTTTTAAGCTTGTAAATATCTTTCACCTGGAATATTGACTTGAAAATCTTCAACAACTTCTCCAGTATTTGGATTATCAATTCTATCTAAAAGAAGTCTTTATATTCTAAATGATGATGGTACAACACCTGATGCATCACCTGAATGAACTCCTTCATCTAAGACTTAAACAGTAACACATGCACCTACCATACCTCTTAATGTTGTTGTAATCCATAATTATTCATAATTACCACATCCTGAATCTAAACATATAACTAAATCAACAGCTCCTATTTTATCTTTTAATTTTGCCAAATAATGATCTATGTGTGCTGATCCACTTTCTTCATCTGCTTCAAATGTCATTACAATTCTTGGATGTTTTAAACCTAATTCTTATAATGTTCTCACTGCTATAACAGCTCCAAAGATTGAATAATGATCATCTGCTCCTCCTCTAGCATATAATTTATCATCCACTATTTTTGGTTCATATGCACCTAATCCTTCTTTCCAACCATTAAATGGTGGTTATTTATCCATATGACCATAAAATAATACTGTTCCATCTGTTTAACCATCAGATCCATCTACTTCAACAAATAAGAATGGAGAATATCCCTCATCTTATAATAGTTCTACTTTAGCATCTAATTATTATTCATATATAGTTTATACTCTTTAAATTTGATGCTAAAACATAATCTCTGAATTCTTATGCTGTTTTCATCAATAATCCATTTGTTAAGTATTCTGGATCAAATAACCTGGATTAACTAGGAATCTTGAGTATCTCTATGAATTTTGGTAATGCATCATCAAAATGTTTGTTTACCAATTAGTTGATTTATTCTGCAGGAATTTCCTATTATTAATCCATATCTATAATTATTTAATGATTTAATCACACTTGCAAACTTTGATATTAATTACACTTATTATACATACTATTCAGAAAGGTGAATCTTTATCTGATAAATTCATAAGTAAATTAGAGAAGATTTGTGAAAATTAATAATGTTTGCATTTACCAAAAGGATTTAATGACAATTGCATTAATTGGTGTGTATCATCCTTATGTTTTCTTAACACTTATGAAGATATTCCAGAAGATGGAGAAACAGATCATAAAAGGTAAACTTTCATTGAACATTTTAGGAATATGTATTTTAAAAATTGTGTAAAGAATATCCTAAAAGATTGTTAAACATCTAAAATTCCATTTGATAATTGCAGAGATAATTTACATATAGATTTTACCAAATAATTATGAATATACATAAAATCACTAATAAAAATCATATTCATCTTCAAATTACTTTTCATCTTCTAAACAATCATCAAAACCCCAAATACCAATCCCATTTGCTTTAGCATCTAACTCACTATTTAAGAATTATTTTAATGGATTATAAGGTTATCTATGATCAATACGTCCTAAACTTAAATAATAACTATTAATTATTACCCTCTATCCAGAACAATTTTATTGATAGTAAATTATAATTCATCCAATTATCCTTAATGTTATAATGTTACAAAATGCCTATTTGTACTTTTTTCAGTATATCTAACCTTGCAATCAAAAGGTTGCTCTAATATTAAATCTCTCAAAATATCAGCTGCTTCTTCTGAAAATTCATGTGTTTGAGGTGGAAATCTTAAATAAGCTAAAGTACACATCCTAGTTTATTAAGGGATACTGGTAAATTAAGAAGGAAGTACTCCCATTTCTTGGTATCCAACTTCATCATTATTACCATAATCAATAAATTTAACCAAAAATCTATCATTTTTAAATGCTTATATGACTTGTGCTCTATAAACTCTATTGTCTTCTGAAAATTTAGCCAAACATAGTGTTCCTTTTTTTACTGGCTTTTTTAAAGGCTTTTTATAATATTAAAAGATATATTTACAATTAATTTAGCATTTTCAATTTAAATTTCTAAATCTTCAAATTCAGGATTATTTAATCTTCTGATATAAAATTCATTACAATCATTTACAACAGTAACAATAATTTATTCTATTAATTAATTATCATGTTCTTGTATATGTTCTGTTGTACTTACTTATTTTTTTAATGATTATTTATTATGAATGAAATCTATAATGAATTGAGCATAAGATTCATTCCAAAATCCTTTTTTATCTTCTTCTGCTTATTTCTATGCTTCTTCATATTTATCATAATAGTCAAAATTGCTTTTTAAAAATGTAAATCCTTCTTATAGTAAATTGATAATGAAATCAGTATCTTTATTATTTTTCTTTAGATAAATTTTGCCATAAAATTAATTTTCTTAAATATTAAAATGTTCAAAATTAACCCAAACATTTCTTTACATCAATAAATTATATGTATAATTTTATCTTTATTCTTGATATTTAATTATAGATGGAAAACTTTTTTCAAATTCATGTAAATTAGTTATACCATTTAATTAAAAGTTTATCATAGAATGATATTTTAAAATAGTCATTTAAATTAATCCATTAAAATGAATTTTATCTATTAATACTTCTAATTAATAATCATCTTTTATACTAATTCCTGTACTCATTCCAGATTATTTAGCACTTTATTTGTCTCTACAAATATTTGACCAAATAATTTCATTTACACATTTTCCTTATTTAGAATCAGTTTAATCTTCAACTCTCCAAGTTAATTCTTAACTATATTATCCTAGTTTTTTTTATTTGGCAATTTAATTCAATTATAACAATTATTAATATTTAAATTTTGATAATCCAGGATGATTCTCTTTTGGTGTAGCCCATCCATTTAAAATTAGTTCTTCTTCTATATCAAGATTATTTTCAATTAATTATATAGAATATAAAGGAGTATTATCACCAACTTATAAAACATGTACTTATTTTCCAATCAACAATTTTCTTGTAAATTCTTTTGCTTCTAAGCCTTCAATAAATATTCTATCTAATTTAACATTTAATTTTTCTGTTTTAGTTTTTATATAAAATTAATTTGCCTCTACTATTTCAATTACTTATCCTTATAATTAAGAGGTAAAAGAATTTAACATACTCCTATCTAATTCTCCAGTTTTCCACATTCCTAAATTTAATCTTTTTGCTTCTTATTAACATTAATATAATAACTAATATGAATTTTGAGATAAATTTAATTTTCTACATATATTTACAATAAATACCCCCAATCACTAATATAAGCATAACCTGTTTGAACTAAAGAAGAATAAAATTCATTGCTTAATTCAATATTAGGTTAATTTGTCAAATGTAATTCAGATCTTAAAATAGGAATATTAATGACATTATCATTTTAAATAATACTCATTATTGATGTTCCTTTAAAAGTGATACTAAATTCTTTATTTAACCATTCAGTCTACATCAATTTAGTGTATTCTTAATCTTTAATTGCAAAATCTGATTATATATTAAATAATTACCATCTATTATAATAGCATTAGGTACTAGAGATATGATTGTATTATTCTAATAAAGAAAGTTTAAACTATTGGATTCAAAGGATACCATAATTGCTTTAATAGTTTTATTTCTCATTTATCTTATATAATCATCTATAATCGAAGATGCTTTAGGTTCTTTATTCTTTACACCTACTAAATTTAATTATATCTCATCACTATCATCAATATTTTGAATCAGATCAATACTATTTATTTAGATTTGATTCTATTTAGATATATACAATGCATCTTTATTGACATATTATAATTATTCCAAAAATGTTTATAAGGTTTTCTATTTAACAATTAAATTATCTCTTGTTAAAAAATTAGGAATTCCATCTCCTACAATTAATATTTTTGATTATTGTGTTTAGATCATAAATTGATTTGGAGAAATGATTGATAAAATTTTGCAGGGTTATAAAGCCATATAAATATTTTTAATATTAAAAGTAATGTATATATAAATACTATATAGTAATATCTATTCTAAGAATTAATATAATAATCAATTATAACAAAAGAATTTATTTATTATTTTTTCTAAATACTAACATTCTGATAATGTGCGGACGAATATTTCAGATTCATAATATTGCATAATTATTATAATTTGCTTAAACTAGAAGAGTTAGAAATGCTGCAAATTTTAATCCAACTTATAATATGGGACCAACAAATTATATACCAGCAATTCGACATGTAGAAGATGATGATAATTTTGAAGAATATGAAGAATAAAATAATTAAAATTAAGAACACAATTAATCTTTAGATAATGAACAATAAATTGAAGATCAAAGTTAAGAAATTATTGAAAAGTAAAAGAATAAAAGAGGACTTGATTTTTTTAAATGGGGATTCTAAACTAAATTCAATCTTATTATAAATGCTAGAATTGAAGAAATGCATGAAAAACATACATTTAAACCATTCTTAGATAAAAAAAGATGTGTTATAATTGCAGATGGATATTATGAATGGAATAAAAAAAAGGAGCCATTTAAATTTTCTACAAATAAACCATTATATTTAGCAGCTATGTATACAGATGATGATGAAATCTTTGTATTAACAAGAGATGCTTTTGGAGAATATGCAAAAGTTCATGATAGAATGCCTGTCTTATTAGAAGATGATGAAATTGATCTTTGGATTAATCCAAAAATGTAATTATTATTATTATCTTTTAGTGGATTCTTTGATATTATAGATAAGAAAATTTTGAATTCTCAAAAGAAAATTTGGGGATAAGTATAAGTTACTAAAGTAGCTCCATATGTTAATAATATAAAAGAAAAAAGTGAAAAATGTTTAATTACACTTGAGGAGTATAAAGAATAATAATTTAAAAATGGAATTGGTAAATTTTTTTAAAAGAAATAAACTTAAAATACATAAGAAACATAAGAATAATTAGAAAAAACAAAAGAAAAAATAACTAAATCTTTAGATGATTGATTTTATAATATAATAATTAATAATCAATTAAGTTTTGGGAAATTATGATCATCAATTATGATTCCTTAGTCAACTGCTTTAAATTTATTAGAATTTTGTTCTATTTCTTCATAATAAATATCTTCTGACACATCTTCATCAAATTCATATTCTTTCAAATCATCTTTGTATGTTCCCCAATTATTTTTTCCTACTCCATTCTTTCTCATTTCTTTACTATTATTTTATTAATTAATTATCATACCCTCTACCTGTTCCAGATTCTCTATCCTTAGGATGTGGTTCACTAGAAATTCCTTTTCTTTTTATTTCTAGATAAATCAGAAAATCATTATACCTTCTTTTATTCTCTAATGTGATTCCTTTTCTACTATATCGACATCCATTAATAAGGGTTCTGATTTCTTGTCTATATTATTTAATTGAAATGCTTACTTCTAGACATTTGCTTTTTGAACTGGTAATTTATTATAAAAATAATTAAATTAAAAGATTCATCATTATAATTTATATAGTCAACTAAACTTTAGTGTAAAATTTAAAGAATTTTCTATAAATCCGAAATTATCAGAATTAATATTAATACTCTTCATAATAAGTTTAGGATAAATGTAAATTCAATTGTATATAAGAAATGTAGAAATTTATATATTAAAAAACAACCAATTCTTATGTATAATTATTTATTGAAAATAATACATAAAATATTTATGATGTTTTTTAATATATATATGATACAATAGAATTGATATTTACATATATTTATAAATGTAAAATTCTTTGAATTTTTGTTCTGGAATTAATTTTAACATACATATTAATTATAAAATATAATATTAATGAGATCAAATTCTCATTAGATAATAGGAGAATTACCTTAAGTGAATGCTGATCCTAATCCTGATATGTAAACAATAGAAATTAAGAAAGAAGAATCAAGTAAATTGAGTTTATTAATGATAGCATATCGTTTTTCAAATACTAATATTTGTAATATCGAATAACTTATTTTACATTCTATTTATGAAGGTAATATAGATTAATTAAAATCTATGAAAATCCATCTAAGAGATTTAAATTATATAGAAGAATTTAGTGAAGATTTAATAGATAAATAAATATTTCCATTAGCATTGGCAGTTGCGACAGGTTAGTTAGAAATAGTAAAATTGCTATTATAAAATGAAGCAATAGAAGTGAATATGGTTAGTAAACCATAAGAATTGTCAGCATTAAAATTAGCTTGTAGCAATGGATATTATGAAATAGCTGAACTATTAGTTTAATAAGATGCAAATGTAAATTAAGCAGATTCAAAGGGATCTGTGCCTTTATTTTATTGTTTCAGTAGATTAGAAGAAGAAACCAATTATTTTGAGAATAAACAATTATGTTTCAAACTGGCAGAATTGTTGATTGACAATGGAGCTAATATTGATGCAGTAGTAAATGCTGAAAAAGGTTATACATTATTAATGCTTTTTTGTGCTGTCAAAGATAAATTAAATCCAAGAGATTTAAGAGTTAATTTAGATGTTATACGATTTCTACTTTCAAGAGGAGCATCAAAAGATAAATTAAGTACTAAAGGCAAGACAGCATTATAATTGTCAAAGCATCATTGTGCTAAAGATGAAGTTTAAAAAATGTTAAAAGATATTAAACCTACTTAATATAAAATATTCTCTCATAGACCATAAATCATTTAATAATAAGTTATTAAATAAGAAGGAATAAAAACATCTGGAAATAATAATGGATTGTGTTGTGGTCTATTATCATCTAGTAGAAATAGACCTCAATAAGAAAAGTCATGGTGGTAATTTTTTTGAATAAACATTGAATTTTATATATATATATTTGCTTTTAAATATATGCTCACACTAAATATGATTATTTATACTCTTTTATTAATTTCAGAATAATTATTAAATTAATCTTCTTTTTTTCATTTACCTAAAGTTAAAACTAGTAAACTTCAACTTTATCTAGCTTAATTTCATACTAATTTATCAAATATTTTCATCTATTAATTACTCTCTATTTTAATCTAATTAGAAATTCAATATTTATTAGTATCCAAAAATACTACTTCTATTTTCTCAATAGAAACTATTTAATTCTTAATTAAAACAAAAATCCTTCATATTAATATGATTAAATGAAATTTAAACTTCTAATATTTGTGAATTCGAACAAAAGAATGAATATAAAATTGAAATAAAGTATTAAATGAGCAAATACATAGTAAATTATGACCAAAAAATGATTCAATTAGGATGTAATTCGATATGATGATAATTTATATAGATGACAAGGAATATAAAAAATATAAAGAATTCATAGATAAAATGTAGCTTATATAATAAATTTACATTATATATCAATTTTAAGAGAGCTTATAGTATTTTAATGTAATATCAATAAAATTATTTAGAAATTAAAATTTTAAGAATGTGTTGTTACGATGTATAAAATTGGGAATTGAAAAAAGAATAGTCATATAAGATAGAAGAGGTTAATATTGAAGATGCTGATTAATAAGTAACTTAGCAAAATTTAAATACTAATTTTTTACATAAAGAATTTTTTAGTAAAAATATGGGATTCCATTTATAAAAAAACATTTTGAACTTAATTATAATAATAAAATTCTGATAATCACAATCTCTCTTTATGAAGTTTTAAAGTAATTAGAATTGTATAGAAATTATTTTGTTTGTAAGTGTCACTTTTAAAACTAAAAATATATATTAGATTAATATTTACAAATTCTCAATTATAAACTATTCTTATAAATAAATTATGAGATTCTACAACATTGGATTATCAGAAATTAACATGAAACTATTAATAAAGTTGTTATAGAATTATTCGTTTTTTAACAAATAAAAATATATATTTCAATTAAATTGAGGATTCATTTGTTAATCATATATTTTTATCATTAGATTGAATTTGTATATTATTTTTATCAGTTATTTGAACATAAAACTTTAGAATATTAATAGTATAATTTAATTTCATAATGAATTTTTAATTTAAAAATATGGAAACCAATTATAAAGTAAGAAATAAGAGATTTAAGTATTTAAATTTATTAAAGCCTCATTAAAGCAAATCAAACCTTTCATTAATTTAAAATTAATTATTTACAAATTTTACTTAGTAAAATAACTGACAATATATTTTACAATATTGACTTTTAAGAAAACTTGACTTGAAATACTCTTTTACCTCACTTATTAGATTAGAGATACATGAAAACCATAAAGAAATTCCTTCTGATAAGTCTGAACTAGAGTAGGCTTTTCAGTTGTGATCACTTTAATAAACTACTAAAATTTTATAAAATTCAATTATTATTTTTTACAAGGAAATAAACCGAAAATTTTTGTTTAAATAGTAAAATGAAATCGATTATATAATAATTAAAAACTAATGTGGAATCAATCCTTTACCACTGCTTACATCCAAACCTAATAACCAATCATCTATCCAATTTATTATGTGCCTGTTGTTTAAGGATATTTAGGATAATAAGACCTTTATTTCAATACCTAATATTTACCTTAAGGATAATGCTAATAGGAAAAGATTACTATTGCTGAGGTGTCCAAATAGCCTACTGAGTACTCCTAAGTTTAAAGATAAGAGAAATAATAAGAAGAAAGTAATTGTTCAATAATGATGACAAATAAACTGAAATCAAAGAAATGTTATTCAGCTTTAAATTTGTCACAATAGTCAACTAACATATAAAAAAATTATGCAAAAGCAATTGTCTAATTTATGATAAGATAGAGAATTGAAATATTAAAGTACCTTGGTGAAAAATAAGGAATAGAATTTTTAAAAATCTTGACATAATTAAAAAATAATATAAAAAATATTAACCATATCAAGAAGCACTTAAAAGAAGATAATCAATTATGTTTATTTAGAATAATAGCAAATAGATTTTTAAGAAAAGAAGCTATAGGATATGTGTATAATTCAAACATAAGATCAACTAGTCATCATGTTAAATAAAGAAATTAAATTAGACTTAATTTATATTAATGCTGAATAAAGATGTTATAAAGCAAATGAATTTTTAATATTCATATATTTATACAGATATTGTTGTAAAATAATATAAATCTCTTAAATACTGTTTTCAATTATTTTATAATTACTCTTCTTTATTTCTTATATAATCATCATAATTAATAAGATGCCTTTATTTCCATAATTAATTAAAATCCAAGAAAAAAATAATAATCAAACAACAATATGATAATTTACTATCATTAATTACTATCTGTTTCTAAATCAATAGCAAATTTAAATTATTGAATTGTCATTAACTATCCTTTTTTAATGAAAATGTCATAAAGTTGAATTAAGAAGAACAACAACATATTCTCGAAATTGAATTTATTTTAAAATATATTAATAAATTTTGTTTTAATAATAAAATGAGAATTAACATAAAGTTCTATTAATTTTTTATTAAATATGTATTAGTAAAATTTAAATACATTTGAGATAGATTAGGATGATGGTTAAATAGGATATAAGTCATTATTAAATGATGAAAATATTAGAATCCAGTTCATACGTAAAGTAAATATTATTATTTAATTAAGGTTTACTTAATTTTAAGTTTTCAATTACTATTTACAACCATATTTTGTACATTTTCATATTTCTCAACAGGATTTGCCATTTATTAGTTATAAAACACATGGCTATTTTATCTTTTGTTAATAGTTGGTTTGATTTGTGAGATTTCTATTATATGTTGTAAGAAGTACTATAATGATTTTATAAATTTTAGTGTTTCTAGAAAAGTTCCAAATAATTACATTATATTAGGAATATTTACATTCTGTGAATCATGGATAGTGAGTTATAGTTGTTCAATAGCATATTTAGTTTATCCAGAAAATGGTGGATAATTGGTTCTTATTGCTGCAGTATTAACATTAGCAATAACAATATCATTAACTTTATATGCTTTTACAACAAAAACAGATATTACAATGGCTGGAGGAAGTCTTTTTATATTTTCATCAGTGTTATTAGTATTGGGATTATTCTGCTTTATATTCAACTCAAAAATTATATATATGATATATGTGGCTGGATTGGCCATTATGTATGGATTTTATTTAATTTATGATACTTAATTGTTGATGGGAAACAAAGTAACAATATATATTATAAATTTTTAGGAATATTCTTATTCTATTGATGATTATGTAGTGGCTGCTTTATAAATATATATTGATATAATAATGTTGTTTTTATAACTATTGTAATTATTATTGGAATTATTTGGAAAAAAGGAATGAAATGATTTATTATATAATATCTTAATGAATATTAATAACATATATTCAATTGCAATCACATTATCCATACTTTGTTAATATGCATCCTTTTTTGCATTATTAACAATTTAGTCCATCTGAACAAACAATACAATCCCTATTTAAACAATACATACAATAATCTCCTTTTGTTTTAAAGTATCCTGGATTACATTATTAAGTAATAGCATTAAATTCTTTTAAATCTGTTTCATATTCTAAACATTCTGATTATTTTGGACCAGTACAAGATTTACAATAAGGAGTACATTAATGTATTAATAATACAACATTTGTCATATATGATTAATCAAATTATGATTATATTTGAATCAATAATTCTGTATTATTATGTGGAATAAATTAATTAAGATAAACAAATGAATCAGAATTATTCTTATATTCTTATTTGTTTTAAATAATCACATTTTATTCATTATTAATAGAGATGATAACATTTAAATCACTTCTGTAATTAATGAATAAGATTTTTGCTTATATTGTAATTCCATAATGTGTCTTCAAATTATTATATCTATAATGTTTGGACATAGAATTACTAAATAAAAATTCATGATTATAAAACCAATATATCTCATTTTAGTAATAATCTTAATTTTTAAATTCATCAAGTTTTAATAATTCAGTATTCTAAATTTCAGAATCAAAACAGATATCATCTTCTTTAAGTAATTGTAAAGGACATTTCTGAACACACTACCCATCTAAAACAATAAATGGAGATTAACATTTAATGCATTTATCATTGTATCCAAATCTTTCTATTTATATACAATGGTTAAAATATGATATCTCATTTTTAGTCATTAAAATATTAATATTTAAATTTACTAATTTCCAATATGTAATTTTTGTATTCTAATCTTAATTAATTGAAGAAGACCTATATTATTACTAATTTAAAAGAGCTTCAAATTAAAGTTTACTTGATTCTATTGATATTATTTTTGATTTAAAATGATAGATTTAACAAAATTATTCAGTTTCACAATCTCTATAAGATATTTCATGCAAATTGATAGCATTATATGGAGAATTAACGTTCAAATAATATACATAATTACCCTCATTCATTAAAATTTTAAAAACCTATAAAATCTATATATTAATTATGTAAAAACTCTTACATCAAAATTATAAATTTAGATTTCAATATCAATTTCAAATGTTCTGAAGTTTTCTAAATCGAATTCCAATTCTAATTATTCACTTTTTCTATAAATTCTTCTCAAATTTTACTAAAAATTAATGGACTTGATTATTTCTAATTATTATATTAGTTTAAACCTGTTTATTGACATATTTAATAATAATCTGGTGCATATCCATCATAACATTTTTCAACACAAATATCATTTTATTTAAATCCATTACAAAAACAATTTCCATTATTAATAGATTCAAACCCATCATTACATAAAGTGCAAATTGTCTCATTGTCTAAATAAACACATCGTTTGCAATTTTCAGGACATTATATTTAAAGTATATGTATTTATTTAATAGCTATTTTTTAATCACTTGCCATATTGAATTCATTATTATTATATATACCTCCCATCATAATAATATTGAGTTCATCTAATGAATTCCCATATATTTCTTATACAAATGATTATTCTATATATTAATTGTCTCCCACTAGACAATTATCCATTATTGATCGTTTATAAATATGATTTATTACTTTTGGATCATAAGTCTTATTCTATATCTAGATTTGCACTTCCATTGTCTATGGTCTTAAGTAATCGATCACTACTAAGGAGTGAGCAAAAGCTTTGAAATTTCTTAAAGAAATAGTTTTCTATATGTAAGGATTAGATGTAATGATTTAGATATTAGCTTATTAACACTCAGTGATTAAACCTATATCTGATTGAAATTAATTAAACCCTGAATCTTATCCTTCATGATGAGTCACAACCCATTAAGTTGATTGAGATTAACAACTTTATATAGTCAGCAAAGCTATGGCTAATCGAAATAGTATCATATAAATTTAATTGATTATGCAACAAAACAATTTTCATCACATTCTACAAAGTTCAATTAATTTATAGAGGAAATAATTATTAAACAATAATGAAACAATGATGTCATTGTGAATCTATTATAATATAATAAATACATTATATTATTGCTTCATATTGTTAAAATTATATCTACCAGAAAGTAATATACATTTTATAGATCAGAAAATGCGTTACTATTTGAAATATAAAAATATCATTGTTATACATCCTATATTTACATAAGAATCTAGTTAATAAAGGAATATTTCATAATTCTAAAAAATTACAATTTTAATTCAATAATATTTAAGTCAAAACATTATTGATGGATTTATTAATATATATATTTTTAGTAATAATGTTTTAAGACTATAAACAAAATCATAAATTTATTTTTAACTTCTATTATAATTTCTGATATATAAATTCAATCAATTAAGAATAAAAAATTAACTAAAATCTTTAAATAATTGTAATAGGTTATTCCGACAGAAATTTGTATTTCAAAAGATCAATTTAGTTAAAGAGCTATGTGAATTAGTTACTTTACAAAAAAGATATTTTAATAAAAAGGGAAAAAATATTAAGATGTTGGAAGAATAATAGATCATAATGAATTATATTATTGTATGATTAATTGAATGTAATAATTATCTTGTAATTATAAAAATCAATTCGAAAAGCTGATTTCTCAATCTTTGATTAATCTTTATATAAATATGATTATTTAAATAGTTGGGTATTTTAATAACAAAAGCACTATATTTTTAATATATAGTTATAATTGAAATTTCATTAGTATAGGTGATTGTTGAGATTTTCTAATATTAAAATTCATATTTTGCATTAATTAATGAATCAATAAAGAAGAAAACCATAAAAATTTGAACTAAGATGTTAAAGCTATCTAATTCTATAATTTCATATTTGAAATATCTAATTAAAACACAAAGTATCTTAGATATATACAAACTATTTATTTATCACAAAATATTTTAAGTTGAAAATATTTTAAATTAATTCGATAAATATTAATATAAAAATAGATTTGATTACAATAAATAATTATAATTATAATGATATATTAAATATTATCATTGAGTTATTTGGAATAATAATAGAAATTTATATGTCTACAAATAGTAATTGATATTGTAATCATCTTAAATGGATGTATTATTTAAAATTATAATCATCTTTTTGATAAATAAGCACCTTAAGGAAAATGAGAAAATCTGTTGATGATGACAACATTTTCATGAAAATTAATTTTTTTAAATAAAATTAGGTCATTTTAAAAACTTATTATCTCACAAAGGTTATTAAATGTTCACATTAGTTTATTGATTTAAAATATATTAATTTGGATTCTTTTAAGGAAAAATGTAAAGCAATTAAAATATTGTTGACACTTAAATCATAGGTTTAACGAAATCTTCTAAAATAGCAAAATAAAAGTAAAAAGAATAAAGAAAATATTGCACAATAAAAAAAGAATTTAAAATCATCATTAACATTCCAAAGACATTAGAAATAAGGGAATACTTAAGAACTGAAATAGATATTATTTTCAGCACTGATTATTAGATTAATTCTAATTTAGGAGAATTATGCACAAATATTTTTACAGTAGGGTACAAAATTTTATAGACTGATTACTTTTCAGATAAATAAG